CTCAGTCAATGCAGACAAAAGAGACTCACCTTGCTCGTTGGACTCTTGGGATCCGTCTTGTAATTGGCCGGCGTCCTTGTTGAGTTCGCCGCCTTCTGCAATTTGATCTAGTAAGAGGCGAGCGCTGCGCTGGAGCAGCCGGGAGCACAGCTGGTCAGGGGATTCAGCCAGGAAGTAGATGAGACGGACGGCCTGTTGCATGAAGGTCTGCCAGTACGGGTCTTCCATCACCACACCTGGAGCGGTCAGAGGAGGAGACCAGCGTGACTTGAGGAAGGCTGAGATGAATATCTTGCATCAAAAAAAAAAAAAAGGCACATTTGTCTGAATTTACCTTCCGCGATGGCCTGTGTGAGGCAGGTGAAGAGCTGATGGTCCTGCGGCAGTCGGAATGGAGCGCCTTTTGATTGCTGGTGGAGATAATGAAGCAGATGTTGACATCGCTTTGAAGATGCCTACTTGTTCAGTGGCAAAACGTAGTCAGAAGACAGATTTTCCTGCATTCAAAGCTTGGAATTGTAATAAGTATTTTTTAAATTAAAGATCTTTAAGATACAGCTCATCGCTTTCGTCGTCATTCATTGTAGCCGCGTGTGCGTAAAGATATAATTTCTACGCAGAAAAACTATGCTTTGAAACAACTTGGTAAGTATGTTATTGATTAAACCTCTATATGGAATATTTTTGACTGAATCAACACACTCAAGTCAACGTGGCTCTCGTGTCATTAGTCCCCTTACCCTGACATGGTCCGTGATGCTGCAGATGGTTAGAACGGCATCTCTGGCCAAAAGAAAGTCTTCTGTCACTTTTTCTCCCAGAGCCACGGAACAAAGAGTGTCCAGATTACTGAGGACTACCTCCCTCTCGGCCCTGTATTTGCATAAATACAAAGAAATATTTTACACAAGCATCAAGTATTAGAGGTTATTTTTTCCCCCAATGATTACAGGATGATGCAAAGTGAGGTAATAACATCTCTGCCCAACATCACCCCAACCGCTGGGCACCGGCCTTGCCAGTGCGATAATGGGGGTAGGAGGATGAGTAAGGAGAAGCACATAAACGGCTGGGAGGCAGCGGTGTGGCTGGACTGCAGATTGTCCCTTAACTCGCTCACTCTCCCCTGCAGCAGCGGCAGTCTTTAGGGAAGATTGAGGGGAGCACTAAAAATAATATAAATATATATATTTTTTATACACACATTAGTGAAATGCACTGGCAAGGAGCCTAGTTGCATTGTCGTGACTTTCGATTACAATGAAGAGGAGCCCAGCCTGAGCTTAATGTTCAGTAGCTGAGGACTAAAATGTAAAAAGAAGCGCTTCCATACAGGGTGAAATATTGCAGATTTGAAATATGATGAAAGTGACTTGTCAGTCAGTACAGTAACAAACATTTGTAGAAGGCATTTATTTAAACTAAAATGAACAGCCGAAGGCCAAAAAGTTTACATTTCTCATTTGGTAGACTATGAGCCCTTTTTCTCAGCCTGGCATCAAAATGTTTGTTTCTTGGCAGCGCTCTGAAAGAGGCCCATGTCTTACCGTGCAGCCAAACCCAGCAGCAACACCGCGGCTCGCCGGTGTAAGGCGGCCGTTTCTCGTTTGCCGGTAAACCTTTCCCACAACACCTGCACCACGGTAGACTGGAGATGGCTTCCACTGCCAAAGAACTCCTGCACCTGAAGACATCACCAGACACAGGTTACAAATCTACACAAAATACAGGAAGCACGAGTTAATCAAATTTACACAGAACATTTTATGGAGGATACACTCAATGTTCTACGCAGTTGTGTTATAAAATTAACAATTGCACTCAGAAAAGATCCATTCGTTTAATGAAAAGGGTCACCCACTATTTCCTCAAGACACTGGATTGTTCCCAGAGACGCATCCACCATCAGTTCGGAGAGACTGTCGACAAGAGTGTGGGCTTTCACCCTGATGGGAGACGAGAGTGGCTTTAAGAAGAGAACGCATTGCAATGTTCCTTTTTTTACAGCTTTAAAAACATACATAAAAATAAATGCAGTATCAGCTGAAATCCCATTAAGTGGTTTTACCGGATGTTCTCTCCTTGAGGGTTCAGGTACAGGCGCCTGTAGGCCTGAACGACAGCATCTTTAATGGCAGCGTCGGTTGACCAGACCAGAGGCAACATCTTCCTCACCCCACTGATTGAGTTGGCAACACTGAACTCGCACACAGTCACACAAAACTGCACAGCCTCCTGGACCACTGAAACCAAAAACTGCAGTTGTCAAATCTGAAAATATATCTTTGATGAACTACATGGATATACACAGGTTTGAGTAAGTTTGCGCTCAGATGCATATTGGCTCAACCTGAAGTGGTCTTCCAGTAGAGCATGGTGTTAATGACGGAGATGGCTCGCTCCACCTGTAAGGCGAAGGTTTCAGTGTCTTTCAGGTACTGCACCAACATCTCTTGCTTCTTCAGCTCCCCATCTTCTTCCTGCTCCGCATCTTTCTGTGGGGTCGGTGGCAAGTTCTGACTGAGCTCAGCGGCGTCCTCGTCCGAGCCTGAGGGGACAGATCATGTTTTGTATGAAGTGAGGCAAAAAGAAACCAACGTGAATTTAAATAAACCATTTTTACAATTGATGCTCAATTACTCCACACTGCGGTTCGGTAACCAGGTTAAATCTATTCTCGCTCAGTGAGGCTTTTAGTGTGCAGCAACAGACGGGTTCAATTTACATTAACAGCACAGAGTAATAAGCTTTTGGCCATCTGCTGATATTACAGGGCCACGGTTCATACAATGAATAAGAATAGTTAAAGAACTTGTCTGGACTTTTCACCCATGATGTGATCCGATGAATTGAAACTTCAGAAAACCCGGCACATGGTAATTAAAACAGAGCTAGCATTAGGTACATTCTATTCAACTCAATACTTGTGCAAAGGCCTTTGTCATTTTGCTCCCTGTCTGAAGACTTCAAAGTTCAAACAAAAGCCATGTCCCACATCCCCTTTCATCTTCAACTGAGTGCACCAATTTCTTTCATTTAATGATAGTTACGTTTTATACGTCGACGTGTATCTGGTGTTTTAAGCTGTCAAATATATCCTCTACTCACATTGATCTATTAAAAAGGACAAATATTATGGATTATTCACTTTTTTTTACTCTTCACTTTTGAAGTGACACTGAAATTCCCTCCAATAAAGAGAAAATGCAAAGAGCTGGATTTGAAATGTGTTCAATAATGCTTCTATTAAGATTCACGGCAGAGAGCTCTTATGATAAGTCCATCTCTGGATACAAAAGCATCAGGCGAACAGAGTGCAGCCTTTACCCTTGAATATGTGAGCCAGGGTTCCCATTAGAGTCTCAGGAGTGAGAGTGGAGAGGGAAGCAAACATTTCAGATTCAGGGAAGCAGCCGTGTGCCCTTATGCAAAGACGTACAGCGTTCCTGCAGAGAGGGAAGGGAAAAGACATTGCACTTGTATTGTTGTCTAATTGACAGTGTGGAAGAAATAAATAAACCCTGGCCAACGTTTGTGATGAGCCTCACCTGTATTTGTTGACACGGAGGTACTGAGCAACCTTCACTGCAGTCGCTCTGTCGTCCTCTGCCTCCACATCCCGGTTGTCGTCTTCATCCTCCTTCTCCGCTTCACTTGTCGGCTCGAGCTCGGCCCTGACAGTGACAAGCAGCTCGGGCTCCATGGCGGCCCACAGCTCTGAGGCTTTAATTGTCGCCACTGCCAGAAAGGAAAGATTCAAATCCAACCAGGGGGCTGAACATTATGGTCTTTTGTGTTTGATGTTGTGATCTTTTTAAAAGCTAATCATGGTTGTGAACTTAACCCTCAGATTACCAACGAAGCAACTCACAGCTGACTGAACTTTGAGCTGGGTGCGCTCCTTGCTTCCTTACACATGTACACATATTGTCCGCTTCATACCCGTGATTACTCCACTGTCACTTACAAAGGACTACTGAGGGTTGAGCAAAGTCACTGTAGGCAGGCCCTTACAGCAGAGCAGGAATGCTCCTCTGCACTGCCAAGATTACCTGCCAATAGAGGCAAGAAGAACCCAGCTCTCGTTCAGTTCGCTCGTATTCGCCTTGGACTCATCATCGGGCAACGAGTTACCGAGCAGAAAGGAAAATTAACGTCTCCGGGTTCATCCATACCTGGTGCTTTCCCCTCCAGTCTCGCTTTCATGTCTCTCAATTTGGCGGTCTCTTTCTCCAGCGGTTTCTGGAGATCTGTACTGCTGAGCTGAAGCAGCAACAAGAAATTATTTCAGCACGATTGGAATCTGAATAAAAAAATAAAGTTGTTGTGTCATCATTGATCATGTTGCTTTTAGTGACCTTGCAGCTGTAGGGGTTGAGTGCAATGAATGCAGCCAACAACTGGATGGCGCTCTTTACAGCATTTATGGATTTGTCCATCAGTCTCCCCACAGCGAGCTCCATCACCTCACTGTACTTACACAGGGGCAGTGCCTAAACAAAGACTGATTATTACCACGTGCTATATTGAATACCGTGCGTTTAAGGATACAGAGGCGATTGAAACATACTTTGCTGTTGACTATGCGTGCGTAGACCTGTAACACACGCGCCCTCACGTGGGAATGTGTGTCATGCAGGTGTTCCTGCAGTGTGTCAAAGAAGCGGTCGCGGTCGGCTTTGCCAGACTCGTCCAGCTTGTCGCCACACAGGACCCGCACAAGGATCTCGCCCAGCACCTCACACACAGCGACACGCATGGTGTGGCTCTGCAAAACAGGAGGTAAGAAGGGATAAATCTGCAGCCAATCACGTTCTTTTAGGCAGTAACAATTTGTTTTGAGTTTCTACAACAGTCGTTGACTATATAAATAAAATGTGTGTATCTTGGCATCCCATGGAGAGTCCGGCAAGAATGATACAATGAAACTACTCGAGCAACTGAAATACAGCACTTCAGCACAAACACATTACTTTGATTTTAGTTCAGTTTAAGAACATTGCCCTCAGATTACCAAAGAACAACTCATTGCCAACTGAAGAGCAGAGAGAGCTGGGTGAACTTCTGGTCTCTTACAAACGCGCACACACATTCACACAACACACACACTGTCAGCGTCATCCCAGCAATTACTCTGCTGTAACTGTAGAGGAATAATTTGGGTTGAGCCAAGTCACTGTAGGCAGGCCCTTACAGCAGAGCAGGAATGCTCCTCTGCACTGCCAAGATTACCTGCCAATAGAGGCAAGAAGAACCCAGCTCTCGTTCAGTTCGCTCGTATTCGCCTTGGACTCATCACTGGGCAACGAGTCAACTGAACAGCAAATAAAGTAAACAAGTCGTTTGTGGAAGGGACATTTCCCTGAATGATGTACCCTTTTGTTCTGGTTTCTTGTGTCAGTGTGTTAACACTCATCAACTCTGCAATGAGGGCTGTGCATTGTGCCTTTGTAACAGCACAATTTGCATCCGTTGAAAATGAAGTGATCAAATAAATCTGTAGAAATTACTAAAAACTAATTATTTATGGTCATAGCAAATGCAAACTTTGAGATAGACTACAATGTAATGGGATGCTGTGAAGTCCCTATCATGTAATATTAAATATCAAAACATGCTTTTCATTAAGACACTTATTAAGTCATTATGTCTGTTAAACACATAGCGTTTAACTGACATCTTGTTATCATTACTGTACAAGCGCAGCTCAATCCAGAAAAAGGAGAGCTGTAAATGAATGATTCAATGTTAGCAGGGTGAACATGTACCTCTCCTTCCAAGTGTGTGATAAGCACACTAATGTTGGGGATCATTAATTCAGGCACCAGGGAACCAAGTTCTGCAATGAAGGAAGAAAAGGCTTTGACCCCCGACGCCTCTCTAGCAAGCTCCTCACTTGACCTCTGGCCGATCTCGCTGAAGGAATGGAGGGAAGAAAAAAGGGTATGAGCATCCAAACAAATATTACATTGGATTAACATTTAAAAAAAAGATTGAAATAAGGTTACTAACCGGATTACTTCCCCTATGATCGCCCTGACGCCGTACTCAGTGCTCCACACACAAACCGCCTGGGCAAACACGGATGACAACTGCTCAAAGTGTTGCAGCAACTGGATCACCTTTACACTTGCACCTGAAAGAGTGGGAAAACTAAAATGTACAATGGATGCTGAAAAAGCAATAGGCCGTGTAAGGTTTCATTATTGCACACAGGTTCCGCATGCGACAGAGAGAGACGAACCTAGAAGGTGGTTGTACTTCTTGATTAGCACTCCAAGTAGGTGGATTATACCATCTCTGGTGGGTTTGCTCTTCACATGGCTGATGGTTGGGTTCTCAAGGAGTTTATAGCAACAGCAGGTCACACAACTAAGAAGAAACAGTATCCAAAACTGTAAAATGGTAAAATCTCCATGAAGCACAACTTATATACATCCGGAGCAGAACTATAGAGTGCGTGTGTTGCTGGGTCTCATCAGACGGGTACCTGGTGAACTCTTCCTCGACCAGTGAGAGGCTCCAGAGAGAACGAATATCCAGCTGGAGGAGCTGGATGAGGGCCTGCAGGACTCGCTCTCTCTCACTGTCCCATTGCAGTAGTCCTTCTACGCCCCCTTTGCCTTTTTTACCTCCCTGTGTATGAAAGAAAAACACTTTAAAGATACTACACAGTTACACAATACATTTTACTACTGCAATTGACATTGAGCACATGCCCTCAGGTTACCAAAGACTGTAATTCATAATGGTCAAAACCCCTGTAGAGACGTTAGCTTCTTGCCTGCTGACATGTACATTCATCCAACATCGTTAGACACACAAACATTCACACACTGTCTGATATCTCCCACCTGACCAGTCCCAGTGCTCTTGGGGAGCAGAGGTTAAGGAAAGTATCAAGTTTACTGTGGATGGGCCCTTACAGCGCTGCAATAAAACTCTACCACACCACCAAGATTACCCACCAAACAGCAGGCTAGAAGCAACAATCTCTGGGTCTGACGGACTCATCAAACTTGCCATGATATCATCATACGGGCATTAACATAACAGTTCGCTGCGAGCAAAAATATTTTATAACCATACCTTCCCCGGGGCTGTGACAATATTCTGTCTATTGGAGTCGCTCTCGAAGGCCTCAGTGAGTTTGCAGAGCAGGTAGACGCTCATCTTGACAGCATTAAGCTTCTCTTTGCGCTCTGCGGCAGAGACTGAGGTGGAAAGCAGGAGCGCGGGCAGTGAAGCTGCCAGGCCACTGACCACTGAGGAGGAGGAGAAAAACATCAGGCATGACTTCAGAAAATTATATATAATATTTCTATATGTTTCATGTTTCTATAACATAGAAACATGAAATAAAAGCTCTGACCTTGTACGAGTAACTCAAAGGTATCCTCCTTTACACCCAGGTCCACTAAGTTACATTGCCTTAAAGAGAAGAGCTTATTTATTACACATGTAGTTCTTGGTAACAATGAGGAGAGCAGGCTACATTGTAACTGATGCTTACTTTAGCACGCTGTAGCCCGTGTCAAAGTGTTCCAATATACACGTAGGCCCCTGGCTCCTCAATGCAGCCTTAAACTCTGTGGGGAAGAGACGAAACGGTCACGAACGACGGCACAGTTGAAAAGGAAATCTCCACATCGTTTGACTAGTCGACCCAACTAAAGTTACTTACTACTGAGACATGCCGCCAGCTGTTTGGGGGACACCACGTCCTGGACGACGTACTGGTTGATCCCCCCGGTCTTCTCCAGGTCTCCCACGCAAACGGGCACAATAAAGTCCCAAGACATCTCTGAGTCGAGACCAAACAAAGAAACAATAAATTGAAAATGATGAATTGCCACCATTGACGATGCATCGTTTTACTGTAGCGACATAGTATAGTAACGCTCGTACGGCTAAAGTGCATCACTTAACTGACGTCAATTCTAACCTGTTAGCTAGTATTAGTCGATGTGACTGGTTTAGCAAAAAGGGAAATAGTCTTTTAAAGTATGCAAACATTTGTTTTGTTGTGGAACAAGCTAACGCTAGAGGGACAAACAACTAGCGTTAGCGCTAGCAGGCTAGCTAGCTGCTAAGCCACAGACGTTATGCCACTGTGCGAGTTTATCTTCAAGTAAAACAATTGCAGCTAGAAACTAACTAACTACTCCGTATAGACACATTGTAAAGATAACGCTCACCTGGGCCGACTGCGGTCCCTTTATCCCCGACGACGACCTCTGAAGACTAAAATGTGCTCTGCTCCCTCCGCCGCCCACAAGCTCTTTGAATCTGCAGGTTTTCAAACTTATTTGGATATCGCGCCAAATCACGGGAATGCTGACGTCAGAGGTGGTCGGTGCTTTTCGGGCCACACCGCCACCTACAGGACAACTATGAGCACTGCAACACACCGTTAAAGCTGCGAGGGAAGCCCAGACCATCCGACAAAACACACACACACACACAAAGGCATGTTTTTTTGAGGTAGTAGCTGTATTCAAATGATTGACAACACAATCACCCCCTCTCCATTGTACCAATGTTTCAGCTACAGAAATGTCAATACTTTTCACAAAGCGTTTTACTTTCTATACAGCACTCAATCAAATGTTAAAATGAAATGAAACTCACTACCCGGATGACTAATACTGTCAGGATGCAGCATTTGTCCTTGTGTTCTTTTGCCTTCTCGTTACACTTAAAACATAAAACTAGTGTTTAAGGCGAGGCTCAAGAAACTAACTATACAAAAGAAGCAAAAAAATATCAATTGGCCTAACCGTTCGCAGAGATGATGTTGTGGTACACATGAATATAATATTAAGTATTGTTACAGTTGTAACCGTTCAACCACAGGGGGCCGTAGTGTTTATTATTTACTCATGAAAAAATATGTTCCAAAAAAAAGAAAGAAATCACAATATGAGCACCAAAAGTAACGAGAAATTAATTTTCTAAAAAACAAATTTTAAATACATTTGTAACCACTTGGCTTTCACAGACACGGCATCAGACCATGGGCAAATCACATAAACCAAAGGAAGAAGCACCAAATGTCAAGTAAAATGAGAAACAAAAATTCTAGTAACAAATTAAGAAATATTCTTCTCATTTTCCATCTGTTCTGTGTCCATGTTTTATTTCCAAGTGTTTCTATTTTCTCTTTCTGTCTTGGGAGCATCGTGGACAATACCTGCATAGAAAAAAAACAAAACGGGCAGCAGAAAATCTATTTGGTCAACTTGAATGAGAAAGAATTCACACTTTTATTGGATGCATTGAAAATACCATAGTACACGTCAGCTTGGCTTTCTTACCATTTGCCCCTTGGTTTGGTTGTCAGGCCCACGCATGCAAAATGGAACCACTCAATGGAGCACTGGAGTCAAGACAAAAAAATGACAACGTTCAATTAAGCATTACTGCAAATTGAGCATTTGGTTGAAACAAAACGATTCAAAACACAAGATCGGATTCTGTCAAGGAGAGACATACAGTGTGGGTTGTTTTGCATCTGCTAACTAATTAATTTCTCTGTCATCTGTGACCTTATCTTCAGAGGAAGATGTACAAGACTGCAGGACTCTTAAGCATCAGTGTGGTTCACATCTAGGAAAAAAATATATATACAGTAAATACATTTATAAAGGAAAGGATGTGCTTGTACATGTGCAATAACAAATTATTGATATATAAGATGTAAGCTTTTTGTTCTTCAATATTCTTATTTAACCTTTTTAAATTTCAGCCCTGTACCATAACAGTATGTTGTTGTTGACCTTTTGTGATACATGAATGATATTCAACGTTAATGTTATTTAAATCAAAGCCAAACATGAAATCATAGGCTGTTAATAAAGGTCATTCAAACTAGATCACTTTTAATTAAATACATTGTCTGTGTTATCAGACATAATGTCCATCCAAAATAACTATTTTAGCACATCGTTATACAAAAACACCCCATTTCCTTTTGTTGTAGCGTGAACATATTTTGATGAATGTAAGCTATCTATCCTCTTTTACAGGGCATCTGATGCCAAGCGTTATTTATCCACAAAACTAAAATAAAGAGCAATGTCAGCATACTTTGTGTGACATTTACCCCTCCTAATTTTATATATTTAAATATTTAAACCAAATCATTCACACCACTAAGTCCCACGTAAAAACCCCTTAAAGCACAGATACTCACATTGATACCGGGCCTTTGGAGGCTAATGGATCAGATGTATCCATCATTGAGTGGAAGAGTCTGGGGTCACTTTCCATGTGAAAGGCCACATCAGTCTCAACTTAATTGTTGCTGTTTTATCTTTTGAAATAAAATGTAAAAAACTAAATGCATAGACATAAGAGTAGTGAATAGTTATTGATATGAAATGATAGCGTCTGATTTTAGAGTGCCATGCTGTCTCCAATACCCGATCCAACTGTAACAGTCGTTGTTGGACCGATATGCAATGTCATTATGACTGCATATGTAGACCCACCGCAAAGTATTGTTTAATGGAGAAAAATTTAGAAATTACAATCTCAAAAGGAACTTTGTGGGACCCCCGAGATCTAAAGGGGGGGAGGGGCAAAACATAAACTCACATCAGTGTTGTCGCAGCCGATCATCTCGCCGTAGGAGACCTGATGACACAGACAGTAGGTGGGTTCGTTGGGGTCCACGGGCATGTCCAGCACATCAGATGGGTGCACATTCCCAAAGTTGTTGGTCGGGCTGTTGAATTCGCCTCTGATGATGGGAGAAAAGTATTAGAAGTGAGAATGGGACCATAGAACTATAATTAGAACACGTTTCACGCAATGGAAATGAGAGACACAACGTACGGTTGAAGGAGTTTGACTTTCTTCTGTGCGCTCTTAGGACTGCCGTCTTCATCTGAGCTCTTCACTTTAGACCTTGTTTTAGCGGTCTTCTTTTCCTTCTGCCTGGTTTCAACTGAGATTACAAAACACACTTTATTGGTCAATCAAGGTTGAGTCCATGCACAAACAAATATAAGATATATTGAGCAAATATAATGGACACACACCTTTCTTCCCCTTGCTGGAGGTGGAATCATAGTCTGTGCTCTCGATCTGCTTTTCCTTGAGGTCGGCCTCAAACCGAGCCAGGTCCGTGTCGAGACGTCTGATGTGTTTGTCGACCTGCAGAAAATAGAACGTCGGTCGACTGATTATGACGTATTGGGTCCATCTCAATGTCATATATGTAAAATATGATGTCTATTTCAAATATACTGACCATCTCATAGGTTTGCATGGCAAGTTGCACTTTATCATCTCCAAACTCTTTGCATTTACTGTAAGACTGCTGAATCTGCCGGAGTATGGACAGCTTTTGTTCCGAGGATAGAGTCCGTGCATTGGCTGTATACTCTTTAGCCAGAGAGTCTATCTGTCCCTTTAGATCTAGAAGAGAGAGGAAAGTAAAACTAATTAAAGAAAATCATCTACAACAAAACTCAAACCATTAAATAAAAGTTACAAATAGGATACAAGTAATGTTTAAATTGAAAAGAAGCTAAAACATTTACTTGGCATTGGCAGGGATTAACATTTTATGTTGAGCAGCACACGAGGTTGCAAAGTTACCCCCTAGAATATGTATTTATTTAACATCATTTACAACCTATTACGATAAATTGACCAAAGTAAATCAGTGGTTCCCAATCTGTTTTGGCTGGTGACACCTTAGAATGAAGCCATAGGAATTTGGACTTCTCATCTGTGGACAGCAGTTCAATCAAAGAATGATTCCTCGGTCTTGGGTTGTTTATGTTTAAGGATGTTCTTTAGTGAGCTCTAGGAGTTTCCTATCATCATCATCATCATCGTTTGACCTCACAGACTTCCCTTGTGATCCTTTTGCGGGCCCCGACCCCTCGGTTGGGAACCACTGCACGGATCGCATTGTTGAATAATGCGATGTGTGGGTGGCGTAGTGCGCTGTGACAGGTACTCATCGACAGTTATGACACCGGTCACTCACCCTCTGTGCGCTGATCTAGATCCCTCATCAAATTGAAGTTTCTCTGCAACTCGAAGGGCAAGTTTTCGATGCCTGGCGATGTGAAAGGGGGGAAACGACACACCGTTTAATTAACAAGAAAAAAAACTGAAGAACATCACATCGGTGCGAGCAGGATAGCTAACGTTAGCTAAATCATGTACCCCGGCTTCCATTAACGTTAGCGCTCCAACCGACATTCACACATATTGCAGGCATGCGCAGGGAGCAAAATGCATATATATCTGTTGGTTTCATTTATTTACAACAGGGTCAGCACGAAACGTGTCTGGTTACAGTACGTCATGTATGCAATCTCAAACGGCATCATTTTTGTTGGTTGCGGGGCGATGCGTTAACCGCTTCCCCAGCAAATAGACCGAGCCTGAACCCGCCGGCCGCCGAAAAACGGTTACGACGGTTTATTCCGCACGAGGATCGTGCAGGAGAGAAATCACACAACCAAATACAGACTACGAAGCAGGGGAAGAAGGAAGGAATGCTTTTCAGCATTAAAACTCATAATAAACGGCTTACTGTCCAAATAATGCTCCAAATACATCCCCGCCGCCATCTTAGAAAATGTAAACAACACAGCTTCCGGTCCGAAAGGGATCAATCTGATTGGCTGATTCCACAGACCGCTGATATAAATGTCAAAGACAAATTTAATCAATTTAATACATACTAGTCGGCATATTGCAAGGTTTACCATAAGATTTTACAGGATTTCTGACCCAGTCAAAACTTAAATTTTTGACTTCATTCTATTCTATTGAAAATCAGATCAGATCAGAACATTGTAGGACTTTACATTATGACTAATTAGAACTTAACTTCAATACAAGATAACTTCAATTACCAAGATATTAACTTGGAGGTTCAAAATTGTAATGGGAATTCTGAAACAGGAGTTATCGCTGATCAAGAGTAAATAACCTGGACCAACTACATTTGTAAATCTAAAATGACATACATGGTCAAGTGAAATTTAAAGGCACAAAATGTTTTCCCGACTTGACTTGAAACCATCTAAAGACCAGATAATGTTCCATTGAACTGATAAATGATGAAACGAACAAGTGATCACCAAGGTATCTTAAAAGATTTATTATGCATCACAGATTCATACATATTATGGATGTTGTCCCACTCTGCAATTAAATCAACAGACAAACATTATGAATATTCTGGAATACATATAAAAAAGGGGAACGTCCAACTTAAGTGAGCATCGATATCAGGATTAGTTACCTGTACACGGGCCTTGGAATCACATCTGGCTGACACAGTACAGTATTGCCACTTCAAAATGGTAACAGCACACATTTAAGAGATGAAGGCATCTGGGTACGCAAGGGGGCTCTACAAAGATACAATTAATTACTCTGTCCACACCTTCACTCCAAGTCTGCTTTTTCCAACATTTTCTTCAACTTTTGGAATTTATTCTTTCCCATTCTCTTTGCTTTGTTGGGTGATTTTTGTTTTTTTCCCTTCTTTTTCTCAAATCTGCTTCCCTCCTTTTTGTCGGCCTTTGATGCTTTAGTGTCACCAGCCGTCTTCACTGCAGGCTTCTTGTCCGCCTTTCCTGGCACAGTCTCTCCATCCATCTTGGCAATCTTTGCCTTTTTTGGACCAGCCGGTGAGTTTTTTTTGCCTTTCGCCTTTGTGTTTGCGCTTTTCTTGGCAGCTGTTCCATTGGCTTGTGTTTTTCTCTGTGGGTCACTGGCCTTGCCAGAGACGATCTTCTTTGTCTTGTTACTTTTGGATGGTTTCTCATCATCAGAGGAGTCGGTCACAGCTGTCGCCTCAGGAGCATCTGGATCTCCTTCTTCTACATAAGTAACAGACAGAGGAGGAGTTTAGTTTCTAACATGTCAACTAACATGATGAAAGATGGCAAGTGCTCGTACGGGAAAGCTTCACCTGTAGTTGGAGACAGAGTTGGAATCACATTGGAGAATTTCTTCAGCTTGGCAACGAAAAAACCATCCATATTGTGGGAATGAGGGTAAAATCGCCGAGTGAGGCGCATCGTAGGATGGAATCTACGTTCTTTGAACCTGAAAGAATGGAAAAGTAATGTACGGTTAAAGATCAGAGTGCCCCTTCTTTAACTCAACCAAAAAAAAGATTGACTTGTTTACCTGGTGAAGCCTTCCTTGCCAAAGTCAAGTCCAATGGGAACCAATTTGACGTTTCTTTTCTTTAAAGCGTAGTCCACCACCCATTCGTTCTCCTCCACCTGGTGGAAAATATTTTGGTCAGTACCTGAATCTCTGTTAAATACTCCTCTTTAACATGATAACCTATAAATTAATTCAGCTGCATGTGAAGTGCACACACACCAATATTGAACATGTGCAGTAGACCAAGTATCCTCCTGAAGAGGACTCCGCATCGACACAGTCAATGGCCGACAGAATTAGTTCCTTCTGCAAGTGAGCAGACCGCAGGATGTCAGCCTCGTCCTGTCAGAGGGTCAAGAAAAAAAAAAGTATGAAGTTAACACAACGTAATTGTTTGACTGCGAATGTGAACAGCAAACCACGAGTTACCTTGCTGGTCTTCACTGCGGGATCTTTAGCGATGACTCCCGTGCCTGAGCAAGGAGCATCAAGCAGCACTCTGTCGAACCCACCCATCACCTGGTGGTAAACGTTTTCAATGAATTGGCACACTTCAGAAAAACCAGAGAGATGTTTCTTCTACAGATGTGTGAACCTCACCTTCCGGATTTGCCTGCCATCATAGTTGCAGATAATCGTGTTGGTGACCCCCAGACGGTGGACGTTTCCCACGACGCTTTTCAGTCTGTCAGCGTTGGCGTCATTAGCCACAATCATTCCAGTGTTTCTCATCAGCTGAGCTGAGGGAGGGACGTTCACAAATACCGTTAAATAGATTTAACTTGAATGTGACCAGAGTTCACATTTGCTTTGTTAGCATTGGTCTACATTAAAGTTGAGTGAGACAAAAGCCAATGTGATTTATTTCTGCTTTTAAATGCATTATTTTTTCACGCTTCTTAAAATAAATTGAGGACTGTTAAAACACAACTATTGGCAAACGGAATATATTTGGGCGCCGGTAAAATATATTAAAAATAAAATCATGATAAAAGGAACATCTTTTTGGGTGTGTGGGGGGGGGGGGGGGGGAGTGTGAGAAATGGAATAAAATCTTAACAGGTATGCTTTCTTTAGTGTCCAATGATGCAATGTTTCTCTTAAATCTTACCAATATAGGTGGTCTTGCCGCCTGGAGCAGAGCTCATGTCCAACACCAGCTCTCCCTCCTGTGGCGAGAGCGCCATTACAGGCAGAAAACTGGAGGCTCCTTGCAGCATATACTGACCCGACAGATACTCAGGGGTTGCACCTGTTTTAAAACAAATTACAATTATAACTTATATGATAACAGCCGGCCTCAGATATGCTCCACTAAATAATTATAAGTAATAAGATAGTTGATGTGAATGTGCAGAAACGTACCAACGGGTACTGAGGAGTCATAGATGACCAAACCAACTTTAGACCATTTTCCCAGTGGATCAAGGTTCACTCCTCTGCTGATCAAGGCCTAAAACAAGGAAAGCACAAGCCAGTGTTCAAATAGGAGGACGCAAAGTAGCATTTGAGACTAGACATTAATCAAAGTGATTTTACAACCGTTAAACAAATCAACCACGTTACTAATTTATTTGTTCTTCTGATTTGGTTCGATAATACCTCAAAGCACATAGAATCAATCTCTCCCACCCAATCCAGTTACCTGGGCAAGATCCCTCCTCCTCGTTTTCAGCGTGTTGGTCCGAATAGTTACAGGTCTCTGAATTTCATTGGCCTCAAGGAATTCCACCAGCTTGATGCAAGAGAGAAAGAAAAAAGATATACGGATCAATTAACATTTTTTTTATAAACTTAAAACCCATTCTCGAGCAGGACAACAGCAACATGCTGAAGCTATGAGAACATAGCAATGCCTTTGTTAGTACTGAGGAAAAAATAATCACCAACCTCTGAGAGAGGGAAGAGGTCCATTAATTTCTCAAGGAGGAAGTGGTTGTAGCTGTAATAAGTACAGAGATCCTTCTTCAGAAGAGAGAGGTACGCTGATCTTGGTTTCCCTTCTTCCCTTTTTGCTGAGAAGTTACAAAGGACGTCAATGTTGTCCTTAATTCTTTGATAGATTGTCTTCAGGTCCAGGGGGATGATGCCTACCAACACAGAAAAGAAAATTGTTTTTGCCGCCTTAAAAAATGCGAGAAGAATCCTTTTGGAAAAACGTGAGTCAATCACCTTCCTTCTCGGTTTCCTCTGCATCAGGTAACTTGAATTCATCCATCTCATCCATGTTGGCTTGTACTGCGTCTTCCTCATCTGTGTCAGCGTCGGATTTCTTTTCCTGATCACCACCATCTTGATCGTCGTCGTCTTCCTCATCATCATCATCATCCTCCTCCTCCTCTTGAGACATAGTTTCCTTCTTTTTCGCTTTCTTGGCTGCACGCTCAATGGGAAGAAGCTATATGTGGAAAGAACACAAGAAATATTGTCACTAAATCAAACAAACTTTGTTTACCAAATCAAGCATCCAGACTCCTGGATTTTGCAGCCACACTTAATGACACATTGAATATATACACAGTTAAGTGGGAGGACATTTTGAGTCAATTGGGAATTGTACTAGCCATTTTGACCACCCGTTACATTTAAACAATTAAATATTAAATGTAGTCAAATTTCCAGTCTCAAGTACAGAGAAACACACAAAAAGTGGTGGCTGGCAAAAAGTAAAACAAAAATATAACATACTTCGTCCTCGTCACTGGCGTCATCAAGTGCCCCGTAGTCGTCAACCAGTTCATCGTCGTCCTCCTCATCATCATCGTCGTCGTTCTCCTCTTCCTCCACTTCTTTAATTCCTAATTTAGCACTCTTTTTTCCTAGGTCTTTTGCTCCCTTCTTTGGCTGTTCCTCCTCCTCATCCTCTTCTTCCTCCCAGTGTTCATCACTGTCATCATCACTTTCAGGTTCACCAATTTTTCTCTTCCTCGTTGACGGTTTCAACCATTTACTGTTCTCATCAGTGAATCCTTTATTATAAAAAGATAATAAATACCACGTGGTTAAACGTAACTCTAGAAAACACATGTATAAGGTGAATCAGTTGTCTGCACTTATGTATAGAAAACAAACACGTGTGGAAATACTGATGATACCTTTCTTGGGCTGTTCCTCGGCCGCAGCATCTTTAGGCTTTTTCACACTCTGGACTCTTTTTGCAGCTCTGTTAAATAACAATATGAATGAGCACTTTGTAAAAAGCAATGTTACTTTATGTTGTATAATCAGTCATTCATTCATTCATTACCTTTTCCTGCCTCTACTTGACAAGCGTTTTGGTGCAGGTTCCTCTGCAAACAGAAAATAAACACTTTAAAAAAAGGCTTGTTAACAACGGTACGATGGTAAACTTTACTAGAGCGTTAACGTGTGTCTTTATAAACACTTAATAATCACCATCAGTTATAAAATTGGCCAACTCAGTCTCCGCTCCTTTCTGCTTCCTGGATTTTCTCCCTGGTCCTCTCTTCACCTTGTTGGTGGGATCCAACTTGCGACCCATGACTCCAAGCTACACAGACACCTGAAAAGGAGAGAATACAATGATTCATGTATCAAACACCAGTGCCATAAAACACAGTAAATGTCGGTTCATATAAACAGATGCTACAGTTACTGCCCTGCTTCTAAACGCGAACGTATTGCACATTTCTACACACAGTAAGTCATGGCTTGTTGTTCTGAAATGAATCTAGTAAAATACATTATCTGAGTAGAAGTGTAAAATCAAAGAAACGTTTAAAATGATTTATATACATTACATTACATTACATGTCATTTAGCTGACGCTTTTATCCAAAGCGACGTACAATAAGTGCATTCAACCATAGGGTATAAACTCAGGAGAACAAGAAACAAGAAAGTGCAATTTCCTCAAATAAGCCAATTTACAATTTGCTATAGATGAGTGACGTTACAAGTACAATTTAAGTGCTACATAATAATTATTAGAATCTATGACTGAGCTCTGGTGTAAACAGACCTACAGAACCACTGTATGACAGGTAGTCTCTTATTAACATTTGTGGACATCAACCCTTCCACGGGGATGTAATTTAAAAGTGATCACGATTCGGGCCTTTTGCACTAAAAAAAACACCAACATGACTCCGTTCATCATAGATACGCATTTTGTTTTAATTTACACTGATCGTAGATCATATGGATTCAAAATTACAGTGCCGCAGATATAGGCAACCTATAAGTGCTCAATTATAATGCGCTGCAGTCATAGTGAACTGTAAACGAACAGTCAAACTCGGACAATTAACGTAACTTAAGTTGAACCAGATATTGTGTCTCCAAATTACAATCTCGATTAATAACACTGATTTAGTCGGTCATTACATAATTATCGGAACAATTATTCTCCCCAAACTCACCGGCGAATCTGCTTTTGATCAACGTTCTGCTCGTACGCTGTAAGCTTAAGGAACACACACGTGAATCTTTCTTCAACACGTTGTGGGAGAACATCCGTCGCATGTAAGTGACGTAACGATGGTGCCAACAGTGGTCTGGCGCGCGCATACAGATATAACTGTTACGTATTTCCCCCTCTTTTTAAGAATACATAAAATAACACGTTATCACAGGTTTTCCATATGATTTCTTTTAGCTATATATATTAAAATTAAATTAAAAATAACTATCGTCACGTGGAAGCCCACAATTTGTTGTAGTGACGCACCCGTTCTGCGACAATTCAATCGAAGGCAACATGGCGGCACCTAATGAGAAGAAGCGTGGTCTTGAACATTTGGATGAATATGAACCAAAACCTTCCAAACATCTCCGCAGCCTGCACGACCGTATGACAGAGAGGAGACTGGTTGTTATTCTGGAGGGAGCGTCGTTGGAAACAGTGAAGGTGAAGCGTCAGAGTCGTGTTTGTGTGATGTTGTGATGCAGCCCACTTTCTCCTACCAGTGGAAGTGAGCAAAACCGATGTATTCAAATTACGTTGATTTAACATATAGTTCACGTTTTGTATTTCACAGGTCGGAAAAACCTTTGAGCTGTTAAATTGCGACCAACACAAAAATATGATCGTCAAAAGTGGAAGGAATCCGGGACATATAAGACCTGACATCACACATCAAGTAAGCACTCCTTTATAATAGTGTTCATAACGTATATCTTTCATAACTTAGATTTTGTTTAAATTGAATAATGTAATTAAAATGTCTGTCCTTGGCTTTCGGTCGTTAAACCTGCAGTGACTTATAATTGTCTAATATTGCAACCGCTTTTCCTTTTTGCATGGCTGTATTGGAGTTTAAAAATAATAATCTCAACATTTTATATCTTTTTTTTCTTCTTTTTTTACCAGAGTCTACTTATGTTGATGGACAGTCCATTGAACAGGGCAGGCCTGTTGCAGGTTTACATCCATACAGAGAAAAACGCCTTGATAGAGATCAACCCACAGACCCGCATTCCTAGAACCTTTCCTCGATTCTGCGGCCTTATGGGTAAACCGTTAATATTGAATGCTTTCTGGGTACAAGCTCTGTATATGAGTTGGTTTGTTCAGGCAAAGGGGGAAAAATGTTCAGTCACTTATTTTATTGTTTAATGTCCATAACTCCTCCTCTGCCTCACTTGTTCTGATCATTCTTGCTTCTCTTCTGGTATCTTAGTTCAGCTGCTGCACAAGCTGAGTGTCAGGGCTTCTGACGGTCCTCAGAAGCTTTTGAGGATGATTAAAAACCCAGTGTCTGACCACCTGCCTCCCGGCTGCCCTCGCATGTCCACCTCCTTCTCTGCTACCGCAGAAGCCGTCTGTCCTCGGTCTTTGGTGCCAGAGGGACCGGCTGCAATTGTGATTGGAGCGTTTGCACATGGAGCGGTAAGAAACCGCTATACATTGTAGCTTATTTACTGCAGCGAATATCTTATATCTGTGTTACTAATCTATTTGTCTTTACTAGGTGAATGTGGACTACACAGAGAAGACGGTGTCCATCAGCAACTACCCCCTCTCTGCGGCACTGACCTGTGCTAAGATGTGTTCGGCCTTTGAGGAGGTGTGGGGTGTCCTGTGACAGTCATAAACTGCTGGTTTGACCAGACAGAGCGAGCAGAGGACAGGAGTTTATTTTTGAATGGACTAGGAATGGATATGATGTCCTTTGCACCATTGAGGCCGCATGGACCACATATGTATCCTTTTATACACTGAATGTGTATACTTGTATCATGGCGTTTGGACACCATCTGGAAAAACACAGGTTTCTGTACTAAGTGTTTTTTTTACATTTAAGAGTGTGGCGGCTTTTTATACTATTATTTGCATTCTTTACTGATTTTGGATAATCAATCAATAAAGTTGCATTCAAGTATTTTAGCGTATGGGTTTTCTTTTATATAGATACTTTTATAAGTACATGTTTTACCCTGAGAACATGGAACCTAAGTCTACAACAAAATAAGCAGTCATTTTCAACTCTTAAGAAAATATACAATTTCACATTGCTTGAAAGGTTTTAGTTTTAGTACCTCTCACCCTAAATCACAATGCTAGTAGTAACCAGCTTTTCTCCTCGCACCCCGTCGTCCTGTTTTTAATCTTGGCCTGCGTCTTGATGGCTGTCTTCTCTGGAGAGTCTGATGGGGACGTCTATTGGTTCTCCGTACTTTTTGGGCTGCTTGGTTAGTTGACGATCTGCTTTCCTTTCCTGCAGGCTTGGGTGATTTTCCTTTGGGTTGGGGTGTCTTCCTTCTTGGTTTACGTGATTTGGCTGCCGCTTTGCGAGTCTTCAGAGTTAGTTTTTGTCTTTTGGTTACTTCTCTGAGAGTCTTTCTTTCTGATATGGGAGTCCTTTTGGCCTGCTTCTGTGACATTTCTGCTCCTTTTGGAGATGTGCTAGCTCTCTGCCTCAGATTAGTTTTTGAGTTTGGGGATTCCACAGTACTCATCCTTACTTGCTTTGCCTCTATCTGTTTCTGATAAAAAAAAAAATGAAAATCAATGATTCAACATGACGTGCAATTTGGGAGTATTGGTGACAAGACAAACTTGCTATGTAACGTTCAGGCCAACCCAGCTCTCAATAAGATAAAATGTGGAAGTTTGTTCCACTTCCTGCCAACCTCTATTAAACTACATTAAATGTACAGAGCATTAACGCAGCAATGTACTGTCCCGTTTGTCCTTCTTGTTTCTCCTATAAACACAACTGAAATATAGACGTAAACAAGTCACATTTTAAAGTCAGCGGTCCTTTTACCATATCGTTGAGCCTGGATGAGGAGTTCCTTGTAGTTTGAGATACTGTCTCTTTCTTAGGCAGCCTTTGATTCACCTGCCACTTGTTCTGGGTGACATCAAAGCCTCCAGCAGCCAGCAACTGCCTGAGTTCTGCCATGCAGATGCCACCCTGCAGCTTGCATTGGGAAACCACACCGAGGATGAGGTGGGGGACGTGAGGGGACGCGTGGGTCCTCGTTGCATTCTCAGCTGCAGTTTGAATCCGATGCTTGAAAAGACGAACAGGAGTTCCTAAAAGATCAATAAAGACAAGATAAGCCTTCACACGGGGTATTTCCAGAATAGGGCCTATATTTCAAGGTCTGGGTTGTGAGATGGATGAATATTTAATTTGTGTTATCATTTATTTCTTTATTTTTTCATTTCAAAAGTTAATGAATTTTGTCACTGAATAAAATAAAATCGATGTAATAGCAATTTTTAAATGTCTTTTTCTGTGTAAACACAAATGTCTCATTTTAAAGTGCCAAGGAAAAAGGTCTTGTTTTCCCTCCGTGTTTACTTGAGTAAAATGAAAACATTAAACATGACGTTATATCGCTTGGACTTGTTGACTGGCTAATGTTAGCTGCTAGCTATAATGGCTCAATGGCTCGTTACTCACTCGGCAGAGAAGCCTTTTCCTCCTCCGTGGCCTCCTGGTTCTCGGTGGCTCGTTTCAGAAGTTGGCCCAGACGTTTGGCTCCAGCTTTTCCGAGTCCTTTCCCCGCCGGAGTCGTCGTTGCTCGTGTTGTCGCCTTTAACCCTGCACTGTCTTTTGCTGGAAATGTGTTAACGGCGGCTATTTTGTGCGTGGCTTTCTTCCGCATTTTTTCTTTTTTATCGCATTTTATATTTTAGTGAGAAATCCCCTCAATTCTCCAGCTGATTGCCGCAGAGTTTTACACTCAAATATAGCCGAATTTCTTTTTTTAAATAATAACAATTACGTTGTTGCTGTCAGAGGTGAGTGTTACCAAGGAGACGAGCTCATTTAAAGCTAAACGTTCTTAGCATGAAAAGTGAGAGAGTAGATCTGTGAAAACGTGGAGGGAAAATAGTTTTTAAAATGTTTATTTTGTAAATATAACTCTGCAAAAGCCCGTGCGTGTAATCGTGTAATATAGGAAATCCAAACATATCTTCAGAATAACAAGTGATACAAAAAATGTCAGGTTTTTCTTTACCAGTACATACTCACGCTATAAACATACTATACTGTCTCTGCAACAACAGTTTGTGAATGTCACATTTATTTCTTAAGCAACAGGTTTGGCCAGAAAAAAATCCATAATAATCATTCCTGTACAAACCAAAAAAAACCTTGATGAGCCGTTACTCAGCATGTTTCTAATGAATGCTGCTGAGTTTTATTGGGGCACTGCAGGCTTTCAGGACACAGGTCAGATTTTGAGCAAATAACTGTAATCAAGAAGGAAGGCTCTAAGGGCATGAATTGGCTGTACGCGTCTGAGTCACAGTGAACCTGCAAAGGGTACACGATAAAAGACATGCGGTGAGTAGCTGAGAGGAAAGGAGATGGCCTTTGCAGCCAAATAGTCGAACCACTGTACCTGTGAAAAAGATGTGAGAAACAGGCGTGTGTGTGATAGTCCTGAGATGGACGTGTCCCATGGGTGGTTCTTTAGACTCTGATGATAAGCCTGTGGGGGGGGGGGAAGATAAAATGTGGAGGAATAAGCTCAAATGTTGTTTTACACAGAGACGAAAGCCTGGCGACTGCTGCTCACCTGCAATGCTATCTGCAGTGCAGAATACTGCACCCACACCTCCTGCCGCTGCGCCGCTGACAGAGAAAACTCCCCACCGCCGCCCGCTTCTCCTTTTGTCACAGCGAGGTAGTGAGCCCACACACATTCGCCAACAGCGTGCACCATCTCACTCTGAGAGTAAACTACAACACAACGGACCGATTGTTGGGACAATACATCAGGCGCTCTGTAAGTAGTCTATAAAGAAGGCGTGATGTGAAGGAGTGTATGTAACCCCAAAACAAAATAAGCTTTGCTTACCATCAGGCAAAATCAGGTGGAGGATGTCTTTGGCAATAAGGAAACCCATCAAACCATAATTCATTGCCCTGTTTGGCAAAAAGTGTGTTGTCATGCTCAATGTCCAAATATAGGTTTGAAATCCCTTTTAAAATATATTTAAAATCAGTGTAAACTGGACCTGGGATAGGTAGGATGGAAGAGAGGAGGGATGAACATTCCCATGGGAAAGAGGAGCTCATCACCAAGGAGAAATGGCGTGACAGACAGACTACAAGAAGAGACCAGATACACGCTGCTCAAAACAGTCATGAAAGCTCGAACTCAACTTTAAGAACAGATTCAGACGCTTACCTGTCAGCCGCCTCAGCCCGCCCAGTCAAGAGTTCATTGCGTCTCTTTCGCCGAAAGGAAAGTAACTGGACATAGTTGGAGAAGAAGCTATTTGTGCCGACTGTTACCTAAAAATCAAAACGGATTAAAATGAGGTAGATCACAATGAATGTGTGCAGTACAAAGTTAGGAGGGAAAAGGATTCATCTAATAAGGAAGTTATAATTTGTGAGATTGGAGGCCTGTAATGTACCTTGGAAAAAAGGAGGTCGAGCTCAGCCTCACTAGAGATCTCTTTTGTAGTCCAAAGTCTTGGAATCAAAGGCTCAACCTGCAGGAGGATGGGTAATTGTTGACATCAAAACAACCTCAAATGCCTGTCAACAACTACAATCACTATTCATTTACCTTCTTCATGACAAACTGGAGAGACTTCTGATCTGTCCATTTGAGTTCACGTAATGTGGACTTGAAGGATGAAAATATATTTTGAATAATCTCCTCTGCCTGTTGAACAAAGGAAACATGTATCCGCCTCAAAAGTCTATTCGGTACACAATCAATTGCGTTATAACTTACCACAATGGCCACTCACCTCTCTGCGCGCTGTCCTTTCACTGAGAAGGTGTGTAAGGACGTGGCCAAATCCTCTCTCGGTTTCCGACACACAACGTTTCCAGCGATCGGCTACCTGGTCGAGAGGCCCAGGTGACTCACCAAATCAACTCGCAGGTGTCAGCATTGTGTAAAAAAAGGTACAGGCGGCTTTGCCTGCGTTCACTCACCCCTCCAGCCTCACCCAGAGCCAAAGACAAATTATTCGCCGTTTCCGAAAACCTGGAGTCCAGGGCAGGTATCAGGGTGTGCAGCAGATTGAGGACCATGTATGTATGAACGGGGCTGCTGAATGGATTCAAATGTGGCAGCACATGAGGAGAAAATAATAAGTGACAGGAAAAGTCCGTACCGGTCCGAGTGAGGTTTGTTTCACATCGCTGACAGTGTACCTGGTGCTCAGCTCGTGCTTGACCAGCCATTTGCCAATGGTGCGGGACATTTGCATGATGTAGGGTAAATTGTGCAGAAGGACATGGTCGTCTTTGAAGAGCGGCAGAGGATGGAAAGCGGCCCGCAGACAGCCCAGCCAATCGATGCCCGGGGCCTGTTTCTGTTGACGGAGTCACGCAAAGAAACTCAATTATCGCGTGCGGATTCTGTCACAACATGTTTGCATTAGGGCCCCATTCCTCCTCTCCTTCCGTACCTGCAGTTCTCCGATGGTCGTGCGCTGATAAAGCTGTCCTCTCGAAAGGCGAAAGCGCAAAGGTGCCGCCGCCACGGCGAGCTCAGAGGACAGAGAGATGAACGTGCCCACGTGGATCATGCTGCGGCTGGGAGGGGCCCCCAACAAGGACAGGTACCTCTGACACGATTCCAAGAAGGGCCGCAGCGTCTGGATGAAAAGAGACAGGAGAAGGATAAAACGACGCACTGGTGGGATAGATGGATATTGTTTATGCGCCAAAGGACGTTTCCCGAATCAATAGTGGTCTGGCGAAGTCAGCGACCTGCGTTTCAGCTTGAGACTTCAGTGTCTTGCTGTTCCATTGGACGGGGATCAACAGATCTGGCTGATCGATCTGTTGACAGAGAGGAGACTGGAGGTTAAAGCAATAAGATGAAGCCTACTCTGCGATGGCCGCGCTCTCTCCAGCCTGTCAAGGGACAAATTACTCCAATGGAGGCTCGCCTGTATATATCTTTTAGCTGTCTCGCGGGGCATTTCGTTGGGGTCTTTTCCCGCGTAGAGGTTGAAGAATGGAAAGGTGGCGTAGTCTCTCATGAGCAGGCTCAAGGTGGAGTTAAAGTCGGTCCGATTCCACTGGCCCGATACGGCCCAGCCACCGAGCTGCATGCAGAGAGAGATCGAGAGACAGAGATGATGGTCAACCATTATAAGTTATCTTGCTATGTTAGTGGGAGAATACATTGTATTTTTGTGTCTTCACCTCTCTAACCTTTGCACAGAAATGATACACAATATATAACAATTGATAACTTTTCTGTTGAGGTTAGTCAGCCAAAAGGACACAATATAAGGGTATTTAATTCTCTCACTTTCTGGATGAGTGTGAGGAAAGGGTCTGCTCCAGCTGTTTCAATGGATTTGGTGTCCAAACAGGAACGGTAAAATGCTTTGGCCTTTTGGACCGCTGTACTAGCCGGTCTGTCATCTGCTTCTTTCACACAGAAGTAGAAAACCCCCCAATTCAGACAGTTAATTTATATGAATCAAATGCAAATTAGTAAATAAAGCAATACATTGCAAAGTGGTGGGCATTCGAAGATATTTCGGTTGCATACCACTACCTAAAATCTCCCTGAGATATTGCAGCAGCACTGTTCTTCTGTCCGGTATTTTCTCTTTTCTCTGTCCTTTCCTCTCGGTCCTCCCAGCATTTTCTTTCTGGTTCTGCGGATGCCCAGGGATGCCTTGCCCTCTTTGCCTCCCCCCCTTCTCTGGGGAAAGTACATCAGATCCACATGCGAACAAGAAGTAATCGCAGGGCTGCGTGAAGGGATCGGCAGACATGGACAGACGGGCTGAGGCCCAGCGACAGGCTGGAGAGAGACATGGAGTCACTGCGGGAGAGAGGGACAGAAGAGTCAGACGAAAGGGCAGATTCTAATACTAATAATCTAATAATAGACTAATAATTTAAGACTAATAATCATTTTGTTGTGTTTCTCCAGAGGCCCAACTTTACCTGTCTGGATATTGCGTTTTTGATGATTATAATGCATGTAATAAAACAGTCCCAGAATGGCACTACTTAAGGAGAAGCCCAAAAGGAGGAGAAGCAGCCGTCGAGGATTTATCCACCTCGGCTTTGCTTGCTGCTGGGCCTCGGGGTTAGACTCTGACAGCTGGAGCTGCGTTTGTTGATCGTTGTCGAAGGGATCCTGGGCGGTGAGTGGCAGCTGAAACAGAGGTGGAGGCTGGAGCCCCCTCCCAGATTCTGACTGTGACTGCTTAACAGATAGCTGGAAGTGAGAAAGTGAAGCAAGAATGTAATTATATGTATATATGTAGTTATATGTATATATATATATGGCAAACATTATATTTATATTAATTATATATATATATATATATATATATATATATATATATATATATATATATATATATATATATATATATATATATATATTACACACATTATATATAGTGAGGAATATAATGAAATACGGCAAACATTAAAGTGAAACTCATTGGCGTTTCACTTTAATGTTTGCCATATATATATACATATATATATACACACACATATGTGTATATATATACACACATATATGTATGTATTTATATATTCACACATATGTATGTATATATATATATATATACACACACATATATATGTATATATGTATACACACGTATGTATATATATATATACACACACACATATGTGTATATATATTATATATATATATATAATATATATACACACACACACATATGTGTATATATATTATATATATATATATATATATAAATTACACAAGAACACATTACTTAGTCATAAAAAAGTACAAGCGTAAAAAGTACAATAAAATTTTGAGTACTTGTTTGAGTATTAGTGTGGTCATTAACAGGTCTCAACAACTCTTTGGAATACATAAATATGAACTTTGTAATCAAAGAAACTAACCTCAGGTTAGACAGCCTAACTACAGTATAGACTTACTTCCACTGACATCTGTGTCCTACTTCAGTAGAATAGTACAACATATTATCACGACATTGGCCAGCTGCCTGTCTGCAAAGGACACATTGGCGGTTTACTCTTTTCCAAAGTTCCAAAAATACCGACACAAACACCATTAGTTGGGATTTTACACGACAAAGCACATTGCAGACCTCACCAAGCTGCATAATCTGAATAATATAATTTTCCAGGAACGTGGAAAATATTAGCTTCACAACCATGGGAACATAAAACTACTTAATAACGAGGTCAGCTTAGGGTTTTTTCTTTTCCTCAATGAAATATCTTACCTCAAGTTCTATTGGAGTTTCAGTCATTCTTAGCACACGGATTGTTGTCCTTTACATTTGACGTGTCACGTGTGCTCCCTCCTCCTCCGTCAAAGAGCAGTCATCTCAGCTCCCCATCTGTCTTCAGAACTCACTTCTCTCATTTTACCGCTGATAAAAAACACTGCAGGCTGCGTCTTACTTTTCTCTCCAGAACACAGATAATCAAGCACAGGCTGCGGTTCGACTCTGGGACATGAATGTGGGTGCTTAGTGAACACGGGGGAAGCTGATCACTAAAAGGCACTAACTTATTTTATAATATCCAACCTGTCTGCATGTTTTGAGGCTTGAGAACAGAAGGCATTTGCAGGTTAGTGAATGAGGGCCAGCACTTCATGGAAAGTAAACACTCTCAGATGCGCACGTGTCCGCTGTCGTCACTATCAGTGCAACACATGGCTGTTAATGACTGATAGAGCGGTTTAGCGTCCCGGTGGTCATGCAACACAGCAGAGTCTGTGAGGAAACCTGTTGCATGGATGTCACAGGGAGCCCGATTCCGAATATGATGGTAAAAACAAATATGAAAAACATCTAATCTAATCTGTCTAATTTTACAGTACTGCAGGTTGCAAATATTTTGAATTGTATAGTTGAAGAAATTTGAACAAAGACATTTGGTACATAGCATTCTGTTTATTTGTTTATCTTTTGTTACAGCCAAAGAGGGAGGGGCTAAATAATGTTTTTAAAACTTTTACACATATCAAACATGAACTTATCGAAACGTTAACTGAAAAGAGCAGGCATCCGCATGTAATACAACAACATGCCAGATAAATGCACCTGTGAAGGCATCATCATACGTTTAAAATCACATAGTGATGACAAAGAAAAGGCAGAGCCACAAAGATGGAGTCGTTGGTGCAGACTAAAGACATACAACTAGAAGAAATACCGCCACCACCTACACAGAATGCATGCAATGCTGAACAACTACGGCCATATAAGTCATTCTGGAGTTATACTGCACCATTCTCGATTCAAGCACAAGTAACAACTGATTTCTTACAGTGGAATGAATTTCTGTAGCTGCAAACAAGGCTCAATTCAAAAAAGGAACAACGTATTCAATAGTGGAGAAGGCACATCTCCAGCTTCAAAATGAGAACAATTGTAAGCCTTTATCAAGGAAATACAGTACAGTAAGAGAAGATTAAAATAGTATATAACGTCATAATCACACTTAAGTACATAAGATGAATAATAGAAACAATAGTGGTATTTACTTTAATAATAGAATAGATAAAGAACAAAACAAATGAGCTTAAAAAAGGTGAGAAACGGTTTTCTCGACCTCAATCCTTAACAGTGTTGAAATATATTTGGTCACAATGTTTAAAAGCTGATTTAAATGATTTAAAGTTAATGCCTCTACTGATCTATTGTCCTGCTTTAATTTAGTACTGGTACAAATACAGTATAACTTTAGTACTGAATAAAGATTTAAAGAAATGATATTCTTTAAAGCAAGGGTTTCCTAGGAAGAGCATATCAAAAACTACCATTAAGTTTCTAGATGATGTCTAATACAAAAATTGATCATGTGCGGCTTCACAGTCAAAGTGACTCTTAAAGGCTACTTTATGTCATCATGGAACTGTGCAACAGTTACGTGATAGGTCCACGCAGCTGACATTTATAACCACGTTTTTTTTTATCCTGGAAGGTAATGTGCTCGTCCGTTTGTTCAAAATGTGTGCATTTAAACAGCATGCATCTTTAAATACACCATTAAATCATCCGCTCCAAACCATTGAGAAGAAAATGGTAGGTCTTTGTTCTAATCCTGCTCCAATACAGTCTATACGATCGAATAAGCAAATACATATATGTATGCCTCTTAATTACTAAGAGCATTTTTTTTACTTTGATCTTTTTTCTAGTCAACGTTTAGCCCTAGAGGATGTCAGAATGCTGTATAGTCGGCGGACATAAAGCACTTTCTAGGCAGGAAAGCATACGTAAACATGCTTGCAGCAAAAAAACTGCCAACGTGTTAAAGATATGCTCTACCAAAAGCCAGCCAGAGTGGTGAAATATGTAGAGTGGTCTCTGGTACTCCTCACCCTATGGTACCAATATGACTCTATCATTGCTATAGTTACAATGCCCATATGGAAATAGACCCACCAGTCAAAGTTTTTCACCTGGAAATGTCTCAGTATATGGTGCTAGTAACAATAAGAGAGTCAGGAAAGAAAGGCAACTTTATATTCATTAGACTGTTGTTTTGCTCAAACTATTGTGCAAGTTATGCTGGAAATGTAAGCGTAAACATTGAATTGGCACAATAACAAAAAAAACAAAAACGTTCTAGTACATCAAGAGGACTAGATAAGAGATTGGGAATAAAATATGGTGGTTTATTCAATGCAGTACATTACTTCTGCACTGAAGTGAACAAAGACGGGGAATACTACATGTATTTGCATGCAGACATACCTGTTCACACAGCACACTCACACCTGCGCACATATACTAGTACAGCTCTGTTGCAGAAGCGAAGCGGCTGCTGAATAAATCCTGTGCTTTTGGATTTTGGTTCATAGTTAATCTGAGGTTCAGCCAATCACTTAGCAGCCTGCTTGGCTCGCTGAGTGTGGCACTTCATACACAGGATCTTGCCATCCAATGGATAGCAGCCATTTTCATCCGCTTCTATGGAGAGAGGGCGAGCACAATCCTACAAGACAAAACATGTGTTTGAATCATTTATTAACATTGTGGTAATGGTTGGGGATTATTGATTGTATGTATGTTATGATGTATAAAATGGTGTCTTACCTCACAACGGTAACACTTGAGGTGGAAGTTCTTGTCAAGAGCCACCACTCGGACAGTCTCCTCGCTGCCCTGGGCCGGAATGATGGGTTCATTGCAGCTCACACACAGGGGGGAGAAACGCCTGAAATAGATAATTTAAGATCTTGCCGAACACCAAAAGCAATACATGAAAAACAAAAAAAATCAAAGTTGTTGGTTCTCGTCCTGCTTAAAACAAACACTGCTTAAATGATTTAGTCTTCAAAACCCACCCAGCTAATGCTTACTTGTACAGAAACTATACAGATGGAAGTCATATAACCACTTTTGGGAACTTTGCCCGGCAAACCAATGAATTCATCATAGGAAGCGACATGCAGATACCTGTGGTAATCCTGGACACAGTAGGGATTGTTGTTGTCATCAGTGATGAAGGGCGCCCCCTCAAGTGTGCAGGAACAGGTGCTGCAGCGAAAGCAGTGGGAGTGGAAACACTGGCCCACCGCCTTCAGCACACGGTCTGTGATCCTCTCCCCACATCGGGAACACACGGCCAGGGAGCTCTGAGAAGGAGCGGAAAGGTGGTAAACTCCCTAAGTCAACGTTGATCTCCACGTACTTGAGCTGTGCACAAAATCAGTCACACGATTGCTGCTTACTTGTGAATTCAATTTATTTAGTCGAGCCCAAAATCACAAAATACTACCAAGCTGCAGTGGATGACCAACAATGATAAAAGTTAGTAACTAACAGAAATAATAGAATATAGATGCACATTACAACATGAGAGTTCAAATCTAAAAACATGAAATGAAACAGCTCGAAAGAGAGTAGCTACAATGTAAATGAGAATAAATGAAATATGTTTCAGTGAGCCACTTTATGTGTGAGCTTTTAGTCTTTTGTCAGGTCTGTGCGTCTCCTCACCATGTAGCAGTCCTCACACTGAGGTGCGCCGTCCCGGTCGTAGAACTGCATGCCCTGCAGGGGGCGATGACAGCTCATGCAACAGAAGCAGTTTGAGTGAAAGAGTTTATCCATGGCCCTCACCGCCGGCTGGGTACGGGACAGAGCCTCGCCACACTTCCCACAGACCTCTGACACGAGAGAAATACAAACAAGTTGATTCACAAATACAGCAATCTCCCATAAGTTGAGTCCATTGCGTCGTGTCAGGTTTGAAGCAATGACTAATATTGTATTCAACAAGAATCACTATGGATTTGTTCAGAAGCTCTTTTCTTTCTTTCTTTTTTTTTTTACAACCTTGGTTTGATACGACACACAAAGCTTAATGATCATACATATTCATAGCAGTGAACACAACAACTGCAGAGCTACTAGACACAGTTTGTTTCAGAATGAGCTTTGAATACATTTCCATAAATGTTTTGCATAATCAAGGAATGAGTAATGCAGTATATTTTGATGAAAAGCCAACCCTCTGTGTGTGTGCGCGTGTGTACCTGTGGGAGCCGAGGTGATGACAGGTGCGTGTGTATCCATGTCTTTAATGAAGTCCTTGGTCATTCTCTCCAGCTCTTCCACTTCCCTCATATTAAGAGGAACGCCTCCACCTGGGATAAGAACTGGGCCAGGGGGTGAGGGCTACACACACACACACCATTAGTATGTATATGCACACACACACACACACACACACACACACACACACACACACACACACACACACACACACACACACACACACACACACACACACACACACACACACACAAACTAACAACAACGAGTCTTGTGTTCATCCTCAGATAAATAAATCCACATCATGGAGGACTCGAGTAGCAGCAAGCCGTTCATGGTGACATCCTCTCTGAACTTCAAAGTCACCACCCCAAACTTCTACAATCAGCCAAAGAAGTTTGCCTATATACCTTAAAATACCTACAGTATAGGTACAATACCTACATGAGCTACCACACCTTAAATATTGTTATTTACAATTGAGCAGTTTATCCACACAAATACAGTTAGTTCAGGTCCAGAACTGCATATTTCTGATCACTAAATTATTTGTACTTCCGGTTACTCTCTACATGCAATTCAAAGAGTGTCATCTAGGTAAAATGTAAACGAGAACATACCGTTGATGCAGGAGGAGTCTTCATCGGCTGGTTAAAAGAGGCTGGGGGGGACGCCAACATCTTAGGTTGAGGAGGAGGCATTACAGCAGGAGCGTTTTGGTTTGCGTTCATCTGGCTGGCAAAGGGAGAACTCTTGTGATTCGAGGCCGGGGCACCTGCCATATTGTTTGGTACGGTAGGAGGTGCAGGGGGAGCAGCCGGAGGTGGAGGGAAAGAGCTGGTGGCAGACGGAGGGGCAGGTTTTGGTGTAACACTGATTAGGGGGGTGTTCTGGTTAAGGTTATGGTTCAGTTTTTGGGCCAGAGAAGTTGAGGATGTTGCCGTTCTCCCTCCGAAACCGGACTTTGGGGCCACGGCCGGGGCCTTAGTGAGGGGCTGAGGAGCAGAGTTTGGGGCAGAGTTGTGATTGGCTTGTCGGTTTGTTCTGGCTTTGAGTTCTTCTGCCCAGGGTGCTGGTGGCGGGCGGTCTCCCATCTCTGGCGGGGGGAGGAAGGAGAGGGCTGGTTTTGGAGCGGTTCGGGGAGGACCTGAAGGCTTGGGTGCTGGTGCTGAAGAATACTGGCTCGGTAACTGCAGATGAAAACGGAGACGACATTAACAATAAAATTATGATTTTACAGCTCATTTTACCTCAAAACCGAGCGAACAATAAATGTCACTGTTAAGCGAATCTGTAGGAGCATTCAGTCTGTACTCAGACACAACTTATACAAAGGATTACTCAACCAAAATAAGTTAATACATATTATGTGGAATGAGGTTCTCGTGAGGTGTTTATTTTAAGTAAACACCGAAAGCACTCCGCAGTTTGAGTTTATCAGAAGGTCCTAATCTTTCTCACGTTTATTTTGTGGTTCTGAGCCAACATTATTCTGCCATGATCCAGTACCCCCCCAGTTGGATAAAAACACTCTCCATGTATGGCGCTCTCACTGGTTCTCTGGCAGCAGGCTCTGGCTTCATCACACTCTCGTGCTCGATCATAACTTCTGTGTGCATCACGCTCTCCTTCACCTCAAGTGTCTCCTCTCTCAGTGTGAATCACCAGCTACCTCGCTTGTTTTCGCTCTCAGTCTGGTGTGCTGTATGTGCAGTTCCCTGATCATTGAGCTTAAGAGCTGAACAGATAAAAAGGGAGATGAAACCAAACTGGCCTCCCTCGAAACAATTTCTTCACTGACCAAACAACCTTCCTTTGCTCTACCGAGTCGCTCTAATTTACTACAATGCAGCTCCTGTGAGTCATATGCAGCTAAAACGTGCCTCTCGTCCGTTCTTCCTAATGTCTTATGTTTGTTACAATGTATTCTCGATCAGTCAATGCTTTGTACCTTTGGGTTGAAAGGCCCCCTGGTCTCCATCTCAGACAACAAGTCAGTTAGAGAGTCGAGCTGTTTATCGAAGCTCGTCTGCTTCGCCGCCAGCCGCTGGCAGAGGGAGACAGAAAGAGTACATTTCTAAACACAAGTAACAGGATCAAAGGATCATGTGGATAGTGTGTGTGTGTGTGTTTGCATATCCTTGGTTCTATCTATTCTAAAATGGCCGATTTTTTTTAAATTAAAGATGAAATTACTGTGGAAAGTGTAAAGCGCAGACTGAAACAATGAATAAAATAAATAAAAAAATAAAGTAGAGATTAATGATGAATAAAACAATAACATGTTTTCCTAGTGGGATGAAGCAGAATACGATTTGTTCAATTAGTATATTTAGGGTTCATTGGATTGTTTGCTGTGGAACCTTTTAGCAGAAACTCTTTGCGGAGTCAAACAAAGTTTTTACTTTTCAGCAGAAGCTAACAATAATTCCATACATTGATGCCTCCATTGCTTAACAAATTAGCTGCAATTGATGCATTCCTACAATAAACGTCTCAACTATAAACCTTTTGTCGGAATTCTACAAATAAGGAGCAATAATCCAGTTATAAGCATTAAAGAGGGTGATTTATCCCAGACTAAAGCTAATTTAATTTGTGGGAAAATCTTAAAAAGCAGTACATGGAGTGCCTTTGGTCCCACAACAATGTCCTCCAGTGTCCTAAATGATAATAAAATTATACTGAAATGCAGTTACATGCAGCTAAAATAGGAAACATGCAAACAGGCCAAGCAATTTAGCCTAATTTGGTGATGCTGCCATCATGACTCACCTGTGGGTGTCCAGCAGCATTGGGAATACTGGTACCAAAGGCAGGGAGAGGTGGAGGAGGTGGGGGAGGAGGGGGAGACAGGCAGGAGGGTGGACAGTCGCTCTCCTCTGGGGGAGCTGGGAGGGACAGGTCATCTGCTACTGGAGGTGGAGCCGGGAAGGCAGGAGGGGGGGCCTCAGAGGCAGAGGATGTGGTTTGGCATTCGGGGGGAGGAGCCGGCAAATCATCATCCAGTGGAGGGGGAGGGGGAGGGGGGGGTGGGAAGTCTGACAGAAATGAGGAGGGTCGATTGGTTAAAAACTGATGTAGTGGTTTGTGTGAACCATCCTGTCCGATTTTCACTTTCAATGCTTTATCAGATATACAGAGTGCCTTTAAGCAAAATAATTACATCCGACAAGCCAACTGGTATGAGACTATAATAATCCAAAACATTTAATTCAAATGACTCAAAGACAGGGACACTATAGGGACCTTATGTCTCTCAATAAAACAGTATACAACACAACTGATAGGATCTATTACACACGCGTTAGCGTAAAAAGCAGCAGGGTGTGGGACACGGAAGAGTTCTTGACAGAGAGATTACGAGTTGAGATTTTAAAAAGTTTAAACTGCACATACCGTCACAGAGCGAAGGGGGCGGCGGAGGCAGATCTCCCACTCGACCAATCACAGCGGTGCCCACTGGCGTCGGGGATGGAGCAGAGGGAGGTGTCAGACTTTTGGGCCGCGGCGGTGCCACAGAGGCAAACTTCTTTGGCTGATTGTAGAAGTTTGGGGTGGTGACTTTGAAGTTCAGAGAGGATGTCACCATGAACGGCTTGCTGCTACTCGAGTCCTCCATGATGTGGATTTATTTATCTGAGGATGAACACAAGACGCATTGTTGTCGACAGTTAGACAACGCAAAGGAAGATTTGTTAAATGATGTGAGTGGTTGTTTTATAACAAATAAAATGGTATAAAACAGGTTATAATGTTCAATCAAGTTGAATCAACTCCAGACAGAGGGTTGTATACTCAAACTCAAAATTAGTAAAACTACATTAATCTGACTGAAGACAAAGCTTGCATTCCTTGGCAGTGTAAGCAAGTCAGGTTTTTTGCTGAGGAATCAATGGTGATGACCAATTAACAAAGCACTTGGCCTAAATAAATTCCTATCTACACATCAATTAATACTAGATATCGACTACGTAGTTAGTGCCTTTAGACAAATGAACACAAGAGATGTCAGAGTGCAGACTAAATGTGATGGATAATTGACTGATAGTTGTCCTACAACGCACTGCAAAAGTGAAACAAAGTACACATGTCAAAGGCTGCAGGAACAACTGAGAAACTTTTAAAATAAAGACGGTTTCCCATTGAGTTGCCTTTTTATATACTTTATAGGGTCATGGCAGTTTTGTCCCAGTTGTAAAGTCCAACAAAAAACAACATCAATTAAACTCTAGCTTTATTGTACTTTTCAGAACCTCTTAAAATATATTTCCTCAGGCAGAGCAGACATAGTGGCACTACTAGATGCCAAGGACAATTTACAATATATCACACATTGCTGTTTACTGAGGAGTAACAATAAGCTTTTTTGAAGAAGGGACAACAGCAACTATCTTAACATTTTCTTGTGAGGTGCGTCAGAAAGCGGGCGGGCTCAAATATTTACCTCCCACATGCTGGCTGTCAAATAAACGTTACTTCAGTGTCTACTGAAATTCTCCGGCAAAAGTCTGATCTCCTCTGAAGACCCCTGGCCTCGCAAATAGGAACGGTTGTTATTTACTGAGGCACACACACACACAAAGTCATATCATTGTTTTAGCTGCCGTTCTAAAGCTACACCACCTAGTCTAGAAAAATGATACGGTTTTACTAGTGCGTCCACAGCTTACTTGAGTGATTTATAGTATATCTACATTTTTCCTTAAAAATGGAGAAGACAAAAAACATTATCAAAACATTATCTATTGTATAGCAAATCATGTGGATGGGTACAAATAGTTGTTTGTTTGCATTACCTAACCGCTCTGAAATTAACTATAAACTTATATAATATATATAATATAAAAGCAACAGAAACGGGTTTAGTTTCCACTGTGTTAGTCGTTTACGTCATTCGTGTTTACATTTGGGAAACCAAAGGGGTGGCCTTGAAAATGTAGACAGACTACCTCACTACCTGGCTGCAGGTAAAGGTGCTTCATCCTCATTCCACTTTTATAAACACAGGCAGCGCTTCAAGTTCTGACAAGACAGAAAGCCTGATGGCTCATGAAAGTATCTCTGGTATCTTGTTCCTCTCCTCTTCTGCTTTTTGAGTTAGCTTCCTATCAATACTTTTTTATTAAATGTCAAAGACTTTTGAAAAACCTCTGGGCATTTGATTCTGGGCTGTTTTAACATCCAAGGCGGTGCATTACTCATACCTTCTACCCATGCTGATCATCAGCAGGAAATAAATACATCTACGCGTGAAGTCAACTTACAAAAACATCCAAATACAGAATATTCACTACACTACAAGATACAACATAAATAATTCAGAAAATAGATGCGTGGATCCATAAGGGGGGGTTGGTGAGGCTCTGATGGGCGGGAACATTTTTGTGGTTATCAATTATCTGCAGGCACACGGGGTAATTTTGAAGAGCAGTCTGCACCGACGAAATCATACAACAAATCAAACCAGAGAGGAAGTACAGGTGTTCTTAGTCTCTTAGAATATAGCTGACTGCTCATTATTCTAATATCACAGCCAACTCAAGTTGGAAAGGGTTGACACTTAAAGCAAAACGCACTGACTGGTCACAGTGGCTGGAAAGCTCGCATCTTTAAATTGCTAGTCTCAAGTACTCTAAATGAAACACTTGGATTTGAAATGGCTTTCTAAAAAGGAATAATTGGCACAGGTGGGTATCGACTTGGATTTAGTATTTTCATTAGTACTTGAGCTACGTTGTTTCTAAGGAACAATATGCAATACTTAAGAGTGACAATAACTTGTGGTCGGGTTCCGGGATTTAATACGGTGAGATAAGCTCCACATTGCACTCCAGACATCCAACTGCAGATCTATAATGAAACCTGATCTATGAGACGAGAGAGACCCTCGTTTGAAGGGAACATATTTGGCATGTCACCTCGATGACATCATTTTATTTTGCTTCCCTCAAAATAGCGTCTCTTGCTATACATCTTTGCTGCCAAAAGGAGCGGACGCTTGAATTAAGCTCTAGCTCACAATCCGATATGCAGACTTTTGATCTTCTCGTTCCCTACTTAGACTGAACAACGAAGCTTGAGGCTCCATTTAATAATTTCTACTTTGCTCAGAAAGGGCCTCGGCATCGATCACACGCTGTTCTCTGTAGCTCTGGAACTTAAACTCCACATGACCAGACGGCTTTTAGAAGCTAGAAAAGTGTTTTTCCAAGCCCGGTTTAGGTACTACAGCCTTGTTGGTTTTCATGCCATCTCATTGGGGACTAATTTACACATGGCTCCGATGGGAAATGTAATCAGTCGAACTACCTCAAAAAGTAAGACACATAAATACCTCGCAGGCTGTAGCGCGCATGAACCCGATTACAGAATGACGGCTGAAAGCGTTTGAAAATCCCACAGTGGCAACTACTAAACAAGCCAAAACAAAACCCTGAGCTCTTTTTGTGCAATGCTTTGTCTAAGCATGGATAAGTTTCATAATGAATACCCTATTTTGTCTGAAAGTACAGTACAAGTGAAGCCGTAGCTACAGGGCATTTAGAACACTTCTCAAAAGAAGTGGTTCATTACTGTGAGGTTATAGGGGAACAATTTGGTTTATATACTGTGCAACCACTTCTTCAAAAGGTGTATATAAAAAAGGAGTGAGTGGAGTGTCTCAGACCACAAATGTTCTTTGTCCTACTACCTAACTTAGCCTGCAGTGTGTCTTCACGCGGTGACATTAAGTATCTATGTGCACAAACAGTCGCAGTTTCCCTACCAAAAGACATTGGCAGAGGCAAAGCTCCTACATCCCTAATAATCTCATTACTGCCGGCCGATAACAATAAAAACACGAAATAAAAACACTTACTTCCACAAAAAAAGTAGGTAGTTCCCCAAACAGTGAAGGGAACTTGAATGCCTGACAGCAACCGTTTCCCCCCCCACGCCTGGTCAGTTATCGTATCAGTAACTCGTGTGTTGTTGATTAAACTCTCCATTGTTCTGATGTTAACAGCACACCCAGTTTCTGGGAAAGCGTGTCTGGGCCGAGGGGCACTAACCCAGGCACACACAGGCCTTTTGAGGCCAATCTTACAGGTCACTGGAGATGCATTGAGCACCAGAGACTGCAGCCGATTGGCCAAGCAACATTTTCAAAATGGGGAATACCATCTCACCACCCTCACCTGATTGCAGAGACATTGCAGTAGAAGACGGCAGGAGACAACATTAGAAAAGAGGCCTGGAAGGATTTTGGGGAGAAAGATGCCGAAACGTGGTCTCCGTTGTCCCTCATGTGGCCTACAATAAACCACAATTCCTCATCACCCCACTCATGAGTGGTAGCAAACATCCATGTGCAGATATTACTTTGGTTTTCCAATTTACTGAGGTGTGTGACTGCCATGCCATGTCTTTAAAAGAAAAGAAGAAACAACCCAGTGACCTCAGGCTTACCCATGTCACGGGTCAGAGCCTCGTTCGCCTCGTCAGCACGGTCCCAACTTAACAGTAAAGCCTGATAACCAGATTTATCTCCCCTTTGCGCCATCTTTTAGTCAAACACACCGCATGCTGGAGCTCCACTCAGCTGGTCAGCCAACCGTTAGCCGAGGCTGTGACAACTGACAGCAATGGCCGCGTGGTCACAAACACGGCAAATGAAAGACAGACCGCCTGGGGCCAAAGCAACACTGGTTCACAACCCCGTCTTCTTTTTAATGTAACGTTAAAAACAACACGAACGCGTTGAACAGTTCGCTATGAAGCCGCTAGCTGACTTAGCTGGTTGTAGCCGCTGGTTAACGGTACGTTAGCTAGCTTCCCTCGCGCGCACACACACACACCCCAAACATTCCGTTAGCTTTGGTTCAATTAGAAAACAAAGGGGACCAACACCACCCCGTTGTTTTTCTTCTTCTTACCTCGCTCGGGAAAGCAGGCGGTGTCTCGCTGCTGTCACCGAGTCCCTCGGAATTAAATGAGAGCTGCGAGCTTCATGGCTGCATATGCTGGCTGGCTTTGACAACTTTTACGGCGGACTTCCTGTTGGAGCTTCCGTATTTAGCCCGTCCCTTATCACCTGGCACAGCAGCCCGCGGTGCTGCTCCTTCATGTTGTTCCACGGGCATCTTTCGACCTCAATCCGCGGTCGTATTCACATTTAATAGAACAGGCCGACAGATCAACGCTGGACACCCGAGACAAAGACACCGTTTCCTGAGGTGTCGACTTCAGTCCGATGGATTGATCGGTTGCCTGCGCTGTCATGATACTTTACCTTATTAGGTAACCTGTAGAAACCTGCCCCCATCCCCCCAAAAGATAATGTACTATCCGCTCCCATTAACACGATTCACAGAAAATCCCACTCACTTACCGGTTTAATACAGTGTGCGCGTCACCTTTGTCCTCCGCCCTCTTCCTTGTCCTCTTCTTGTTGTCCAGGCAGAGTTAAGAGTTGTCTGTAATGGTAACTTCTCCTTCTCGCTTCCCTTCTCCAGCTATTAGACCCTCCCCCTGATCTCTCCACTCTGCTAAAGAAATGACACCATCCTTCCAAACAAGTTCTCTCTCGTTCTTCTCTGGAGTTGTGAGTTACTATGAAAACATTCTCTCTCTCTCTCTCTCTCTGTGTGTGTGTGTGTGTCCAGTCAGACTCCGCCTCCTGCTCTCTTTTCTCTCTGGATTCTTGCAGCATTCTTCATTCAATGACATCAACCCTGTTGCCTCTCCTTGTAAGGTCAGACTGAGGGAGTCATGGAGTGAGAGGAGGAGGAGGGGGGGAGATAATGGGGCCAGAGGCTTGATTAGATACAGACACTAAAAGTAGTCAATGTTTTAAACTCAAGGAGGTACAGTGGCAGAAAAAAAGTACATTAAAACAGGAATGGGTTGTGAGAAAATTGTTTTTATGCTTCTCTTGCATTTGCCTAAACAAGCAACGCTTAAGTTCTGACTGGAAAGACGTTATTTTCACTGTGTGATGACACATCGTTATTTACTTTGCACTACGGCAGCAAACACACAGAAACTTCAGACAAACACACAGATCGGTTCTCTGTACTCAATAAGAGCACTTGATTATAGAGAGCAAATACAATTCATGGCTCTTTCACACATCGCATTCACCCTGACATCGCCGTCAACCTGCTGTTAAATGACGCCACCCATCCTGCATATTTGCTACTTCTATGACTTAATATCCTTTTTATGTCTCACCCACACCACAGTCACACGCACGCACGCACGCACGCACGCACACACACACACACACACACACACACACACACACACACACACACACACTTTGCACACCTTAGTGACTCATGCAGCCCAAACGTTCAAGTCTAATCACTTTTAGGTGTAGTCACTGCTTTTATGATGCAATATGTCTGATAACACGTCCCTTCTCGAGCCCTTTCAACATTAATTGATATCATTGATTTGCATTTTACTTTAATATTACCAAGTTTGACATTGAGAAAATATCAGATATTTAATTAAATATAAAAATAACACAAGACAACACTTTTCTTTTTCTCAGTTTTGACAATCTTCTGCTTTTCATTATCTCATGTCAGCGTCAACACAACAAGTAAACTGTAACAAAACTCAGTAATTAAAATAGGAATACTCTACATATTTTAGGGTGATCCTGAAACAAGAGAAAATATTTCAGGCACCTCATAATACCGGTACACATTTTCCATCTCTTGTCCTTGCTGTAGACACTAAATTGCCATTCAGACATCGCACAGTGAATGTTTCTCTGCTGGGTGCCGTAGCTGTCGTGTAACCTGTTGCGGCCTGATCCATGTGAACGTAAATAAAGGGAGAGGTTTTTGGGGTCATTGACAGCCCATTGTCCCACAAAGAATGTTCCCAGTCTCTCCCGACTTCCACTGGGACAAAATATGTTTCCACTCAGAGATTTCCACAGGTGTTGTGCTATCAGGCAGGTGGCACGCGAGAGGAGGTCAACGTTTGTTTGTGCCCGATTCAAACTCCAGCCAGTTCACACATTACTTTGTGACCGAGCGGCGACGGGAGCGAGGACGCTGAGATGAACCATGCTTAACGCTCCTGATGCCATGGCGACTGATTTTTTTTAAATTTTTTATTCTGGTCTGGATCAGGCAGGGAGAAGGCAGCTTCAGGGTCCAGTTAGTCTGGAGGTAAAAAAAAAAAAAGAAGGGAAAAACAGGAGGCCGTCGAAATCAGAGCCAGACAGCCTGGAATGCGGCCAAACCTTGGAATGAACAGTTCCTCACCCCCTCCCGCTGTAAAGTGCCATATTTCTCTCTGTTTTCCTGCTGCATGGTTTTCCCCCCGGCTTCTCTCCTTGTCCTTTTATTTCCCTTCCCACCTTTCCTTCCACTCCTCCGTGCACACCTCCCACTACTCATGTAAGTCATTACCTGTATCATAATACCTCCGTTAGTTCATTTCAGACTGAATCGTCTCTCTCACTCTCATTTTTGTTTAACAAAGGAAAAGTTGAAAACCATTTGGTTCACGTTCAGAAATTTAAAAGGCATGTAAACATGACCACTTTTCATCTCGTGATATATGGTGATCATGATAACAGTATATCTTTTTATTTTCAAGGTTTAAAATTGGAAGAAAATCCAAAGAATAACCGGACACTGCTTCAGACACTGCAAGGAAGTGTTTTTGTTAAAGAGACAAAGACTGCCGCATTTTGTAATAACAAGTCCCCACAAATTTATGAATTACGTAAAGTCTTGTATTCTTCTCTGACCGCATGGGTTCTCTTCAAGAGGAATCCTGCTGTTCTTTTCAGAAATGAATTAGCTGTTAAGAGTGGGGGGGGGGGTCTTTCATGTCATTCCCGACACTTTCTGTCGGCACATTAAGCTCATTTGTAGAACTCTAAAAATGACTTCATGAACCAAATCTCCTTTAATCCTATAATGTTTCGCCAGAAAGTGTAAATTGGAATGAACATCCAGTGTACGGTGGAAGAAAGAGATTTCCTCCATTCCACATGTAAGATAATGTATGTTTCTATTTCTATTTTCTATTGCAGTGACCTCTCCCTCTTATACAGTAAATGAAATGTAGCCTACGATGGAAGTAGAGAGACGTGCCTACAAAGAAAGGAAACATTAAGCCATCAAGCAGGAATTCCAGATGTAATTCAGACAGGATGGGAACCTGCAAACCTGAGAAAGAACAGGGTCTCTTCCCTCAGTACCCAGAGGAAAAACCTCTCTGCTGCCAAGCTGTCTGCTGGACAAAGCCATTGTTAGCCTGCAGTAACCGAGTTCTCCCAGCAGGGGACACAATATACACTTCTGTGGATTGCAGAGCCAGACTGAAGGCCTTGGGGGGAGAAGATTCTTTCCTAATCTATTGATATCAAGCAAATCCACATCAGCTAGGTAGGTAATACAGGACAGGAGGTCGTTTGACTCTGAATGCATCACACAGGACAACGTTGCGGCAGTGGGGACGGTAGTGTAGTTGTCTACACTACCGTGTAGAGGGACTGTAGAGGGACTGCAGGACCACAGGAAGGACAATCGTAAATAAAGGAGAAGGAACGGGAACTCCTCGTATGCAAGGTTCTTTCCTTGTGCAAGAACTGGACAAAGAAACACACGGTCGGAGTGCAGAGACTCGATAACACCCTCGCACACATGCATAAATATATGACTGTGAGGAATTCTAGCTCGAAATAGTGAACTAGTGTCAACTAATAATGCACAAAATGCATGAAATCCCTTCTGGCTAAAACGAAGCTAATCTTATGAGCACGGCCGTCAGAGGACACCTTATTTGAGGCTGCCTCTTTTTATAGCAACGTTTATATCACTCCCTCATCCCCAAAGCGCCCCCCCCCCCGTCTGTACTTAAAAAGACAGGGAGGATTCCCCCGTCTTTCTGTCCCCCCACAGGGGATGGCTCCCTGTTCTCTTGCCACTTAGAATCAACTATGAGTTACATAAACGACACTTCTGTGATAGGATAGCCAGATACCAAGAAATCTTGATTTGTCAGATACACGTGACCCTCTCCCAACACACACACACACACACACACACACATTCTTGTGTAACTAACTTGGTGGCTCCTTGGGGGCAGACGTGTAACATGTGGATCCAGTTAACACATAAATAGTAACACACCAACAGTATTTTGGTTCAGCAGAGCACATATGAAATACAAGGACATGTGGTAGCAGTGGGCAGCCAGGTGGGGGCGGAACATTTTATCTTTAGGAGGAGTTTAATCAGTCTGAGCCAAACGGCAACTTCCAATGCTAATAAATGAAGTCAATGAAGAACTGCTGAGAACTGGGGGTTTAATATAGACCTCCTGTTAAAATGCCCAACTTAACATTGACAGCTGTACAGTTGAATCGAAGGCATGGTCGCAATCAAGCGCATGGATGCTTTGATTGACAGGGCGGGCACCCTTCAAGGTTGCTAGCTGCTAGCTTTCTCCTCCACTGCGTTACATTACATGTAAGTGATAACATTTACCCTCAATACTACACTATTTGTTTTGCACAATATATAATTCTCATAGTCCTTGCAAAATGTAATTCAGTACAGTCACCCATGAACCGATGAATTAAGAATGTATATTGTTCAGTCCTGCAGGAAGTACACTTGTTAACAACATCTAAAAACATCGAAAAATATACATGTTTGTTAGATGTATTTAGTGTAGTATTTTCCCAGGATTCTTTGTAATGCAGAGTCTGAAAGCAACAAGCCATATCTCTGCCCCTTTTTGGATTATCTGCGGCCTGCGAGGCTGCAGTCACTGCCAAGATGACCGGAGAAAGCCACTTTGAGCTTCGTCAGTGACGTCACGGAGCATCGGCCCATATTTATACAGTCTGAGCTAAAAGCTTAAGAATGACTTCTTGAAACAGCACAGGCATTTCCGTTCATCAGCGCCTCAGAACATCTTGAACGCGACACTATCAAAGCTGTTGTTCATTATCCTCGAGGTGCAACCTACAGAACAGCCAGGAGCTGATCGTCGGATAGTGACAGGTACATGAAAGTCACGGATGATGAGGTTATAGGAGATACTATTAAACAGGGACTGCTGCATTTGAACCCTGTGCAGCATCGACTCAGATAGGGAAACAAAAGACGCGCTGACAGGAACGCGTTAGAAGTTGCCTGTGTTATGTTTTGCAAGGCGGTTTCATGTTGTTATACATGCGTGTGTGTGTTTGAGTCAGAAAGGAGCAAACAAAGACGTGAGAGGCTGCCATGTATACGGCCCATGTATCATGAGTGAGATTAGTGTCAAGAATCTCTTCCCTCTGTGGTTGACCTTGTTCCGCATTGGCGGTACCTATTGTGGATCACCAGTTTGTCAGAGGTATTCTGTATTATCCTGCATGTGTGTATGTGTGTGTGTAAATGCACTGCGACTAACAATTGTCTTTATTATGAGGATTTTGTCCTCTGAAATCACTTGTTATACAAAACTGAAAAATGGAGGTTGCAGTTTCCCAAAAATCAAGGTCACATCATAAAATGGGTTGTATTGTTCGACCGTTAGCTCGAAAGCATCACATCAATTTATTGGGATCTAAGAGAGAGAAAATCAACCCTTTTTAGAAGTTGAAACCATCAAATATAGCACGGATTGAGAAATCGCTGCAGTTTGTTTGCATCTCAGAAATCTGTCGTAGTTTGTGCACAGGTTGAAACCGGTCCTTAGTTTAATGCAGAAGAATTGACAAAGAAAATGAGCACCAAAGATGACTTTCGTGACAAGGAACGACAGGTAAAGGAGTTCGGCATAAAGCATGAATTGCCACGAAGCGTCACGCAAAGACAGAAAATGACTGAAGGGTTGTGGAGGCATTGATTTGCACAAAGTGATGGACCGGCGGAAGGGGAATTGAGAACCAGAGAGGGGGAGAAGGGGTCAAGGACAATATACTCAGTCTGCAATTGCACATATCAGAGGGGGGGGGTAGTACGTTTCTTCCCCCGACCAGGTTCAGCGCATGTGAGCCAACAGCCCCGAGTGAAGCTGACCCCTGAAACTACACACATATATAAACCCACAGTGGAATGGCTGGATTATGTATAATTTGTTTGAATTTGCCCTTCTATTGTTATATTACATAAATGTTTTTTTCATCTGTTTCTTTTATAATAGTTTAATTCGTGAAATGATTTGATTTTTTCTTTCTCATCCGTCCAATCTGGACTGCTAATTTATCAGAGTTTCATCACACAGCATCATCTCCTCACCTCTATCCCTCACATGACTCAACAGTGCTTTGCTTTCCTTCCCATCACTCCCCCATCTGCTCACGTCTTTGTCTCTCTGTCACTCCATCTGTCGAGCTCTCATCTTCTTCTTCTTCGGCCAAATATTCACAGAGTCCCCACACACAGTGAACCCTTTCACTGTCCAGAAGGCTCCCGCGTCATTTACTGGGCAAACAATTACAGAAAAAGCACACATGAATTTATAATGAGCGAGGAAAGGGGGGGCCGGGGGCTTCCCCAATAGCAAAGGAGACAGAAGAAGACAGGTAAGGACAATAAAAAGAACAGAGCAGGTGTTGTTTTGAAGCTGAAGCAAGACAGAGGGATTTAGAAAGAAGGTGGAAGGAGTCGGTGCGGGGGTGTTACAGATTTCAAATTACAGAGAGAAGAGCCACTCCTCCCATCCGTTTCCCCAGGGAAGAGGGCATAGGTGGCAGAAAGGAAAAGGATGCGAGGGGAGCAAACACAAAAAGAGGGGATGTGATTGTTAGTGAGTAGAAAAGCAGGCAATAGGCTGCAGAGATGACTGAGGGGCGGATCAATACTGAGAGACGACACAGAAAGAGGTGGAGACTCCAGCTTGAATGTGGAAAGGAAAACCCTCAGCTGATCTTTTTTATTTTTTCCCCTCCGGATTGTTTAATATCACCGTATGTGCAAGCACTCATTTGTGCGAGGGCGAGAGGAGGCGACTGGGGAAGATGATGAGAGGAGAGAGGATACCGCTGCAGCACTTTGTTAGGCGGAGTGCACACAGGAGGGAGACAGAGAGAATCCCCCATTTTAGCTCAACAATATTACGGCAGTGCAGCGGTATCTACAACAATGGCAGCCCAGCCCTCTCAGCCCGGTGCTATTGATCTTGTAGTAGTAACCCAATACACACACAGTCAGTCTGATTGTAGGTTCAACCTCTCATTTGATTAATGCCTGTGGTTGTTTTGATATTTCAGATGTACAAACAATCCCAATCATTCTCAGTCTCAGTAACTCAAGTTGTTTAGGTAAATGTAATATTCGCTCCTAATTGTAAAGGGTATCACCCATTACAAGTCACATACTGGTGGTTTTGATATCTGTTATTTTAAATAACTGAAGACATCTGTTTGAGTAATGCTAATAATGCCTTTTTGCATCTTTATTTATTCCTAATCTATTAGCCCCGGGCATACTGACTTACTAACCGGATCTCTTCTAAGACACTGCACCGGAAAGAGAGAGAGCAGGAGGAGAGAGAGAGAGAGAGGATGGGGGGAGGGAGAGAGAGTGAGTGATCGAGCAAGCGCAAGAGGGAGAAAGCCAAAGAGAGCGCACAGGAGAGCCACAAAAAGTAGCTAGAGCCGAGAGAGTCGCAGGAGGAAGAGGGAGAATGCGCGGTGTCTGGGCAACACTTCCTCGCTTATATCCAGGGCCTTTGTGAACACACCATGGGATGCATCGGCTCCAGGACACTGAGTAAGCCCCGCTTCTCTTCCCACGCTCTTTGGGGTCTAGATGGGGTTTGGGTGGGGTTGGGGGCGGGGGGGGGGGGAGGATGAGCAGGAGGATGGCTGTCTTGCAGGAGTCAGGGTTTGTGTGGCGACTACATATGGATAGGCTTTATATATGTGTGCCTTTGTGTGTGTGTGTGTGTGTGTGTTTATGAGTATGCGCGAGGTGTCTGCTTCTCTTTCACTGCAGTGGATAAACAAGTTGTAGACTTCTGGTAACAGAAGCTTTGGAGAGAAAAAAAAAGAATCCATGCAAGATGTCACAGACAATACGTGTTAAAATGTGCTTCTGTGTGTGTGTGTGTTGCATCCCCAAACCTATCGCCTCCCCTCCCTCCTCCCAGCCCTTGATTTATGATGCTGTTTGCCAGTATGTAACATGTGTGTGAGCAGGAGGCAGAGAGAGGGGGTAGGGAGGAGAGTGTTAGGGCTTGTTTATAGGGTTGGTATGGCTTGGAGAAAGAGAGGGAAAAGGAGATAATGCCTTTGTCACAGGCGTTTGCCCACTTTGTTATTATTTGCATGTGTAATAATAGGGATGGAGGGGGATGAAGAAACGAGCAGCAGGGGAAGAATTTCAGCGCAGGCGGGCAGGCAGGGACACAGGGAGGAGGGGAGGAGGATGGCGATAGAGAGAGGGGGGTGGTGGTGGGGAGGGGGGGTAAATACGTGCAGACGAGGCTGTATGGGATTGAGGGGAGTTTTCAGGTGAGCATCCTCCTGGATAAAACCCATAGATGATGCGTTACGGACTGGGAGGGGTTGTATGAGTAGTTATCTTTTAGTTGTTGCACATACAGTTCAAAATTCTGCATGTCTTGGTATGTAGCATGAATCACACTCAAAAGGTAAAAATAAACAGACCTCCTTCGGTGTTAAATATTAATTGACCACTTAGCCCACCCAGCTCTTACACATATTTGTGGCAGAGCTGAACACATATTTTATGCCTCTCTGAAAAGTGCAATAACCTTTCCAGAGGTCGTGCATGTCAAAGCCAGCTTGCAGACAGGATCTCTGGCGTGCTTGTGCACCTTTCTTTTCAACCAAACAGAAATTCTGGAGTACACTTTCAGGACGGCAGGTGCGATATGAATATGGCAGGAACCGTGTTACAGAAGCTCAGGCGGTGCAAAGTATTTGACTCATTGCGGCGCAGCAGAGAAGGTCAGGGCCCTTTGTCAACACTCGGGTCAACACAGGAGACCTGGCAAAGCCTAGGGAACTCCAGCAGCTGGAAACACAAGGATCGAAAAGGACAGAGGGCTTTTGAATTTGTGAACCACCATCAGAAATGCTCGAGATTTCTGGAGGTTTCTCCAGTGAAAGCAGTTTATGATCACACCACACTGTGTAGATTGTCAGACACAAGTAGTTGAGATTGTACATCTACTTAGGGGAAAGCAAACGTTATCCCCAGCTGTGGGCACTGTAATCTAACATGAACGTGCAAATAAACAGTTCTTAAAAGAAGGAGGATTAGGCGTTTCTGAGCAACTTAAATGCCAGAAGCTGTGAAGCTGTGAGCATCAGAATCAGCAGCAATCTGGGAGGGTGGTGGTGGTGGGGGGATTGTGTTTATATCCTGGGGGGAGAATGGCTTTAGTGTGTGCTATTGATCGACCTTCTGAACTGCAGTCCACGCTGCCGATTGAAGATCAACAGGAGGAGCAGCTGGACTGAGTCGGTCTCTGTGCCGGAGTCGCCCTGATGTTTCTCTCTGGCCTCCGGTAACATTATCTCTCCCCGCTCCATCATATCTGTGCTCCGCTGTCGGGCTGTGATTTCTGTTGTAGTGCGGTAAGAATCATGCCAACACGTCCAGCAGGATGAGGAAGTACACAAGACATTTTTTTCTTTTGTAATGAATAACGTAGGGGATGTGACATGGAAGAAACTGTGACGACATATTTTTAGCTGTCATCACAGACTTTCCTGGAAGGACAAGGCTTCACCCTCCATATCATTTTTTATTAGGTTGTTCAGATTCTAAGTAAGAAAAATAGAGACCAAAATAGCACCGTTGCAAATGTTGCAGAGACAGATTCCTCAAGGCAGTAGACGTAGTTGTTGTGTGGGACAACTGCTTCTGTTATATCAGATGCAGTTGGAAAGTAAGGGCCGACATAAATACAAGGATTGAAAAAAAAACTTAACTATTAATTAGACAAATATCCTTGGTGATTTGTTGCAGTGCTTCGTTAGTTTAAATCTGTGTTTTTGCAAATAATCTATTGAAATTAAAATCCCTCATCGTTGAGGTGTGCTGCATGTCAACGGCTTCTTTGGGTAATTGTTTTAAACCAAACCGTTGAAAATGAGCTTTAGCTGAGCGGCCCCTCACCCGCAGCTTTTACCAATTTAGGTGAAGACGAAGATGCACCGTATAAGATGTGTCGTCCGTCACCCCCTTGATGGGAGCGCGCCTTTTTCTTCCCAACATCGGCGAGGAAAACGCAATGAGACCTAGAGCAGAATAACTACAGTCAGTGACTCAGCTTGTGTGTGGAGTACACAGCTTACGCCTCATTGAGAGCCCATTTCCACTCCGCCAAACACAGGGTTAGTAATTCTGTTACAGCGCTGTTGATCACATTGCTAGATGTGGTGTTGATAATGCCTTTACCCATAATTGTGCTAAAAGCTTCACATCAGAAGCATTTTTCCATTATCCAGTTACCAGGCCGCTCTATACCGGTGGAGGAAATCATTAATCAATCTATAATTTAGGCATTGTGTTCAGAGTGAACATGACTGCTATGGGTCAGGCTGCAGTGGTGACATTAAAGTTCTGAATATGGGACATTATGACAACTCTCAACTCTGGTCTTTAAGCAGACTTTTCCCTTTCTCTAAGTTAGCTGTGTTAAGGTACCAAACTGCTTACAGATCAATAAGGACGAACAGATTGTTCTGTTTGTGTGTGTGTGTGACTAATTGTTAGTGTATTTATCTACTAACTGAATTGATTACTCACAGTTTGTTAACTGTTGAGTGCTAAAAAGCTAATGTTTTTGTCAATACTCAATGAGTATGTACAATATCATGTTTCTAGTTTCATTTGATCAGATTACATATTTACATACATGAATGTTGCACATTTTAGAAAGAATTGTGTGTTTAGACAACATTTAACTGTGTCTTCTTTTATTAAACGCAGAAAAGGTTTGCTGAAAGTCCTGTGAGTTATAGAAAATCCTGTTTTCTATTTGTTCTTGATCAAAGAAATTGGTCGACTCTACCAGTCATACATAGGGACAAATCTACTAGTTGATTTAATCAAGAGATCTGTAATACCTAGTTTCCCCACAAAGAATTGCACCAAAGTACCACTTTAAATCCTGTGTTTACCAGAGTTGTGCTTACAGACGTCTCAGAAATAAGAAGTCAGAATTTAAAAAAAGCATCTAAACAACAAATCAAGTACAAAACAACCGATTGGAAAAAAAAATACATAATATTGGCATCATAGAAGAAAAAAAACAGTACCCAGCTTGAGTGTTCGAATGCTCTTGTGTATGTATGTCTGTATGCGTTCATGCATGGATGCATATTATCCCACTCTTGCAGCTATATATATATGAACCGAGGGCCACATGTGGGTGTGAATGTGATAATTACAGGCACCAGTTATGCTTCACCACTTCGTCCCGTTACTCTTTTTGATGCTGCATTACTGAGAGGGATTCCATGTCATTCGATTTGAAACACCCCCAACAACACTGTGTCTCCACCAACAACAAGTCAACAACCGATACCACGTCATCCTGTAAACTGGACAAATAGCCAACCAGTATAGAAGCTGTTTGATTGGCATGCAAGGCGAATGACTCAGAGACAAGGGGAACCCGATGACCCTTACCTGTGTGGGTGTTTTTCATCATGTGTGTGTATGTATGTGTGTATACACCCATGGACATGTAGCACATAAAGCAGCATAGGGTTGCTAGCTACAGATTTATGTGAGTGCCTCCGTGTCATGTTCTCATCTGTGTGATGAATGGGTTCGCGTTGTTGTGTGAATCCAGGTAACAAGCCACAGGGGAGGTGAACTGATTGAATGTATATGTATGTGTGTTTGCCCTTGCACACACAATTTTCAGCCTGCATATGGATGAAAGGAAATAAAAGGCCTCTGTGTGGAAGCATTATGGCAGGAATGGCTGTAAACAAAGTGACTCAGAGTCCGTTATGAAACTGAATAAGGTAATAAATAATGGAGAATTTCACCCATACAATTTGATCCATGTGTGTGTGTCTGTGTGAATCTGCAGATATGCTCTCTCCCAACCACCTGGGATCTGATCCTCAGCTGTTTAGCAGAACTCTGGAGCTCCGTCACCCGACATCCGCGCATATCGCTGCAAGAGGGCTGCTGTCCAAAACCGGTGCCCCATCGTGGCAACCAGCCCTACTGCAGCTGTCGTGGTAAACAAGCACCCGGCTTAGTTCCCCTGCGCTTTTGCTGCAGGGCACCGGGATGCACAAAAGGACGGATGACTCTCAAATGCTTCCCACTCGAGCGGCAGCTCAAACCACGTCAAACCACTACATCCACAGCCCGAGTTGACAGTGCAGCCGCTGCAGATCTTTGGTCGTTCGACACGCACGGCCGCTCCCTCCTCTTTTCTCCTCCATCACCCCGGCCCTCCCTCCCTCCCTCCCTCCTTGACTCCTTCTCGCTCCTTCTCCTCTGCTGAGCGAAGCCTGGCTCCCCTATGACCGCAGAGGGGGTATCCAGAGCCGCACCGCTGTGTGCGTGGGGGAGGAGGGAGAGCGCCGGGGGGGGTCTGGCTCACAGCTCTCTCTGGTCATGTGCTCTGTTGTTGTTGCTGCCGCTGCCGTTTTCTCAAGGAGGTGCCCTGCCTGCCTGCCTCCCTCCTCAGACGCGGAATAACGCATTTGCTTACCGTGATGCTGAGAGCTCAAGAGCATCACCTCCTCACGACTACTACAGGATATAGGCGTGCAACCCCCCCCCGTGGCTCCCTTCCCAAATAACACATGCTTTGATGTAATCTCATTTGAGTCACAAATACAGCATACAGCTGTACAAAAGGTACACAAACTGCACTTAATGTTTCTGGTCCATTGCTGAGCAAAGGAGGGAGGGCTTCCCAATATGGTTTCTAGCCTACTGCTGCTGTCCAACAAACTCTTGACACACCGTGACTAGTGTGTGTGTGTGTGTGTGTGTGTGTATGTGTGTGTGTTAATTAATCTACTAATTGGCAGAACGAGGCTAAAGGATGCAGAGGGGAGAGACAGAAAACTGAAGAAAGGGAGAGAAACGGAGGAAGAGAAGGGGTATTGTGTGTAACAGTTTGTTGCTTGAGGCCCTATATATGTGGGTGTGCATTTACCCGGATCGGAGAGAAATCTGGGACACTCTCCTCCACCCGGGCAGAGAAGGAGACGTCCCTCTGTCTAACTGATGTCAGCCCCAAAGTAACCACCTCACACGGCTCTCCACAGTGCCAAAAGATGCCCAGCTAATTCTTCTGAGGTCGCCCAGAGTTCATTTTTAATAGGGAGAGTAGCGCTTGAATTTGTGTGCGTCCACCAGCTGCGATGCAGTTGTTCCATTATTACTGACGTTTGGGTGGTGACCATCACCTGATCCTTTTTTTTCAGGAATACTTTATTCACCCTCAGTCTCTCAAGTGCAAATGCAAGTAGATGTGCAGAAGAACATGGGAGTACAAACAATAGCTAATGCTAGTGTCTTTAAACACGATTAAAATGCCTAGACTGTGAAAACCCTACTTTGGCAGTGTTGCTGGTGTTTGTTGGGTGAGATTTGTCCTTGAATGGTGTGACTTGTCACTAGTTAAGTAAAGCACATTATGTGTGCAAAACAGCTTAGATAAAATTTCAGAGAAACACATTTCTTCAGTATAAAACACGGTTCAATTTCCTGTCAGGCCCTAACACCAGTAAACAAATTCATGTTTGCATCAGGACAATTTAACATCGAACACTGAAGCGCTGAAAATAGAAAACCTCTTGAACCTGAGCGCCCACACATTGCAACAAACACCAGATAAGTGCATGTTAAACATGTAGCAACACAATCATCCAATATACCCCATAACGGTAATGATGCTCGGCTCAAAGCTAAGAATAACCATTTTTACCCCGACAAAACCCAATAAATCAACATGCATAGTGGCGCTATAGTTAGCTAGGTCTCATCCCTCGACAACCAAACCCACTTATCCAGCAACCAAAGCATATAAATGAAAACAAATTGAATATAAACTTCACTTTATGAAGCCATAACCATGAATTACATTTAGTTTAGTTTAGTTTTGTTCGAGGGCATATTGATGCTGCTAATGGCTACTCCAATGTCCCTGGTTCACTTTTGAGTAGATGTCCAGCCGTGTGTTCTTCTGCTCGACACAGGGGAGCATTTCCTCTCTGTCTCCAGAGTCCCCCTCAGCCTCGCCCGTGAAAACACAATCTATGTCTCCATCTTCTGGATGCCCTCCTGCAATCGCTGCACTCATCTTGAAGATATTGGAGTTAATTTAAAAGACAACACAAAGTGGGTTGAGGGAAACTGGGTCAAAATAAACCACATGATCCATATTACAAGACAATGCCGCAAATGTGTGTAATTCTATTTCAGAGACTGATTTACAACGATACAGACGGACTCCGGGTTTGAGAACTATAGTGACGGCACAAATTAAGCGAGGTGTTTCTGATTCGCTGGCACATCCTTGACGGTGCGAGTAAAAAGGGGTCAGTTTCTGGAATGAAGTCTATCCCTCGTCTCTGCACTCGCAGTGATCAGACGCGACTGGACGGAGCTCAGAGAGGAGGGCAATGTCTGAGAGCACAACAGAGACGGAGTGGAGCTGATGTTTCTGAATGACTGGGTCAGTGGGTCACAGGCATCACTGGACATCCAGGGTGCGACAACGACGCGGTGTTTCCTCAGAGCTGAAGAGGATTCGCTCATGATTGCAAAATGCAGCTGTGATTGGCTCAGCGGGACACGTGCACACACACACACACACACACACACACACACACACACACACACACACACACACACACACACACACACACACACACACACGTGGAGACACACAGAGTGCCGCCACAGGAGCGAGACCCTCCGAGAGTTGAACACACAGACCATCTCATACAGAGAGCAGCCACCTAGAGACTGACGCTGTGTTTAAACTCAATTACCAGTACAGTCTCGCTAATTAAACCAATTTTTTTAATAAGGGTTTGGACGGCCAAGAAAGAGGAGGGATAATAACGCTCATTCATCCGACAGAGAGCATCTACTTCAGAGAACTCACATCTGCAGTTTGCTGGTAGATGGCTTTGTGTATGATCTGCTACTGACTCCTTGGAGTGGATTATTAATGCAGATGTGCTTTACATGTAGAGGCAGTTCATTAAAGAGAGACTTTAAGGAAAGGCTTTGGCGATTAGACTCTATCTGAATGCTCCCCTGTGTGTGTGTGTGTGTGTGTGTGTGTGTGCGGGTCTTTTAAAAGAAAGTGTTAAAAGTGTGGTTTTCTCAACAAGGGGAGAGGATAGAATCCTGAATGTAGTAACCTTGACAGGAAAGGGAGGACGCATAAGATGGTAAAAGACCCAATAAAGGCAGAACATGAGAGGAAAGATCCCCTTGATGAAGCCAAGCGTGTTGTGAATAATAGGAACGATAGGCCAGTAAACAAATGTAATTCTCCCCTTTTCTCCCCCTTTGTTCTCTTTTCCTCTCTACCCTCCTGTCAGCGGGAGACGGCGTACCTGTCCAGAAGGATGGGGAGCAGGTAAGAACTCAGTGGTCGTTCTGGCCAACCCCTCTGGTTGACTTCCTTTGACGGTGGACTTGTCAACTCCATCCGAGGAAGCAACACGGCTGCGGATTTAAGCGGCTCGCCTCGCCAGCTGTCTGTCACTCAAGGCGCCAGTGCTCGTGCTCGTAGATTAGTCAAATAGAAACACATATCATTGCAATGTCAGCTGCTCAACCTCCACTACACCTCCTCCTCCCCGTTTGACAGGGAGGCGTAGCTGGAACCTTGAGCAATACTGGTTTTGGGTTATATATTGCCGCTAAGAAGTCTGTGGCTTGGTACATGCGTCTGAAAGAGTCACTGCTCAGCGCCGGTTCAAAGCCGAAAAAGACATGGATCACTCTCTCTTTCTCCAACGTCTTACACACCATTACTGTGTCCTTTTACCTCTGCTCTCATTATCACCCGTCTTTTCTACTCTCCTGCTGCTCTATTGATCCTGTGCTTTATAACAGATCCCAGGAGTGGGAAATCTTTTTCAACAAATAGACTGTGGACAGATTCTATTCTTTAATTATGCATCGTTCACCAGAATGCCCTTCTGTCCACGAAAAACAACCACACACACGTGTTGACGGGCTATTGAAAATAACAAGAAAAGCTGCTTCGAGAGGCCCAGCTCTACTATTCGAGTGTGTTAAATCTCTCATCCGACCACTCTTGTGGAGAGAGTGGAAGAAAGAAAGAGGGGGGGGCAACAAATTACAAAGGGGAAGAAGTGGAGAGAAGAACAGGGAGAGGCTGATATCGAGTAACATGAGATATTTGGACACACTGCATGATGGAGATAATACAAACGGCAGAGTAGGTCATTCAGCGTAACATCTTTACATTTAATGGCCCGTTGATCAGCAATGATAAGTACAGTGACTAGACATTCAAGCATTGTTTGGAGGGAATGAATTCAATCATGAACCATGAAGCCTAAACCCAATATCAGAGCTCAGAGGAAGGGGCTTGACATTTAGGAAAATGCTCTTCGACTTTCTTGCAGAGAATTACATCAGAAGATTGATACCACTTAGCTTAGCATAACAACTGAAAAAAAGGTTAATAACTAGCCTATGCTAAAGCTAACATCACGTCTAAAGCTCACTAATTAATATGCTAACATTGATCTTTTTTTGTTGTGGAGGGTTTTTATGTTTTTCTTGGTTCAGCTTGACAGGCAAAACAGGAAGAAGGCTTGGAGTTGGGCTAGCAGTTCACAGTGTTTGTGCTGAGCTAAGCTAACCAGCTTCTGGTTGCAGTCCCATTGATAGCCCCAGTCACGCCTGCCTATCGCCTGCCTATCTGCAGCATCAGACACCGTTCTACACAACATGGACGTCTCTCTAACTCACTCGTTTTTTTTGGCTGGCTTTCAGTGTTTTTTGGCGGCACATGAGGAGACTCATTCATTCATAGCAAATTCACTCTGCCACTCATAACCGAGCAAATATACTGATCGCTGTTTAATTCCCCCTCCCCTCCCTTTTCCCCGTCATTACAATCCTTCACTCTTGCCGTACTCGTTCCTGGAAAATCCTGTGTATCCGTCTCTCTTCCGTTCTCACGTCTCTTCATCTCTCTTCCTCTACTCGTCCGATGAGTTATCCCTCCTCTGTCCATCTTGTCTTTGTCTTCTCCCACTTCTCCCTCCATGCATGCTCTCCCTGTCACGTCCCTCTTTCCCGCTCCTTCTTTCCCTATCCCTTCCAATTTCTCTTCCTTAGCATGGACGTTCAGAATTTTCATGGGAGGGAATCAATGTAAGTGTCGTGACGTCATTCTTCCATCTACCACTTTTCATTCTCTATCTATTTCACCTGTTTGTATTTAACTCACCCTTTAGTCAGCTTTAGTCAGCTTTGTCCTCCTCCGCCTTACGTTTTCGGTGTATTTTAGTGGTGCATGGTAGCGAGCAAAAGCAGAATGGCTTATTGGTCCAGAATACAAAAGTAGATTGTTTCCTTGTAATCCAGATTCAGGTTATGCAGATTGAATATTTGGTATTAACGCAACATCTCCATCACCTTTCCCAACTCACTCCTCTCTAACACACACTGTCTCAATGTCTTTGTGTGCCTTGTCACACAACCCATACGATCCTCTTCTCCGCGCCTTCTCCCCCTCCTCCATTCCTCTCTCTTCTCTCCCTCTAGCTGTCTATGGAAGACACCACGTCAATCCTGCCTCGGCTCAAGAGGAACTCAAATGCCTACGGCATCGGGGCTCTGGCTAAGTCTTCTCTGTCAGGTGTGTCAGGTGTGTGTCTGTGCTGTAACTGGTAAACCGACCCCATGTTGGCTCTGCCCTTAGCAGGCGCTGGAGTCAGCATGGTACCCAAAACGGGTTTCCCTCTATCACACCCTTCTCTTCTAACACTCGTCAATGGCTCCTCCTGAGTCATTGATGTAAAGAACTATTCTTGAAAACAAAACACGCACACAGACAGACACTGCATCATTATACGGCTTGTTGCTCTAAGAAAAGGTGAGTGGTGAGTGGGAAGTGTAGTTTTCTTTGTTAAGTGGTTGTGAAACTGTGTCGTCCTGAATTCATAGAGATGTTTTGAACCGTGTAAAGTGCTGTGTTGAACAGATCTCAGTGCAGTCTAGTGCAAAGTCTCTGGTTAATCCAGCCGTGTTCTGTAGTGCAGTTTATTTGAGTGCTGTGCAATGTATTGCAGAGAAGCTGCCATACTGTGTGGTGTTGCACAGATTTGTCCCATAATTTATTCAATGTATTCATATCAATTTACCATTACCACTCCGTGCTTTGAAGGTGGCAAATTGATTTGAGAAAAACAACAACCAGGGTATCGACAGTACTCAATCGTGCGTCATCATGTGTCGGTCACATGGAAATATGGAGCACAGCCGTTACGCTGTTGTCAGCGTGGTTGCAGGAAAGTAGTTTTATCTTCAAAAGATGTCCTGCTGGGTTTGCACGAGTCAAGTTCTGAGACAGACAGAGAGAAGAAAGAGAGCGGTTTTCTGCTTACCCAGCACAGCTTAGCAGAGGTGTGAAAGTTATCATGCCAACAAGCCAACCTCTCATTACCTTCGGCAAGGAACATTCTCACCCCAATTAACCTATTCCATCCCATGATGCACCTCTGTCAGACAGGACTCAGAAATTCCCTCCTCTCCTCGTTGTGGCCCATACAAAAGATTCTTGATATCCCGAGCTTACATGGGGATCATTAGTCACACAGTGAAGATACAATTTGATAAACTGTCCATTTTCCTCCTCCCACACACGGTTAGCCTCCTAGTTTCACAAACGACAAAACAACAAGAACACACTTGATAACACATCTGATGTCTGTCCTTCCCCTTTCTTCCTCCTTATCCATTCTCCACTTTGCCTCCAATCCACCAAACCTGCTGCCTCACCACCTTCTCCCCACATCCACCTCTCATCCTCATCCTCCTCTGTCTCCCATGTCTCCTCCACCAACAGGTGTGAGCCGCACCATGAAGGAGAGAGTGACCAAGCCCACGGCCATGGCCCAGGGTCGCGTAGCTCACATGATTGAGTGGCAAAACTGGAGCATGACCACGGTGGGTGCGGGTGGCGTCCCGCTGCCCCGCATCACCACCCAGGAGCGGGAGAAGGAGCGGCGGCTGGAGAACGACGCCTACAGTGACCTGAGCGAAACGGAGAAGGAGGCTCGCTTCACTGCAGGTCGGAAACGCCGACGACGGAGGCTCCGCGGTGCTTCTGTTGTCTGCAGAGCTTAGATGGATCCAAATATGACTTAGGATTAATCTTAATGTCATGCAGGTCTTTACGGTGATCCTGGCTTGTCCTCTTAAATCTTGACCTCAGGTATCCTGCAGCAGTTTGCGATCTCGGAGGCGACGCTCCTGGCCTGGACGTCGATGGACGGGGAGAGCCCGCGGTCGGGCTCAAACCAAGGCAGCATGGCTCACCTGAGTGAGCTCAACCAGGAGAGCATCAACAGCCGAGGTAAAGGACTACAAAGAACTGCTAATATGTATGCGACTGAAAGTTGCAAAGCAATCTATACGTATCGCTGTAAGCTAAATTGTATTATTAAAAACGACTAAAGTCATACTAAGAAAATTGGCAATAGGTATAGAGATTAGTTACCTGATTAATTGTAAAAGATAATCAATTAGAAGTGAAGCAGTTTAATTATAGAACTTAAAGTTTAAGGTGAGAGCAGCAGAATGGCCTTTGTTGGTGTTATTATGTGATTTGAATAGCTAAGGAAGTGCACTGCATGCAGGATCTAATGTTGCAGCTGCTGGAAATGATGTCTACTTTAGGTCCTGTTGGGTTGTTGAATATCATATTTTGTCCCTTGATTATATGTATTGTATATTAATCTTAGTATCTGTCAAATTAATTTAGTGATCTAAAATGTGTTGTTGTCTAAACTTGAATGAAGAAGAAGTTGAAAGAAATTTGAAATGAAATACTGAAGTGAGGTACAAGTAACTCTGAACTGTACTTGTACGTGTAGAGCTGTCAGCTTCTGTGTGGGTGGAGATTGTGTCGTGTTGCTAAGTAATGGGAACATACACTACTCCAGCTCCTCTCTGCAGCCTGGAAGGGAAGCTCATTATTGATTTCAAATTTCCAACATGGCCTTGTTGGAAGGTAAACACAGACATAGTTTAAAGGTTTACAGGTTTAAATGTGTCGCTGTATTTTTGAGTCATATACCATTACTGTTGAGAAGACTGGCACAGATAAAGGCAGAGGAAGGTGAGCCGGTGTTCCAACTGCATTCGTTACGTCTGGCTGCTGTTTTAACACTTACTCAGCCAGCCTGGGTGTTTTCTCTGCATCTTGTTGATTTAGCCTCCTTGAGTATAAACCTCCTTGCTCTGCTCAGCGGTACAGATAAGAGACAAATGCAAATTGATTTTGTCTGCTGCGCTTCAAACGCTTCGTATTGTATGATTATAGTTGAGCTTAATTCTGAGTTACAAACAAACGTCAAAGGGACATCAGGATTTCCCTGGTTTTTATATATTTATTGACATTATGAAGGTCTTATGATTAGGATGATTTTCTATATATTGTGCAATGTATGTAATGTATGTTATGTAAAATATAACCAACCCATAACAACCAGTACCTCTAATAGCAGCTGCTGCCTTCTCCATTCCTTCCAGACCAGATGTTGCACCACTCCTCAGCAGAGGTGTGGCCGAACACATACGTCGCCCAGGGCCACTACTGCCTCTCTTCCTCCGATGCCTGGGAGCCGATCAACAACGATCCGTCAGTCGTGACGTCTCCCCCCGTCGGCTCCTACGTCACGGGGACCGACGGGTATGACGGGCAGACTCGGTTCCTGTCGCAGCAGCAGCAGGAGCAGCAGTTGACTCTCCAGCAGCAGAATCAACTGCAACAGCTGCAGCAGATCCAACAGATCCAGCACTACCAGCAACAGCAGCTCCTGCAGTATCAGCAGCAACAGGTGGAGTCCCACTTCTTTGAGTGCGAGACGCAAGAGAGATAATAGATGAGAGGATTGAAGTTTAGAATTTGAGCATGTTTACTTTTACTCATAATGCAAAAGCGTGATGAGCACTCAGGAACTTATTATGTCACTTCAGAAGCCTCTGTCAAAATACTCATTTTGCATGAAATCCCTGCAGCTCAAATTTGAGGATATTTTTTGTCCATTTCTATATTCTAGAATATCAACTAGAGACAGTGACAATGTCTTTTTTGATGTTGTTCAATCATTGACTTTGGAAACAATAGGTTGACACAGCAATCTTGATTTAGTTTTTCACTGGTTCTTTTAAGCGTATCATGGCTAATAAAACTGACTACTTTCTAGGTTCATAGTTTTCTTTTCTTTCCTAGAAAGGAACAGATGTATTACTATTAAATAATAATAATCATTTAATTTGGTAAATATATTATGTGCCCAAGTTGTTGCTTGAAACAGACTATACCTTGACTAAAAAGCAAAACAAATTGTGGCACTTCAATTGTACTATAAGTGCAATTGAATCTTATCTATAGCAAGTTCTCTAACCCCTCCTCCGCACCCTGGTTTTAGTCGCTGGAGCACAGGCTGCATAGTGCCAACCACTCTTTGCAAGCGACGCCCAACAGCACCATCCACAGCCTGGTCCATTCCGCTCACCCACCACTGGTCGATTTGTGGAACACGGGGCAGATGGAGGCCTATCAGACGGACGCCGGCGCCTACATCGGTGTGGCGGCGGTGGTGGAGCCGAGCCTCTGTGTTCCCTCTGCAGAAGATATGGGAACAGAGCACTCTCCACTACTGGAGAAGCAGGAGGAAGAGGAGTTAAAGGTGAGGGAGGAGGGGGGAATGATCATATATAATTACTTCCTCTGTGTTCAATATTTCATCTATGAAGTAGAAAGTAATATACCATACTGGTATTATCCCGGTGGTGTATGTTCTATTTACTACAAATTATGTATCATTTATTATTTTTTAAATGATTCCCGAAAAAAATAAATTCAGATTTATTTCCAATCATCTAGGTATGGATATGGGTTCTGTTCAAGTCAGGCAGGCGAGGTAGGAATCAGTGCTAAAATGATTCATTGATTAATGAATTACTCAAGGTGCAGCAGTAGCAAGTGAACACTTAGTAGTGAATAAGGTTTACTTTGTGCATATAAAGGAACAAAAAGAAAGTAGAAAGCATTTTACAAAGTGTCGGGTTTGGACATGGAAAAGGTCTCTGATTATAATGTTGCATTTTGAATATTATAGGGTTTTGTTTTTGGAGCTTGAACGGTTCTCTGTGCCTTCAACTGACTGGGATTATGTTGATTGACCGGTGTCAAACATTTTACAAACCAGCAATAGCGCCCATCGCTTTGATGGATTAACCATTTCAAGGTGTCTTTCCTAGTTGATCCTCATACTCTGCTTGTACCCTGAAAGATGAAGAAGTCGAAAAAAAACCTTGGAAGTCTGTTGGCAATAATGTCAACAATGTAAGACGTGCTGTTAATGGGATAAAACGTGCACACTCACACCGCCTGTGCTCCTCTCTCTGTCCTGACCAGGAGGATGAGATGACACTGTGCATGGAGCCAGAGTTGGCCTCGCTGACTCCGCCCACGCAACAAGGAGATGCCTCTGGCGGGAGTAGTCCGGGGCAACCGCCGGCAGAACCAATCACAGAGCGGAAGTCCTCCGATGTCCCCTCCAACCTCGTTCAGACGCTAGAGGACAAGGAACCGGCGGAGGGGCAGGGTCCTGCCGCTTCCATGGCAACCAACTGAGTACCTGGGTGCCAATAGACATTACAAACTGACAAGAGAGGCGGCCAGGAATGAACGTAATAATACAATATATATACATATATATATATTAATCTGTTACTTTTCAGGTATCACAAACCCAACTTTTTGGTTGCGAGAGGAATTGGTGAGGATTCGATTTGGAGATGGACACGCAATGAGACAAAAACTAATGCAAATAAAGGACATTTATTTATTTTTAAGCCTTACATCCCAAAGTCACAAGGGAAGGGAGGAGTGAGGACAGAGAAACTGAAGAGGAGAGGGAGGAGAAGGAATGGAAGCACTTACTGACCGAGACGTTTCCACAAGTGAAAGGAAACCACGTTGAGGTGAAGAGGATGGGAAAGGAAACGTGCATGCTTTTTACAAAGACTAGTAACATGACCCTGTCATCGCTTACAATAATAATGAAAACCTACCATAATAAAACATTATAATAAGAATAATTTTGTAATAAAGAAAAAAAAGAACAAGCATATGTATAACTGTATGATGCGATATCACAGTTTTCCAATGGGAGAACAACTCTGTTTACAGCTGTTACTCAACATATTAGATAGAGTTTAATTAAATTATTTTCCCCGTTGCATCAAACACATACGGTATGTTTAAAAAATGGCAACCCAAACAATTTCACATTATTCTAAGAAGAAAACGTTGGTATTTTGAGTGGAATACAGATGCACCCTCTAAAAACACACACTTCTATAATGTTTGTGGCACCAAGATGCCCGAGGCACAACCCAGGGACAGGCCTGTCCCGCTGACTGCACACACCAAACTGCACCGATAAGGATTGTACTGTAAGACAGTGTGCTTCCTACGGCCTCTCTGTATGCATGTTTCTTCAGATCACTATGGAGTACCTGCACTACACAGCACCGTATAGACTTTGCACTTAACCATAGAACCCCAAGCGGGGGCCACGATGGGCCCCGCGGCCAGTTTCATGACGGAGAAATAAAGACAAAGCTGCAGAAGCAAATTCTCTTTTTGCACTGATGCAATCCAACAGATCGGAGGTTGCCTTTGGACTGTCCCACTCGGACACCCAAAACCGAGCCACCCGACAACACGAACCCTAAGCCGCTTCTTTTTCCCTAGAAGTACGTGGTGGAGGAGGATAACCACTATTTGAATGTACTGGAAGTAACACGGCCGTACATGAGCGTTTGTGACCTTTTGATGTCTCATCGCGGTCCACATGGGAGAGAGTCTTTCTTAAGAAACAAACAAGTCTTTCAAACGTGTGGGAGGATGCTGTTGAAAACGGATTCACTGCTGTCTACACCACCACGGACACATGCGGACACACATACACGGACACACACACACACACAAATATCTAAATTGTAACCAGCAATAGACGGGCAAACCACTGGCTGCCCAACAAACCAGTGTCAGCTCTGTCGTATAGATGTAAATAGTCTGAGTACATAAAAATCGCCTCTCAATCACAGTCACAGCTATTCTAGTGCAGTATGAGTTCCTGTTTTTTTTACACCTCTCAGTCCCATTTTACTTTGGGATCAAGCTTAAGATTTAGGACTGAATTGAGTTTTTCTAACCACTACACAAAGACAAATGAAAAGGAGGAATGTTTGCGTTGTAAACAGAGCGAGTCCATCGGTCGGGGGAATCAGAGACGGACCCAGTTCACAGGAGGAAATTACAGCCGGTGTGCTGCTCAATCAGCCAATCAGGGAATAGAACGGAAGACTTAGATTGACGACTTGTGCCGTACAGATCGGTGTCTTCCTGCTCATTGTGATTACTGTGAAGCAGCTGCCTGGAGCATGATAGTGATTCTATTGATGTTCAAGGAATCGTGTTGTCATTTGATTTTTCTTTTTCTCTCTTTCACCTGAGTAAGAATGGATTTTTTCCAGCGAGGAAGTTAAAAAGAAAGCGAGGACCTTGCATGTCACCCTTGATGAACTATACAAGCAACACACCACTGATTTCTTTTTTTTTCAATTGGGGAGCCCCTTCTCCTCTCGCTTTAATCATTGAGTGAGAATCTTTTAGGATGGACAAAAAAAAACAACTCTATTGACTTGAAGGGATTTATTGGTTGACTGTTTCTTTGTGTACTGTCGGGGACAATGTTTATTTTTCTACTAACCTGTTGAATTCCCCTCCAGTATAAGTCAGAATAGCCGTCATGGTTGTAAAGGTGTCTTGTTGCGGTCTGGTTTTGAGCACTACACCAAGAAAAATACAACTTGTTAAGGGATTGCAGATGGATAGTTTGGCAGCTCTCAATTATAAACAAATCTATCATTGGATTTCACTAAAGTGTCTCATCAAAACAAGATTGCTCAAAACTACAAACAGAATGTCTTTACACAATGGTAGATATTCATTTATTTATTGAACAATTACTCGGTGGGGAGGAATAATGTGACAGCGTGTACAGTCTTTAATTCCATGTAGTTATCAGTCCCTCTGCGAGCAGCATCTTTTTTTAGTTTTTCAGTTTTTTGGCACGAGGTGAAGGCTGTTGCTTTATATTTGTTGATGGTGAAAACTGCGATTCTTTTTTTTGATTATTATTCGATTATAAAAAAGTTTGGTTGAGTTTTTAAGCAAACTTGTTGCACGGCCTTGATGGAAAGACACTGCTTTATTTCTCTTTTTTATATTTCACAAAATCTCAATGAATGAATAAACTAAAAAACTAAATGCCAAATATATTTCCGTGGATGTTAAGGTTCTGATCCCATCTTTGTTAACCGACCGGTTTGGAATTGAGTTCTTCTTTTTGTATAATTCTACTGCCATCTTCCAAGAGTTACGGCACCTTGCCGCAGGCACGACGCTCAAATGACGCTTCTTGTCCTCTGCCTTTCTCCTTCTCTCTCTTTTTATCTCTTTGTAATATGTTCTGTGTATTTGTGTCTGTCCGTCTGTCTGTCACTGTACAGTAAATTGTCTTGTTGAAAGAATCACTGCCCGAAGAAAAAAGAAAAATTACAAGTTTTCACATCAACCAAATGGGATTTAAGACATGTAACAGATATCATTTGGAAATGTGTGCAAAAAAGTAACCGCTGTAAAAAAAATCCTGCAAAAACAATTGGACGGCTTCTGTAAAAATCTGTGTAAAACTGGCTTAATTTGCTTGAAGGAGGCAGAGTGACTCGTGATACCCGTGTACCCGTGTACACTCACACCTATGCATGCTTGGACTGTTGTCACAGGATGGTTCTTCCACGTGGTTCCCGCTCTCTCTCCTCTTCTGTCAACAACGCTTATTTCTCTTCCTTTCTCCTGCACGACCGAACCTCCTTCAAACCCTCCTTCACCCGTCTCCTCTTCTTTTCCTCCGGTGGAGAACGAGCAAATAAACAAAACAACAAATGGCATTTTCTCATGCTCATGTGTTGATCACTTTTGACCTCTTTCTCTCTAGACCCCTTAACAGATGTGAAAAGTCTTTTTTGAACCACTTTTGGTGGCAGCCAGTTTCTCCGACCATTATGTTGGTGCTCGTCAGACTAAACAGCAATCGCCAAGGAAGTTGACAGCAGTGTGACACAGCCTGTCACGCTTTTCCAAACAGATTACTTTTCAGTTCTTATTGGGGATTTTATGGCAGGAAAATACTAACGACTCATTCTCAGAGACAGGCCTCCTCTGTGGGGCCAACGGCTTCTTCATTACAGCTCGCATAGAAATCAGAGAGTGAAACACACTGTTCACGTTCACAGCACAAATACCTGTTCGCTCCCTTTTCACACAAGAATGGAAAAGAGTTTGTCTGTTGTTCGGTGCAAAGAGTCAGAGGGGCCAGTTTCCAATTTTTAGCTGGAGACCTCTGTTAGCTTGTTAACACGGTAAACTAGAACAGTTACACCTGTGTAACAACCATCTGAATTTAGCATTTAGCTAAAATCCTTAGCGCTCAAAGAACGAATATGATTACCGTCACTGTTTTTCTACTAATGGACATTTTTATTAATGTACATGATTAAAATAAGTTAGTAGACAACTTTAACATTTATTATCTTTGAAAATTACAGATTCATAATAATTATTTGAAAATTTACCATTAATATTACAGAAATGTAAGTTATAATTTAAATTTCAGTAACTTTAAAAGTCTTTGACCTCTTGGTCAAATTAATTAAGTATTTATCAATATATAAATGATCATACAATTCATTGCTGTCAGATAATGTTTGATTAAAGGCTCTGAATGAAATGAACAGACACTTCATTTATGACAGAGCTACATTCTACATTTCCAAAATATGGATTGACATTCGTGGTATACGTGTGACTAAACAAGTTTGTTCGTCCGCACTTCAAAACAACCAGGGCGGCCCCAGAGACTTTGAAAGGGAAATCATAGGAGTAGAAAAAGAATCCTGGACTACAGGTTGTAGGAGGGTTACGTGCATTAGCTCGTCCGGCTCTCTGCGAGCTGAATGTCTGAGTGTCCGTCCGACTCCTCCACCCAGACAGAAGCTCCGTCTCTGGGGGTGAAATGAGAGTACTCTCTCTTAAACACAGTCTATAAGGGCTCATCTGACTCCTCGCTCTCCCTGTCCACCTGCGGGGAGGAGAGTGTGAGGACGGGGCTGGGTGGCGACACAGGGGGGGCGGGAGGTGGAGGCGGGGCGGGGGAGGAGGTAGACGGGGACGCCGGCTCCTGTGAAACACCGTCAGCTTCTCCACTGCTGGGGGAGGAGAGAGCCGCGTCACCCCCGGGAGCTCCCTTTGAAGACGACGCCTTTCCCCTGGAATCCTCCTTGGACTCCATCCGCACCAGCTCCCCCTCCACCCTGCTGCCCTCCCCCCACAGGTCTTTGTCCCGTGTGGGGGAGGAAGGGGTGGATGAGGGAGGTTGGTGCTTCTTGGTTTTCCGGCTGGTGCCTCTGAAGCTGGCCAGAGGGGGACGAAGCCTCACCCCGCTGCGGGTTGAGCCCTCTATAGCTTTCTGCAGCTGTTAGAGATTCAAAAAGAAACATCTGTTGAAGGAATCACTAAAGCAAACATCAGGGGAGATGAGTTCAAAGGGGTTAATGGAATAACCGCGTGAATCGGAGCGTGATGCACCCTGTGACCAAAACAAGCTGCCCACAACATGAGATCATCGCAGCTCGCCGCCATGCTGCATCGCGGGATGAAACCAAGCGGGGCGACAAAGACACGCACATGAAGGAAAATAAAGGAAAGAAATAGGACTTTACCTCTTTTAGTGCTACGACGCCCACCAGCTTTCCAATACTAGTGACATAGGCATGACTGAGACCCAGCAGAGAGAACAGAGTGTGGGTCTGAGTAGTGAGGAAGAGGAGGACATGATCCAGTCAGTGTCAAATGGTTTGCAGTGCGACTGTGTTCTACTTGCATGGCCAAACTGTTCCTTGGAAACAATTTGTTCCGACTGTATTTATTTGTTATATTTTGTTTTACAAACATAGGAAGCAATGTTTAAGCGGATGCTGATGTTGCCTTGCATGATCCTGGTGTTTTCAACACAGCGAGGCATACAGTTTAATAAACAACGGTATCGGATCGGTACTCGGTATCAGCGATACTAAAGCCTAGGTATCTGTATCGGGAGGGGAAACCACCGTTTGTTATCTCTGAGCTCAGTTTAAGGAGACTTTGAAAGCTTTTTCAGAGCCACAGGGGACGTTATACAACTGTTTTCATAGACTGAAATTGACACATTTGGTAGAGATCCACTTTGAACGTCAACAGAATAGTACAAACCCCAAAAAGGCGGTATTAAAAATGTTTGATAATTAAAACAACTGGTATTAAAGGGCAATTGAACATGTTATTTTGCCAATAGTTTGCCATTTTGGGAGAACATTTCATTTTTGGTTAAGAGAAACAGCTGGCATGACTATTTCCAAAGGTACAAAAGTCCAAACACGGCATAAATTTAAACTCACACACAAAATTTATTTGTGGTTGCTTAAACTAATGTAAAAATATACAAACAGGGTATTTCCCAAAATGGCAAACTACTTATTTAACTGTGACATGTGATATGTAATTGCATCATCATTTTCTTGAAATGATATTTACATGTGAAAACATGTCACCCAGGTCTTGCTGTGGTCACCTTGTGCAGAGAAGTCCTTTCCACCAGCTGAAACGGGGAGGGGTCGATGCGTATCTGCTCCATATCAATGGGTTTATCCAGCTCCTCCTCTTCCCAGGCTTTGATCTGCATCAGCGAATCACAAGAGAGATGGACTAATAGCGTACAGAGTTTCAAATGATTGATTTGTATACTTTGGGTGTCTCGTTGTTGACTGTGTGCACGGTGGATCAATGAGGCGCAGTACCTCCTCTGGGGACATGGTGTCGGTCAGCGGAGGCGGCGTGGCCTCCTGAGCAGAGGGCGGGGAAAGAAAGAGGGAGGCACGGATTGATGTGCAGTCAGTTTGAAAAGCTATCACCCACCGCACGACATGTCAAGCCTTTCCCGGGTGCATCATGTCTTTCCCTTCCCGTCACATTAGCCAGGTTGGCTCCAGGTGTGTGACTGATAATCCCTTTTGAGCTTTCGATGCCCACTCAAGCGTTCGAAAAATAACGAGTGTGTGAGGTTGATCTTACCTGAGCCTCAGTCTGGCCCGACAGAGATGTGGTGGAGAAGAGTCTCTGCAGGGTCAACCTGACAGATGGGAGCTTGCGCTTGTCTGAAGATATGGTACATGAACACAAGTCAGACCGGAGAGGAAGTGACATTTCAGGGGGCGGACTGGTTTTCATGAGCAGTGGAACTGCAATGTCACCTGAACCCCTGTGGTTGGTTGAGGGCTCCTGGGGTCCGGGAGATGGGATCGGCCCGTTAGATTCTTCCTGTACTGGCGCGGTCTGCTGAAACAACATGGGGTTTTTTTTAGAGCTAATGTACTAAAGTTAATTTAGGTAGTTTTCCCCACCTTGTCTGCACTCTCGTCTGCGCCGTCCTCGTCTACAAAGGCGAAGGACTCCCAGCTGACTTTGGAGCCCTGGCCCGGTGAGCTCGGACCCCTTTCGTAGACTCGCCTCTCGGGTGAGAGCCACCAGTCAAAGACGGCTTGAAGCTCCGTCCTCTCGATGGAGCCCAGGAGAATCATGGATTCTGCAGTGAAAAGTGTTAACGGAGTAGTTTAGTTTGCCATGAAGACTGACAAAAGGGAAACAGTTTGAAGACTTAAATCGAGAGTGTCAATAATGCATCGCAGATATCTACTATGCTAAATATTGTTGTTGAGCTACAGCCAATTAAAAAGCAAGATATGGGTGTATATGTAAAATGTGGTATCAATTGAATATGTACATTTCCCAAAATATCAAACTATTTCTTTCACACTAAGCTTGAATAGGCCCAGTATGAAGTAAACAATCGCCCTACCTTTGGAGTCCACTAGGGGGATGGTTTTCAGGCTTGCGGTCTCTAGCAGATGGTTCAGTTCCCGATAGGTGGATTGAGAAGACAGGAACTTAACCTTGCGCACCATGATGTCCTCCACAAAGATGTTATACTTGCTGGGGACGCAGAGACACTACAATGAATACGGTCTGTCCTACAATGATAGCTGCATGGACAACGGACAACAGTGATATTTTCTCCCAGTTTTAGCTTTACCTGATGTGCCCGAGGGCCAGTTCAGGTAGGTAAGGCAGCTTCTTCACCTGGATGATGGAGTCGTAGAGAGAAGGCTGCAGACCCTGGGCCACCATGTTCGCTAGGATGACAGCCACCATCATCGGCAGGATGTGCGAGATCTGACCGGTCAGCTCAAAGCAGATTACCGCAGTGGAAACCGTGTGCGTGACGGCTCCCGTCATTGCCGCCGCGCCTGGGAACGAGCAGAGGACAGGATACTCGATGGAGTCATTCTCCCATCTGACCACGTCGGCCTTGAAATGCCCTTCAATTCAAATTCAAGAATTTCGTTGACTTGAAAAGGTTTAAGTCAGTAGATCATTGAACGTCCTCAAACCCTAGTATTCTTTAAGTCTCTTCTATGAGTCCTATGGCACCCTGAGCACAGCGCTAAGGTTAATAGACTGACCAATGACGGCGTATCCCCCCGGCAGGATGCGGTAGACTATCCCATCAAACAGGATCCCATTTGGGAAAAGAGTGGCCATGATCTCCCCCACGAGGCGGCCGAAAGCAGCTCCTTGAGGAGATAGATAAGACAAATTGAAGCAAAGCTCAGCAGGAGACACTGCGCTCGCAATGGAAAATCCCATTACCTAGTATGAACACTGGCATAAAGGCACCAGATGGGATGGGCATTGTGGTGGAAAGTGCTGACATCCAGAACTGCAACACAAAAAGCGGCTCAGGGAAGGATTGCACCAGTCCGTTAAGTCTCACATGTATATGTTTTCAATGCGACACAAGTCCTGTACACAGCAAGAGATGAGCGATACCTTCATGACGCAGAAGAGTAGAAGGATGACAAAAACGCTGACATGAGGATGAAGCCATGCAGAGGAGCGACCCAGGCCGGGCGGAGCAGATAATCCCGAGATTTTGGTCCAGGTGAAATTATCAAAGAGGGAGTTGATACACTCTCTGGGCATCAGCTGCACAAACAGAAAATACGGGTACAAAACGTTATCGAACAAAAAAAGGCGTAAATTCTTCATCAAGCATGACAAAGTGCATACCAACACAACATGTTATATATCTTGTTGATAGTCAATCATGTATTGCAAGAATGAGATGAGAGATTGGAATTATGTTTAATATGGACTGATTTTGGTAAGAAAGCATTTTTAGAACTGTGTTTTTAAAAATCACACCATTACGGATTACGGTCTTCCTTTGCTTTCATCTACAGCAAAACATCAGAACACCACAAGATCGAGACGCCGTTGAACATCTTCTTCAAAATCAAATTCTAAATACTAATGAACACACATCAAAAAGATGTCAGAGAGCGTGAGATCGAGTCAGTCTGACCTCCCCAGCCATGAACTGCCCAAATCCTGGTGGAAACGTCAAGGTGGCGATGATCAGCGTCACTGCACCTGGATAGATCAATCGACTGGGCGCGTACGCACAAGTACACACACACAGGCACACGGTCATTAACAGAAACAATACTTAGACAAAGAAAACATGGCAAAATAAGTGATGCACGCAACCGAAATAACTACGGAACTGTGATACCACCGCTGATTTCATGGCTCTGCTGGCGCTGCTGCTCGCCTCTTTCTAATGGTGGAGATTAACGTCCCCTGACTGTTTGCGTCTCTGAGGAGAAGTGAACCTCCACATTGAGTGAATAACTGGCTGAAAGGCTGTAAATGCTTTTCTGCTGTCTAGCCAGTGTTGTGAGACTGATGAGTTCGGAGAAAGCTGAGATACATTAAGAAGAATTGGATTTTAATGCGCGAATGGTTTGACTTCCTGGGAAGACGGCCCTAATTGTGTGTGTGTGTGTGTGTGTGTGTGTGTGTGTGTGTGTGTGTGTGTGTGTGTGTGTCGGGATCTCACTGTTTGGTTAGGAAGCGTGTGAGTGCCGTCGGCCTCCTCATGAAGAGAACCACCTGTCTGTTCAGATAGACGAAGAACGCTCCCAGGAAGCCACAAGAGATCCTAAAAACAGGAGAGAAAAGTGTTGCTCCCCCTGCACAACAACCACGTACGCGCACAGCGTGTATTTGGGCCAATACATGATTATTTCTATATTTATTTTAAAAGCGGGGAGGCACGGTATCATTTCCCCGATACGACAGCATACAGACATTTGTATTTACCCTATTATTGCAAATGCAGGCAGCTCCTGCAGGTCGAAGGGGAAATCCATCCGGAAGTTAGTTTTGAAGAGAGCTGTGATTGTGACTGAGAGAAAAATAAATGTAACAAAAGAGAAAAATGAAAATGAAAATGTGTGATCTCAATCCCTCACTTCAGTGCTTATTTATCAGTTTCATTTATCAGCACAAAATTAAATCAAAGGAAGGACACAAAACAATAATGGACTATGGCTTTCAGGAGGAGGAACAAATGCTTTTAGGAATAATAAACATACAATAAAAACAGAGGATGTTCAGGACATTAAATCTGCTTAATTCATGAAGTTTGGGAGCAGCGGATAAAAGTTGTGTGTTCACTATTTAATTTAATATCTAAAAGATTTCTTCAGTCCATATGCATGATCTTTATGAAACTAAACATTTGCAAAATGTTCATTTAAACTCTAAAAAGACGACATGTGACGAGTGACCTTGGCTTTAACGTTTAAAGACCAGATGGTTGTGATTTAGTTTGGGTGTAGTTGAAATAGTCTCATTACGTGAAAGAAGTAAGCAATAACTTTAAACATTTCTGGTGTTTCTACAGAAGCAAATATTAATATACTTCCCATATAATGGTCAGCAGTCTTTTTAAGCAGTGTGTGGATGCCAAGTGTGTGTTTGTGTGTGCGCTCTGCTTCTTACCGGCATCCTTGTTCCAAACAGAGAGCACCCTGAATATGAAGGCGCTGAACGTGGCGGCAAAATATCCCCGCCAGTAATTCCTCACCGCAAAGTAGGTAGACGTGACCTCAATACTGAACAACACCCCTGGTGGAGGTGAGCAGCGAGAAAGAGGGACGGGAGGGCGGACACAGGGAGGAGGGAATAAATGAGGACAGGGAAATGAGGATGGATAGCGTGGGAGACGAGGAAAGGGGAGACAGAGAGAGGGAGACAGAAATGAGTTAAATGAGCAAAATGAGTCCAAAAACACTTGAGGCTGAGGGTGTTATTATACACAACAGGAGGAGTGAGTACACACTGTAACAGAACCAAACACACACACACAGACACATAACCGGGTATAATCTGCATGTAAAGCCATAAAAATATACATCATAAACTTTATTGTAAAAAGAAAACAGATTAACAGACGAAAACAAGCATTCAAAGACATTCAAAGATAACCCGAACAAAAGGTCCATGATATTTTTTACGTTGATTAAATGTTGATCTTTTTCGACATACCCACTACAACCGTCTTATTATAGAAAAAAACACACCTGTTAGAATGCAAGCTAGTCAGACTACAGTCGGTTATTCTTCTGTGATTTTAAACAAAAGAGATTTTCAGGAGAAGTCACATTTCTCTCTTTTCAGAGCTAGGTGGATAAATAGGCTGGGCCTATATATACATACATACATATATATGTGTATACGTATGTATATATAATGTATATATATATATATTAAACTAATTTAGTAATATTAATGTTATTGTCTTAGAACAAGCAGCTGTTTAAATTCTTTTTTGAAATACAGACTCAAATAAACTACATTTCAAATTAAATAAATGTAACAAGTAAACAAGTTTTGATTCTGGCTTGTTGTTGGACGCCTCGGGCCACAGACTTGTTTCAGTTTGTTTTAAAAAGCACATTCTCAGTACAGTATCCAGTACAAGGGGGTGTTTGTTGTAGGAGGCAGTGTGCAAGTTGTACAGTACCTCCAAGCGGAGTGCCGAAACAGCATCCCACCCCCACGGCACAGCCAACAGTCAGAATGTCTGTGTAACCATAAGGGTTCTACTGACACACAAAACAGAGAGGGAAAGGGCACAAAACAAGAGGGAAATAAAGAGTTCAGAGGGACAATGAGCGATGAAAAGCACGAGATGATGAAGGGGAACAAGAGCGTACGCAGAAAGGCGGGAGGGTGAGATGGAAATGGAGGGAATGAAAGATCAAGGTGGAGCGGAGGGGGGACGGGGGGAGAATGGACAGAAAGAGAGCAAGATGGAATAAAGTGAATAAATTAAAGAATAAAAGAAAAGTGATGAATACAAAGAGAAACAGCACATCAAGGAAACGTAAAGGAGAAATGCCAACAAGAAAAATCAAGACTTAGAGAAAGCAATTAGGTCACTTGGAAATAAACAAACTGGTCCATGGTTCTTCGAGCAATATCCCTGCAACTGATTGTACACCAAACATTTATATTAGCTGATCCTAAATGATTTACGATGTTCCGTGTAACATTCATTTCACAGAATATTTTACCCAAAAGGGGGTGAAATGCAGAGAAGGCCACATAGCAGAAATACATGTGTAATTCAAGGGTCATAATATGTGGCTGCAAACCTGTCTGCAATAAATACAAATTTTGAATAAATTCCCTTAGAATTAATCTGGATGTCAGACACTGGGGACAGTATTAATTAAATAAGGTGATTTCCCAAAACGTTGAACTATTCCAGGTTGACATTATTGTAGAAACGTTTGAATACCCATCCAGCTTTATTCATCACTTGATAATGAAGGCGACTGGTCACAGGACAGAGACAACTTCCCCGTTCGTGGTGCTGATGTTGTCTCGGCAGGACAAAACGGACACTTCCTGATTAAGTCACTGTGGGGGGAAGGGGAGGAGGAGGGGGGGAGAGTGGGGGGACTTGCCTCCCACAGGGGCAGCAAAACAGGTGGCCACTCCCACGGCACACGCACACACCAACAGGTCCTGGTTATGGGTGCCCTTCTGGGGTTAAGGGTCACAGACGTGCAGGGGGATGAATGAGAAAGCAGGGTTGGGGGGGTCGGGGGGGGGGGGGGGGGGGGTAGAGAGTGGGTGAAGAGACAGGGATATGTGAGGTCACTGTTAATACACATGCCAAACATTACCATCACACTATTAATACAGTGAGACGCAAACACAGACGAGCTGCGGGGGAGGAGGGGGGGGGGGGTGGGGAGCCAAAACACAGACACAAGAAAAACAGGGGGAGGGAGGGGGAGAGACAGAGGCGAGAGGGCAACAGTCACAAGGTTCCCACTTTCAATGAACTGCAGGGACAAAAGAGAACCTTGTTTGTATGAAAAAATAAGGTGTTATTTATGAAATAAATAAGGTGAACAGAAGAACTATGTGCTATGAGATATCCAATCACCTTGAAAACTGAGTCTGCAGCAACGACAGAGGCAGGGATTTGTACAAACTTGACAAGTCCAACCTCTCATCTCTACTCTGTGAGGCTTTACAAAAGGCACATTGTTGCTTTGAACTGAATTTTAACATTCTCTCAACCAAAGGACAGACTTCCTCCAAGCTTCAGCCTGGTCAGTCACTGAGTAAAAATCACAAACAAAGGGTTTTCTCAAATGTTAAAATTCACATTTTGCAGGCCAGTGGGAACCCTGTAATTACGCCAAAGAATGGCGTAATGACATGTAATGCATGATGAACAAGGAGGTGATGCGCTCGATTTTGGTCCAGGCCTCGGCTTACCTCATAGGCTCCGGAAAAGATGGAAATGAATTGACTCAGCACTGCGGCACAGATACTGGCGATGTGGACGAATGGACCCTGAGGGCGGGACGTAATGACACAAATGATTGACACGTGATGTTACATTCACTGACACAGACTGTTTTCTGTAAAAAAAAAAGAAAAAAAGGGGGGGAATATAAACTGGCACACATTCTATCAGAACAGATAAATCACAGCATTACTGCAGGATCGGACAGTGTAACGGGGGGAACTAATGTGCTCCTTTGCTGGAAAATACATTTGCTTCAATCCCGGGAGAAGAGGGAGAGGGAGAGAGAGAGGGGGGGGGACATGACAGATTATCATTTTTTACACATCAAGTTTGGAGAAAGAGCAGATGGAGCAATGCAGAAAGAAAAAAAATAAATGAAGGGGGTTGATGATAAAGCTGCTGGATCAATGAAAGGTGACAAACAGAGAAAAAAGCCGGTTTAAGAAGGGGGGGTGGGGGGGGTTTACCTCTTTGCCCACTGGCATCCCGCTGCCCAAGCCAGCGGTCAACCCGACAACTTTAGCTACGAAGGCTTTAAGGGTCAGATACTCCTTCAGCACCACACCTCTCAGGATGGTTTTCAGTTCAGGAATGCCCGAACCTGTAAAAACAACCGAAAAACAGGGAGAAGACTAAAGGATGGCGGCAGCGGCGGATAAAGAAAACGCCTCTCTACCCAACAACAAGAAAAGAGTGATAGGAAACAAACCACAATGCCAGAGGATGACAGGTGACGGAGAGCTTACCGATGGCCTGCGGGGAAACCAGGTGACAAAAGAGCGAGGCGAACATGACGAGGATCATGGGATAAGTAACCCAGGCCAAGTACTGGAGGAGCACGTTGCCTTTCAGCTCCCCATGCATCCACTTATAGGCTGAAAGACAGAAAAACAACACATGCAAATCACAGACAAAGTCTCGGGTTGTTAAACGCAGGAGAGGATTCCTCTCTGTGACTGAGGCCGTGTACCTTGCAGGCTCTTGGCGCTGGCGTAGTCCATACTCCAGCTGACCAGAGCCATAGTGAGTCCCAGAAGAACCAGAAATATCCAGTCCTCCCCCATCTTGGTCACTATGTACCGACGCGCACGAGCAAAACAGTCTGGGACAGATGGATCAAATGAATGATTTACCTTGGGTCCTTTTGACTTAATTACATTAATTACATTTAGTTGACTTAAAACAGGGAATCATTCAGTGAGATTAGGGCGACAGAAATAATGCAATAGCTCATCATAACACGATTAATTTCAATAGCTTTGTGCTTTTTGGATTATGACAAATAGATGTGTGTGCATTCTCTGGAAGAATATTTATTCCAAATAAAACACAAACATAAGGAATTAAAACACAAAATATTGCTGTCCAGTCTACTGATTGCGGAAAGATATATATATATATATTATGGAAGAGAATCACATTGAGATTGGGAATTGAGTAAAAAAAGATGTACATTGATTGTTCTAAATAGATCAATGTATTCAATGTATTTATAAAAGAGAAATATGTTCATATGACAAACACAAACATTTCGCATGTATCCTTAGTGCAGCTAGGCAAATATAAAAGACAATTTATATCAAATTATAGTCAAAATGCATGCTTGGGATTTGATATCCAGACCTCAGTGTGCTTTAGAAAACATTCAAATTTTTAAGCTGAAAAAAAGTTATACATTTTAAGCATTCAGTATTTTTCTATAAAAAATACAATTCTACATAATGGAGAAAGTTTTAAAACAGCATTTAAACATTCATGTTGGAGCATGAAGTGCAACATGTTTACTATTACTACTATTTTGCTGATTTCACATGAGGTGTCAGAGCCATGGCGACTACCTGCCTCTTTACAGAAAACCGTTTTCAAAGCATTTACATGTTTGTCTGAACAGAGATTCCCGATGGTCACCTTGGCATTTGGAGTAGGGGCGAGGCTTCTTGCTGGACGAGGCTTGGCTGTGATACGACTCCAGGGACACGGGGTGCTGATGATGATGATGCCGCCGGCCGTGTCCCGTTCGGCCGCTGGAGTTGTTGCCCGCCTGTCTCCTCCATTGTCTCTCTGTCAGCAGACGGGCAGCTTCCCGCCTGGCAAAGTTTCCCAGCTGCTCCCTGTACTCACCGTACAGCTGAAACCAGGGTGGGGACACTTACCAACACTGTATTTTGCAAAAAGCATCAATAAATCACGTGGCTGGGGGGAGGGGGGGGGGGGGTCCCAGGGTTGCAGAGAAGCAAAAGAAGAGCGTGGAGAAGAAGAAATACCTCTGAAAAGTGAGACTTGGTAGAAGGATAAAACAAGATCCAGCGAGATAACGAGAAAGAGACGGGGAATGTGCGGCGTGTGTGTAACGGATACACACCAACCTGAATACCCTGGCAGACAGAAATAGACAAAACGGGCATAGGGGTCGGAAAAAAACCCTGGAGGCTGGAGGGGCTGGACAGGAGCCAGAGGGAGAGCCCCTGGACCAGAGGACATTCCACATCTTTCCCTACGTTCTACACCTACAACCCAACACACACACACACACACACACACACAGGTTCAGTGTCAACACGACACCTTGTGACCGTGAGGTGTATTCCCATCAGAGCACATGGAGAGTTCATAGACCACACGCTGTTAAATGCTGCAGATCCAGGTGTAGCAACGATGTGGAAGTGAAACCCGTGGATCACGTGCATCCCACCGTGCAGCGAGGAGCTCGATCACAAGGAGGGACGGCTGCCGTACGTTACTGTCTCATGTTCACTCAGAAAGGGAGAGCTGGCACATCCAAGCAGGAGGCCCCGAACCAACGGCCGAGCTTAGCTTGTGGCCCGTGGCTGCGTCCGACAGTAAATGAAATAAAGGTGCAGCAGAAGTCTTCAATCTCATCTGATATATATTCAACTAACAGTCGGACACAGACGAGTTACTGCATAACTTTGTTTGTGGAGATCTTCTGTATAAAAACTACTACTACTGGAAAAAAAATAAGTCACAAGAAGAGGATATAGTGTTATGAATGAATACACCACATAGCTGGTGTTAAAGGCTGTTGGAAATGTGTGTTGTCCCTAAATTGTCAAATTATTTTAACTTCACTAAACACTGAAAACCACAAGCTATTCAGAACAAACAAAATGCTCAAAGCTCCTTCCTCGAGATAACAGTAGAAAAATGAATGAAAGCTAGTCTTTGGTTATGCAAGGAACTGATTAATCTATACTTTCATAAATTCTACGTTTTGTGAGCCAGAAGATACGGTTTATTACTTTGAGCAAGATAACGATGCAGCAAATGTTTACATCACAGCAGTAAAGCTTTTAAAGACAGTTTAGGGTTATTTTTTGCAGTAGAGAACTCATTTTAATTTAAATGATTTGCAAATAAATTACAAAAAACAGTTTGGACAGAATGCTATTGGAGTAAACTATATAGATATAAAAAGTTAAACATTTATTATACTTTTACTGGTTAATATTCTGGTAATATACATCTATTCCGCTCTAATGTGAAAGGTGCAGACAAACCATTAACGCCATAACTTTGAAAATAGGATCAAATTAACACGTGTAAACAGATCTGGTGATAAAAGAGAAATGTCAGAAGAACACTGGTCTGTGTTATTAACTCGGTAAGAGAATAAGACTCCCTCCCACCTCCCCAGCAGATGAAGCCTTTGGTCTTCAGGTCTTTACCTGTTCCTCGTCAGTTGTCTTCAGCATGATGTGGTAGCAGCTGTGCTCCTGTCCTGTGCTACACTGCAGACTACCTCAGCGTCACCAGTCTACACATTAACACCAAAGCACTAATCCATCAACATCATCAAACAGGCCCTGGCCCCATGCACCTTCACAACCAGGGACGGGAACAACAGGAGTCTGTGTGTCGCTCTCCGACGCCGTACATTTTACTTCCCATGGTGCAAAAACAAAAGCGTACCGCAGGTTTACGGTCACATTATGGCTCATAACTATACAGAGAGTAGCATTTCATGTGTTTGGTTTAGGCAATAACTGAACGTATTTGTCGTTGTTTTTATTCACATATATATGTATATATATATATTCCGTTTTCTAAAATTATTTTTGTATGTTCTTGCCATTGTATGCACTGTTTTTGTGAGTCAAATTCCAAAGGATTTACCTGCTTGACAGTTTTCAATTAAATCTTCAGTACTTATATCTGGCGAGAGGATAGCATTGTGTAATAAATATAATATTAAGTAAATATTAAGTAGCTAATGAACAACTGTGAGTAAAATGAAAATAATAAATGACAAATGTATTCAAAATGTTTACCATAACTGTTTAGTCATTTATGAAGTGTATTACTGGAGTACGTGTGTGTACACATATACACATATATACTGTATACACAAATATAAAGTCTAACATTTCACTGAAAATTAACAGCCAGTTATTGTAATAATCAATTAATCATTTGTCATAATATAAAGAAAACATGCCAAAGACTTTGTTCCTAAAATGTGAGCACTCGTGTTTTTATTTTGCACTGCTGGTTAGAGGACACAAGCCACTTGAAGCACGTTCACTTTGAATCTAACAATCAAACTGTGCTGCAGCCCTCATGTGTTGCCAATGAATTGCGAACAAGGCAATAAATCACAAAGAGGGATACAAAAAACACGCTGAAAGCGTGAGAGAGAGATATTTAAAGCTGTGATTCACTCATATCGCCTCCATCTCTCAACCTGGTGTTTACATTCATGACACCGCGTAACCTTGTGCATCCATTGGCATCAGTAACCAACATTTCCCACCACCCCCGCATATTTCCCCACATCGCCTCCCGCCGCTGCTCGACTAGTCGCTGTGCGATGACCTTCCAACAGTCCAACAGAGGACACATCACACTCTCTCTACTCCTCCAGTCACACTAATTCACTCTCAGCATGATTCCTTCTCCCCCCCTCTCATTATCCGTTTATTGTGCTGCACTGTAAGAGCCTAAGCTTTAATATTATTCTAACTGAAAGTCTGTGGGGAGGAAGACAACGGAGAAATTTAAACCCCTCCTCCGTTGGCTTTGTTAGGAACACAAAGCCACGGTGGGTTTATGCTTGTTGGGCTGTCGAGTGCGTTGAATATATTCATAGATCTGTCCGTGAGGCTATTGTAAAACACAAGTAATTCAGGAGGAACTTCAAGTGTAAACAAACACACAGACGGACACAGACGGACAGAGAGACAGAGGGAGAGAGACGGGCTCATAGAAGGCCAGGTTGAAGGGCAGTGTGACATTGAGAGTTAATTAAAAAAAAAGCACATTCCTTTGCCCCTGGTGAGAGAATACTGCATATTCATAAATACCTGTGTGTTAGAACGGGTCTGTGAGCATGCTAAGTTTATATGTGTGTGTTTATGAGTGAGCTACATTAATGTCTGGGTGTTTTGTTGTGTGTGCGTGTGTGTGTGTGTGTGTGTGTGTGTAGTGAGGCCTTACAGCAATTTAGCCCTGTTCCATAGCACAAGGTTAATGATAAAATCTGACCTCCTCACTGACAGATCAGGGGATTAACCCCCCCCCCACACACACACACTCTCCCTGCCTCCCCCACAACACACACTCACACTCCACAATCACATGTCTCCTCACACATACACTAATTAATAGGCACGATAACATTTTCACGGCTCCTCCAAACACCGTTCAAGCTGCCATGTTCTCATTGCAGCGTGGTGGTGAGGACAAAAGAGAAAACAAGCCAAAGGGAAAAATGTGTTATTATGAGCCCAGAGTTCACTTTCACTCCAAGTAATCCAGAAAAAAAAACACTTGGAGGAGCGCGGGGTCATTGTCACTCTGTAAGGCCAGTCTACATGCAATAATTAATCCCACAACAAGAAACTTGAAAGTCAATAGAACCATTAAGACACAGTACAAAAGTTTTTTTTTCTTCATCTCATCTACTTTATGAATGAGTTTTAAACTTTTAATTAAAAAACATGGCAAGAATCAAGATAGTGAACCTTACCAGAAAATGATCGACATTCAGAACGGTTTCAAAAGTATTGATTCGCTTCTTCATCTTTTCGGCCGCTCCTCCTGCAGGTTGCTGCTCACACTCTTGTGCCTCCTTAATATACCGCGAGTCCCTCGCTGGATATCTTTGTCCTACATCTGACATTTCCTGTCTTTTGCAGAGTGGCGGACACAGACTGTACCTGCTAACCTGCCGTAGTACAGTATGGAGGCCAGTGATGGACAGGTATGGCCAGTGCAGCGCGCCCACACACACACACATTCAGAGAGCGCGGAGGAAGCCGTAGAGGTTAACAGGAACACTGGAGGCTTGACAATACGAGTTCAGCAGCTTTTAATTTAGAGGGGTATATTCCCAGTCAGGCAGATTCCTTCATAAACGATACCAGGCAGGAAGGACACAAGCTGAAGGTATGAAAAATAATACCTGCTGACTGACATTTAACATTATTAACAGTGAGTGGGACGGGCTGGGCAACGCTGCACCATAAGTACCCGTTAAAGATATTTAGGGGACCTACATGTTGTTGGCAGTGATTTAGTTTAATTTCTAAAAGTGGCACCTGCACGCGCTGCGTTTCTAGGTGATGCATGATGGGGTACATGCTCCACATGGTTACTAATGACCTGCGCAGGTACAAGACGGATGGATGGAAGCGCCTTTCAGTTTATTTGCAGACGGAAAGTAGAACAAACCTGAGAAATGTTCCAAAGCCGATTTAATTAATCCAGTTCTAAAACTTTTCTCCTTCTTGTAGCCTTGTTGTAAAATGAAGGGCCGCTCTGTTCCATTTAAGTGTCCCAGTAAGCGAGGCCTGTGAGCCAACATGCACAGCAGCAGGGCCCTGAAGACTGCACAACTAATTGGAACGCAGCCACCGTTGTTATTAATTACAGCTGGGCTTTCCCTGCCGTGACTAAATAAAAAGGTCCATTACACGGTCAGCACCTTATACTCCAATAATAAAAGATTTTTTTTTTTTTTAACATGACACTTAATTAAACTTAATTTCAATACATCATACAAAAAGCCATTTTTAAACCCAATTGAATACATTTATATTAGCTAAATTAAAGACTTAATGTCATGTTCAATTGGTTTGTTAGAAACAGAGATTTAAGTGCCAGAAAATAACGATTCGGAGACACCACAACAAAGCAATTGCATCTTCTTGTGGATGTGGTTCTCAAGAGTCCTAAATTCAAATACAATCTTGGTCTGATTGGAAATGTAGGGCTTAGCATCACCACAGCCTTGAGATGCATTCAGGGAATGAAGCCCTGGTTTATATTCAGTTTAGATGTTTAGTTTTTTCTCCAATCGCAATTATCTGGGAAAAAAAATTCTCCTTCGATGCCTTTAACAGACTTTCTCGTACTTTCTTGTACCTCCGACTTAACTGAACACGCTGCCCCCTGAAACTTTCCCTCTCAACCCCCCCGTATGCCCATCGACCCCCCCCCCCCCCCCCCCCACGGAGGTGAAACCTTACTCGTGGATAAATTTAGCAGCGGTGTGACCCACTGTTCATTCACCCACCGCTCCCTCTCTCACGCCGTTTGTCTCTCTCGGCCCGGATGGCGAGCTTTCCTCAAAGATCACGATCACGTGCCGACTCGTCTTCCAACTGCCGCTTGGACTACAAATAGTTTCATCATTCCGTTGGCGCCAGCGCTGTAATTGTAAAGACGCATCTGGTGACCGGGATATGAAATTTAATGTAATGTCATTGCAGTGTGGCAGGTGAACATTTTCCCATTTAGAAGCCTGTAACATTTCAGACTGGTGAGATCCATTTCACTGCTGCTGACATAACTTCATTTTAAGTGATGTCCTTTATTAATTTATCCTAAAGAGTACACACCAGAATACCTGTGATGACACACAGATATCTGTTCCCGCCATCCTGATGGCGCGTGTCCGGCACAAGTCAACGGAGGGTGCTTCCTCTTCGCTAAGGTCGAGGGGTCGACAACAGCTGTGTGCCTTGGAAGTAGTTGACACAACTTTACAAACCCAGCGAGCGATCGGTTGGTGCTCCGCGGGTCACCGGCAGCTCGGTTTGAGCCGGGCTAGAGTTTGTAATTCCCAGAATTCTAAAAATCAGTTGGACGCTTAATAAAATCTGTACCTCAGTACCAGGAATGAGGTTAAATGTTTGCTAACTAATAGGGAGGCAGTGCAAATTTGATATACAAATTAAATGATTACTATTACCTGCACAACCTTCTCTTGGTCACAATCCAGTCCATTGTAAGCCTCATTAAGAGCTTTACTTCTACAATAATGAAAAGTATTTTTTGTTGAGGGAACCAGTGAGGTGCTGACAGGTTTGCCGCTTTTTATAGCACCTTTTGAGCTAAAGCGGTCATTTAAATGCAATTGTTTAGGTAAATTAATCTAAAACACCTGCAAAATGACCCACTTAAACGGCACACATACAAAGAACACTGAAAGCTCGTCACGGCTTCAGTAACCTCACAGCACCAGTATGCATCCCTATCTGAAAATATACTGAGGTGTATATCCTTCTGATCATCAATCAACACGTCTACACATAAAGTCCTCGTAGGCTCTAATTTCCCCTTTCATACCCGAGCAATGTGACTTTTCAGTGCGACATGAAGTCTGTACATAGTGTGATTAATTGTGATTTCTTATTTATAACTGACCCAATGGCCCCTGAATTAGAGGTTTGCTTTTGGCAATTGTCCATTGTCTCATAAGAGAAGTAAAAGAGGAGCGACAAATAAAAACACCCCCCCCAGCTGCTCTAAACTCAGATGTATCGGTCTTTCTCTCGGCTTATATTCCACATTCAGCTCTGCAGAAATGTATCTTTGAAAACCACAGACAACAACGCAACGCTTCAAAACAATTGTCGAAAAGGATCTGATGCTGCGAGTCATTTATGTCAACAGATCAGATGCGATTGGATGAAAAAGAGTCAAGCATTTAAGCAGATGAACCGGAGGATTTAGTGACATGACTTCATCTGAACACGTACATCTAACCTGTCTGCTCAGGTTTCCTGTATACAAGTATTTATAACCAACCCATAAGGCTGCAGCTTGAAGCGGCACACAGACCGAAGGAGATAGACTGGTTCACATGGAGGAAAGGATATGATTTGAGCAATGCAACAAGAAAAAAAAAAAGATTATAATATTACAATGGCTTCTGTTTATCGCCTTCAGTGTTTCGTAGCGTGGGAGGAAAACAGGAGCAGAGACTGCTAATGGTTCTTTTGAGGTCTGCACAAATAACGCTGACGTTCATTTGCTCGAATCTTGTTGAAGAGGTAAAGAAGAATCGGGAGCGCTGAGAAGTATTGATTCAAGAGAAGCTCATGCAACATAGAAGAGAAGCACGAAAGAAGAAACAGAGCACTGCATCAAGCGTGCTGACATAATAGAAAGATTTTAAAAAACAGTTCTTAAAAAAAGCGCATGGGTGAAATAATGAGATTGAGGACAATGGCTGGAAAATGTGGCAGGTGGAGAGGTGACGGAGAAGCAGGTGGAGGGGAATGCAACAGGTGGAAGACATTTCAAAAGACAAAAGACAAGCAGGCAGGTAGAAGATTTGGTGAAGACCTACCAGGGTCTGTTGGTATCTCAGCGCCTTTCTTTGCGACGCATCTGCAGCCATTGACACGCTGTCACTGATCCAAAAATAACCTCGCTGGACACCCCAGCATTTCCAATGGCTCGGGCAGCAACAACATACACACACACACACACACACACTTTCTCGCTCTTATATACACATATATATTCTAATATGTACACACTTTATACCACGTCACAACAAACTCAAACATCTAAGGTTCTTCGCCTCCTGTGAACTCATTCGCAAAACAAACTCGTTTCGGAGTAAAAGTCAAAAGTCCAAAACAAAGAAAAGAAGCAGGTGCCCTCCTTCCCCAGCGCGGTTGTTCTCCTCCCCAGCCTGATGATCCAGAGGAGCCCATCCAGCCGATCCTCAGACAGAGATCAGAACAAAACCATCTGATGAGGCGGGACGGCCGCTGCGCTGTCCTTTATCAGACGCCTAATAGACACACACACACACACACACACACACACACAACTCGTTGCCAGCAGCGGCCGCTCTGCCAGACGGCCATTAGGGGTGTGCGTTTGTGTGTTTGTGCGTGTGTGTTGTGGATGGACTGTTCTCCCTTGGACAGGGGTGGTGAGGTTTGGAAGGGAAGGCAACCCCCCCCTCACTCCCTCCCCACAGGGCTGCCCCTGCAACGTGAGCATGAAAGTACAGACGAAACCCGTATGACACCTCACACCTAATGATGCAACCCCCCCCCACAGAACTCACATGCTAAAGCCATCCTCCATGGGGTGAAAATAAAATCACCCTGAATGTGCCCTCTCACTGTAAAATAAAACTCCCAAAATGTTTGTGTGAGCCACTGCGAAGTGGTCATGGTCGCCGTGTTGCTGAACCTCTCCAGCAGGTTGAGGGGAGCCGAGCGCAATTGGAAAGACTGTGTGGGCCACGCGGGAAGACCGCCACATCCCAGGGAGAAAGATCCAACTCGTCCTCTGGTTCCTCCGCTCAGGCCGGGGAGACGGGCGGCCATTATGCCAACCACAAAGTCACACCGACTCACACAGATCCCCCTTAACCCCGCCCCGCTTTGCGGTCCGCACGACAGCGCATGACAGCCTAATCTCACAGCTACACCGGAGGCCGGCGAGAAATGTGTTACTCAGGTCGCAGGAGTGTGTGTGTGTCAGAGGAGAATGACTGCTGACAGCTGGCTGGGCCTCTATCTGATACACTATCTGAACATTATCACCGGGCAGCAGGCGGCGTGAGCAACACATACGTCCCGCTCGCAGCACGGACAGACCTGAGCGCAGCAGAATACTACACCTGGGAACAGAGACGACCGGCAATAACACACGCAAACACGGCAACGAGGAGGTGGAAACGAAGTGGAGCTGAAAGAAAAGCAACAACAACAGTTTGTCTTGGTTCACAACCACGGCCCGTTTATTGTAAAGAACATTTGGCAGTCATTGGTGTCGACAGAAACAACATCTCTCCCGGCCCCCCTCAACCTTGCACCTCGGAAAAGTCTGGCAGCAAATATCAACCTTCAAAACCGTGCCCCCCACCCCCCCCTCGTTGCAGGAGTGTCACCCTTTTATACTACTCTAATGTTTGTGTTCAAGTAATTACTACAAACGAAAAGAGAAAGAAGAAGAGTTAGCAACTTCCCAACAAGGGAGAGGTTTACCCCATGCTTTCAAACCAGTCGTGACAACCTCATGCACACAACGTAAACTCTGTTTCCTCCACTACAACACTGTCGGGACTGAACGCAGACCGTCTGACCGGCGCTTTCCTGGGCGTTGAGAAACGGATTTCTCTGAATATACCAAAGAGAGAGAACATATTTAGGAAAGCTCTGTGGTCATAAATGCATATAGTATAGCATCCTTATTTGGCACGGGCTATTGTAAAAATGAAAAACAATTGTTTATGGAAAAACATGTTTGAGCCCTACTGTATTAGATACAGTAAAATACCACACAAACTGGACTCACTAAAATGTGCATCTCCCACCCACAGGAAGACACAATATTAGGAATCAGAGTCAGCACAAAGGTCAGAGTTCACAATGTAGGCGTATGCTGACCACAAGTAGCACCACAAGCCCCTGAAGGCGAACCACCCACAGGAAAAGATATAAAATCAATTTACACTTGGTGCCCTTTATGAAGTTTAAAGTGATAAAGCTGAATTTTCCTGATGACAAAAAAAAAAAGCCAGAAATAAATGACAAACAATTCGAGGTTTTGTTTTGAAGTAGCTGTATCGATCTTTTTTTCCTCTTTAAAAGGGAAAAATATCAAAGGGAGCAAGTCAAAACTTGCCGCAAAGATTTACGGTTTCATCGTCACTGTAGGCAACAATACCTAAAATAACATCTGTCTGCAAAGGAACTGCAAATATGGTGATGAAAGAGACGTAAAAATGCATTTGTCTCTGCTGTGCTGCCCTCTACCGGTCACTATTCGAAAAACCAGAAATGGTCACAACTTATAACAAACATTATATACAGATGGAGAGAATGGGCTTAAAAATCCTTATAAAAACAGTTTTGTATAAAATAAATCCACAAAAATAGATCTGTGTACAAAATACATCTTGAAAAGAGAGCAAAACCCCAACATAGCTGTGCAGTAAGAGAACAAAGGAGGATTCTGTCTCTGATTAAAAAGGATTACCAACTAAACCTTCTAACTGGCATAGACGCAGACACACAGATGCATGAGTAAGTGGTAAATAAACTGCCCATATCAGAGTACATGTAGATCAACATTAGCTCGCTCCTTTTTCCTTTTTGTGTACGCACAAGTGTGTGTCCGTGCGTGTCTGAGGCAGCAGTGATTACAGGCAAATACGAATTAACAAATCTTCTTCTTGGATGTGAAGTTGTAAAGGAGGAATGTGTGAGTGTGTTGCAGTAATGGGAGGGGAATGGAGCGTAGAGTGGCTTATTAAAAAGGAGCTTCACTGCTAGGAATGTGTGTGTGTGTTAATCTGTGTATGGATGCATTTGCATGTATCAATACTGGGGCTGGTACTTGGGGAAAAGGTAGAGGTCTTTGCACAACGAGCTGGTGAACTCGGACATCTCTTTGCAGCGGTGGTGGGCGGTGCCAGGAGCGTAACCCTCCCGCTCCTTTATGTGTCTGTTGACCTGGAGACAGACAGAAGAGGGGCGGGGGTTAAAGTAAGGAAGAGTAAAGTCATGTCCTGAACTAGTTTACCCAGTGCATGGGTTAATGGGAATGAGACTCTAATGTTTACCTGCACCATGATGTCTGCGAGGTGCGTGTCTCTGGCATGGAGACGCAGCCTCTTGTTGAGTTCTTGGACAAACCAGGATCCCCTCTTGGTGTTGCGCATGGCTGCTGTGCCTTGAAGAGGAAGAGATGAAACCAACAAAAGGCTTAATATTAACACAAAATAATTGACATGAGATGCTGCGAGACAGAGCTATCGTTGTGTTTGCTATTTTCATAACATAGAAACTGCAGTAGAGACAGTGATATTGACTAAGTCACACTGTCAATTCAAAACATATACTTTTTAGCCCCATGCAATAGTGACTCAAGTGACATCATCATTTGAGGCAATTTATTTGGCAAAGAGCATTTCCCTCCAGTGACACAAACGGCTTTATGGAACTTTTTTCCCCACAAATGCTGTAGTACTTGTAGAAACGTGTGTAGACCCTTCACACACTGATGATACACACTTGCAGATAAAAAAAATCCACCCCAGAGTAGCAAAAGGGACGGACTTACAAACGAGCTGACCTTTGAGAGATGCAAAGCCGCAGATCATGTCAGACCGCTGCGGTAGTTTGATCCTCCCCATGTCCCCTCTTTGTCTGGCGCTTGCATCCCCTTGTCCCTCCCTCCCCGCATCCCGTTGCTCGCAGCTTGGTGAGCAGGTCCTCACTGGTCCATCTATCTGCTCCACTCCACAGTCCATCTCCTCTGCAGCACAAGAAGGTTTAAAATTTTAGTTTGGTCTTGAGACAGTAGGAAACTGTCTCGTACTTGCATCGATTGTGTGGGTGTTCTGCCTCAGATGAATCTCATTTTCACTTACTACATACTTGACAAAAAGTTGGATGGAAGTTTCAGATCGATCGAGAGCCTTACCTCCTCGACAGGCCTGGATGAAAAACATCTTTGGCTTGTTCTGCAGCAGGGGACAGTGCGCATTGTCAAAGGACTCAAACACCCAGTCCAGCTGAAAAGCAGTAAGTGACAACGTTACATGTCTGGAATCTGAGTAAATGATATATGAATGACATCATATACATAAACTCGGAAAAAAGACCAAACAGAAAACACCTTCAGGAGCTGTCCGTCTGTACCATAAATAGCTCCTTCCACTCCATGGGAGAGCAGACACACCACACAGCTGGCCATTGTTCGGTGATCTGGTCGACGACTAAATTCCTCAATGCACGTCCTCATGTCCTAATCACGCAATAAAGAATCAGCTACAATATTTCCATCCCAATACCCAAATTCCAGTGCACAAAAACGTATTACATTGACCTCGTTTAAAATTAACACTGAGCTAAAGAAAAACCTGCCAAATCATTTTTTATCCAAAACAAATAATTAGTTATGGTCTACAGATAGTTCTCTTTTTTATTACTGTCTTTTCAAACCATGACAGGTTTGTGTTTGACACATTGTAAATGGGTTTTGAGCCTCTGTCACTCGTGTGTTACCTGAGCAGTGAGGTCTCTGTGGACTTTGACAACGTAGTCCAGCTCAGTGAAGACCTTCCTGAGGACCTCGTCATCAACCTCACCTCCTTTACGAGGGTCAAGGTCAGGCGCAGCACAAGGATCAAAGGTCACGTTACTAATCACCAGAGCGAAGCCACGAGGGGAGGAATTCATTCGGTAAGACTTGGAGAGTGAGAGAGACAAAAAAAAAATGAAGCACGGTGAAGAAACGTCTATAAAAGAGCTTTAACACACATTGCTTGTGCATGTTACATTATTCTACAATTGTTTTGTTTTTTTACAAATAAAGACGACTTACTCTGCTCTATACTGACTTCTATTGTGTGAGGACATGCATTTCTCAAAGGGTCAGAGGCAATAACTGTAGTCACTGTATATTACCTGATGGCAGTGTGAAAGGTAGAAGTCAGGAGTGCAAGGGAGTACAGGACTGTTAATGGGACTGTCTGCATCCAGACTGAACTCCATGGATTCTGCTGTACACACAAGCACAGAAAGACGTGAGCACAATTGCTGAAGCACTTTTCGCATCATTGTTTGCTCCCGGCGGCAGTTATGGGACGACAAGCTTTGTACAACAACACGCTGAGTGACTCACTCTCGAGGGTGCGGAGCCTGTAGGTACCGACAGTAGCACAAGGCTCAAGCAACTGAGCTCCTATACTTTCAAACTCAATCACCCGTCTATTTCAACTAGACAACAGATCTTTATTCAGACACCACCCCTCGTTTCCACGGAAACGGTAAATATTGACAATGACAGCAACATTGGATATGGAGAAACTTATTTTGAGTGTAGGCCAAACTGCAACACCACTCACCCTGTGTCCTTGCTCTCTTGGCAGCAACGACTTCTTGAGTGGGAAGTGGGAGAGAAGAGTCAATGAACCTCTGAAATTAAAAATCATGAACAAAATCTCACTGACCACACATCAGCTGCTGAACAAAAATAAATGAATACAGGAAATGGTGGTGATTGTTCTTTGCTGTGGCAGCAGTGGTTGCTTGTGGGAAAATGCATTCCTGACAGTCTGACTACCTCATTGTGGCATCTGGTTGTCTAACAAAAGGTAGGATGATGTTTGTAAGTCTCACTTCTCACTTCTGTAATGACTGGTGTAATCCTGGTTGAGAGTTTATAAGCACCCTCCTCACCTCTCTCCTCTTTGCAGTTGTCGGCATGACTGGCTCTTCCTCAGGCTGAAATCTCTGAGCACAAAACAGACGAGGAACTGCATTAAGTCTGAGAGGAATCTCCTGTGTGTGTGTGTTGCTTGATGAAGCGCTAACTCACCATTCCCGGTGTCTCTTTGCCATCTTTTTCTGAAGATTGTATGAGCAGTTCATACAGGTGCTGCTGCTCAGTTTCCTGAAGAGCTGAACAGAAGCTGCTAAAGGCTCTGGGTCCCCGCTTCGGTAAGAGTAGTAGTAAGCGCCAACTTCGTTTCTGGGATGTTTGCTCAGCCTGAAGTAGAGGACGACCGACAAGGTAACTCAAAGTCACTGACAAAAAGCGAATCAAATACAACCTTATATTTAGTCTACCACAACATCTTGTTTTCAAACATCGGCCATCATCCACACTACGATCAAGCGTTGTGATTTTGAGCAAGTTAAAATCTGGTCAAACGCCTAAATAAGTGAAAGCATCTGGTGTTCTACAAAATAATCATATCTTGTCCCCATGGACGGAGAAACCCATGTTTGACCTTTGCTATTGTATCGACAGCCATCTCAGGAGGCGTCGCCAACAGTCCAGGTGTAAATGAAAAGATATTCTCGCATCAGAGTTCACACACCATGATGTTCTCGGCCATGGCCTCGGTCAGGATCTCGTCTGTCTGCAGGGACTGAATGAGCAGCTCATCCACCACCAGCTGTTTGCACAGGACGGTGGAGCGCGTCCGGAGAGCCAGTCTGTCTCGCTCCTGCATGCCGCACTCCAACATCTTGCTCCAACAGGCTGCACAAAAGGGCAGATAAAGAGACACGTGAAGCTCCATGACAGTTAACGTTAAACAAGGTGTATGATGAAGTGACAGGCACGCAAACCAATCCTGCGCCTGAATACACAACACGTTACTGTGTGATACCTTCATTGTATCGCTTCAGATGGCAACCAGGCATTATTGTTATACGCTATACGCTATACGTTGTCGCTAAGTTGTCAAACGAAATACATCCGTTCGCTTGTCATCACAAATTATTTAAAAGTTTAATTTGAATGTGACTAATAATAAAACGCTTCTCTTGCAGCCATCAAAACTAAAAACACCAACAATTCCAGCTGAACAATGGGAGACGTAACGTTGTAACGCCCATGATAATAGGCATGCAAGGAAAATACCATTATGTGCATTTCTATATGGTTAGCTAATATATTAACAAAACGTCACGATAAAAGCGGCAGTCGGGAACTTATTCTGAAAGTCAAACGACCAAGGCTAATTCCCGATGCTAGCTAGCTAATTTAGCTAGCCCACTTCGTTACCTCTTTTTCTTGCATTAAAGTGGGCGAAATTAAATTCCTTCCAAACGTACCTCGTACCGTTTCTCTGTTTCTGTAACTGAATAAAAAAACGCCCGGGGAAATGCTTACGTGTTTCACACTATTTCAGAAGAATTAACAACATCCCGTCCTCTCTCTATAAACCAACTTCCGCGGGGTATCGCTGAGAGGAACCATACAGTTGTGGTATTTGATTCTGGTCAATGGGAACAGGAGCTGCTTTGAGTGACGTCTAAAGTCTCCAATCCAATCAAGTTATTTTGCCGAGAGTCACCGCCCCATCAACGGTTCAAGCGGTTCAAAGTCACGTGATTCGAGTGGCGTTCCGACTGTTAAAGGCAAGACCACAAAAAAAGATGCCACTTAAAGTTGTGTCAAATAAAGTTCACAATTCTGGATCGCCATATTATTTATGTATACTAGTTTAAGAGTACCTGGTCGGCAGCTTGCACGAGTAGATATTGAGAATTGAGGTTTCCTTATTCAGTAGTATTCATTAGTAGTCAATAATATAATAATATTGGCACATAGCAACGTCATGCATACATACTTTTTTTTACTATTAGTTGTCAGCCTTGTTATACAGTATACATATGATATATATTGCATAATAATTCACTTTTTTGATGTGATTCTTTATACCACATGGTTGTCTGCACAATTAGTCATGTAGTACAGTAGTAAAATACTTTTTGTAGAGCAGATAAATGTATAACAAAAATATCCCTTTATTATTATTTTGCACCATTATAAAATCAGTTTTGCTGATATAATAAAATCACTGTCTCGCTGTTTAAACGTATTACCCTTTAAAAATGCATGCATCTAAAACGCTCCGTTTTGCTGTAATTCTGTGCCGCCGATAGCAGTCGTTGCTAACTTCATGGAACCATGAACAGGGTCTATGAGTGAGGAGTTCAGTAGGTTGGTTAAAACCTCTAAATGGCCCACATGATTTCATTGACATGCCAGCGTGAAGCTCTAAACAGTCCAATTCTCTAATATTTCCAATTCACCAATCTGATAAAATTCCCAAATATCAAGTTTGTGAGGCTGAACTTTGTTGTTTCTTTTTCCCGTACCATAAATTATCTAACAACCCTTTATGTTTATCTGGGGAACCAATGTTGAGAGCCACTTAACGATCCAAATGTCCGTGGAAATTGCTTTTTAGGTAAATATAATTTGCATTGTGTGTGACACCCTCTCTCTCTCTCTCTCTCTCTCTCTCTCTCTCTGTCTGTCTGTCTCTCTTTCGCCCTCTCAGGCCTCCACTTCACCCTCCCCTGCTGTCTATCTCCTCACACTCGCTGCGTGTGCTGTCAATAATTGATGATCGTTACTGACTCAAAGGGTAACAGGTCCGGGAGAAAATGTCTCCCCCCATTGATTTATTTATTTACAAGTCTATCTTTAAGTTCAGTCGGGCTGAGAAACCACCACGAGTGTAATTTTAAGGCAGGAGGATTGATGGGCTGCAGCCGCCGGACCGCGTCCGTTCTATGCTTCGTGGCGGCCACCACTGCACCTGCGACCATGAGCGGGTTAATGCTGGATGTCTGGCTGACAGCAGGACAGGGGGGGAGGAAAGGGAAGCTTAAATGAGTGAGAGGCAGGGGGCAGAGAGAAAGAGGAGTGACAGAATGATAGAGTGAATTAATTCAACCTTAGACAGACCTGATTGACTCTGTAGTAAACCGGCATGTGCAAACATCCACAGTGACACCAGAGCCATGGAGAGAGAAAAGAGGAATGACATGTCTTCCTCCAGAAAGAGAAGTTTCACTTTTGGGGCGTATGGAAGGTGAGTAAAGTCACTGTTTGTTTACGATTAGCACAAATATTTTCATCTTAATTTCATTGTTCCATGTACTGAAAAACAAGTTGTTTTTTAGATAAAGGTAATCTTGTCTATGTAAGATGATCCGTTTTCGACTTCTACGAGTGGTTCTCACTTCCTTGTTTACAGTGTGGACGGACACACATGTGAGGATGAGACGAGGTGAGGTTTTGTTTCCAATCAAGCATCGAGCACTTGTTTCGAGCTCAGCCTTTAATGTATAAGATAAGACCTGAATGAGAAGTAATGAATTGTGCTGCTAATCCACCTGTTGCTGCAGACCTGAATCTGCTGAGGGAAACATACTGGACATCCTGGACTCTCCTCCCAGGGACAGACAGCCGTCCCGCTCTGCCAGCAGCAACCAGAGGGTGATATCGTTATCATTCCCAACTTTCCCCTCTTATACAATGAGATACATTCTGTTTTAAACATCCTCCATTTCCAAAAAGTTTCTATTCTTAACTGCAGTGTTTGACATGTTCCTCTTTCTCCACTGGTCTCCTTCCCTTTCTCTGCGTCTGACATCTGTTGCTTGACGTTTCGTATCAGGACACAGAGTTTTTTGAAATCATTGAAAAGCTGCAGGTGAGTTACAGCGCCATCGATCTTGTGCAAGCGCGTGTGTTTGGGAGAAGTTTTCTCGTCATCTCATCGATACTCCCCTCGTCCATCAGGGCAGCAGGATCGATGAGCAGCGGTGTGAATTCCCTCTTCCTCTGAAGGTGAGTGTTGACTCTTTATCCAGGTTTCTCTGTGTGTGTGTGTGTGTGAGTGTGTGGACAGCGACCTTTCTGGGAACGCCGTGACATTTGTTTCCCAGCCCCCCCCCCCCCCCACTCAAAAAAACGAAACGACAGACCCTCATCACCATCAGCTGCTCCTTTGTGTCTATTTTAGTCGCGGCTTCTGACGATAGGTGGAGAACTGCCGCTTGTCCTCTCTCCGAAGCTGGGGGGCTACTGGGTAGACCCCCCTCTGGAGAGGCTGGCGGATGTGAGTCCCACCTCCTCGTGCCACGGCCTCGATCCAGAGAGCTACGACCTCATGGAGAGAGACGCGGAGGCCAGAATCTACCACGAGTTCTTCCGCTCGCGGGTGAGCGGTCGGTCCCGCCCTCTGAAGTCGCGAGGACTGTGTGATCTTTTACCCACGTTGAAATCATCTCTGGTCCACTTCAGTACCATCACTCGTTCACGGCTGTGGATCCGTCGCTGGGGCCCCTGGTTCTCTCCGTGCTCTTGGAGGAAGAGGAGAGCAGGCTGCGGGTGATACTGAGGTTGAGATCTCAAGACAATTTACGCAGCTATAAGGCAATGTTTGATTAACCCAAGCTGCAACGAGAAGCCATTGTTTTCCTTCAGGTTTCCCTCCATTTAAAACTGAGTGTTGCTGCAATCTTTATTCTAATTAACTGTATAGTTGCAAGCAAATTTGCATCACAAACAGTAATGCAAAGTTTGTTTTTTTGTTGTCTCACAGAATGAAGGAGTGCTCCCTTCATGGAGTTTTCTCTGTCTCTCTTTTCCCAAACATCCCATCTGCTGTCGAGTTAGCAAAGGTACTTAACTACTTATTGTAGGAAGAAATATTCATATCCAGTACTGAATTATTAACTAGAACATTGTGTAAACATTATGTATGATGTTATGAGAAATATCTTGCATTCAAATGTATGAAGCGCTGTGCTTTATAAATGTTACTAACTCTATAAAATGACTTGTGTTCTCTAGATGCTCTGCGACAGAGTGACTGTCTCAAAATTTGAAGCGATCAGCTACCTAAAGGTGACGCTCTGAAATGACCAATAGCCCAAAAACATGCAGCCACTTCTTTCAAATACTCCCGCGGCTCATCTCGCTCTCTCACTCATCCCTCAGGCTCCAGAACTCATAACTGCATTCGATGAACACAGAGTGTCTCCTAATTTCAAGTTTGGCATTTTGTACCAAAAGAACGGGCAGGTAAGCATTCATAGAGATGACTGAAATATGGTACATTTTCACAACCACTCCAGCTCAGATAACCTCCATCCCTCTCTAGTTCACAGAGGAAGACATTCTTTGTAACACGGAGGAAAGCGAAGAGTTTAAAGAGCTCCTTTCTATTTTGGGAGAGACGATTCAACTGCAAGGCTTCGCCGGGTAAAGTGCCCCCCTCCGTTGATGTTATTCTGCCCGGCGAATGACGCTTTCAACGTGCCACATCACATCATCTCCTGCTCCTCGTTCCCTTTTCTCAGATTCCGAGGAGGGCTGGACGTGTGTCACGGTCAGACAGGAAGGGAAGCCGTCGCTACTTCCTTTCACGGCCGGGAAATCATGTTCCATGTTGCAACTAAACTGCCGTTCACAGACGGCGACCCGCAGCAGGTCGGGCCTCACTGCGTCACCCTGCAGCATCTCTGTGATTCACAGGGCCGCTGACACACTATTTTCTCTTTTCTTCCTCCTTTCGCAGTTACAGAGGAAAAGACACATCGGCAATGACATTGTGGCTTTGGTCTACCAGGAGGGACAAACTCCCTTTTTATCTGATGTTATCAAGTCTCACTTCCTGCACTGTTTCCTGGTGGTCCGCAGGACTCCGGGTCCAGAGGACGCGGGTAAAACGGCCTACCGGGTAATTGGAAAAACAACAGCAATTTATCATCCCTATTAATACAGGTGTAATGGCTGACATCTTCCTTGACAGACCCAACATGTCGGCTGATATCTTTTTGTTTATCATACCTAATATTTTCAGGACGTCTTACTAAAGGTTAAATTACGCTAATATAACAGTTTATCAGTCCAATGTGCTTTTGTCCTCTTCACAGGTGTCCGTCACAGCCAGAGAGGACGTTCCCCCCTTTGGTCCGTTCCTCCCGGATCCTCCTATCTTCACGGATGTAAGAGACCACTCAAAAGCAACAAGCTGTTTTCCTCTCTCTTAATGCGCCAAGGAATCTAACCTTTAAATTCCAGCGTATTTTTCTCCGTTCTCTCCGGCTCGTGACGAATCTAAACTTCACAAATGAAGTTGAAATGGAATATTAAGGAAGCTTTCTCTGTCCTGTGTTTCAGGGTTCCCTGCTGAGAGAATTCCTTCTGACTAAACTCATCAATGCAGAGATTTCCTGCTACAAGGCTCAACGATTCAGCAGACTAGAGGTAGAGGAAGATTATTATTTCATTTGTCCGTCCAGCATGTGATTTCCTTCTGCTGTGTGTGCTCTACTGTCCCTTCTCCCATGCAAAGCTCCGCACTCGTTCGTTGCTTCTGGAGAGCCTGCAGGTTGAACTCGCCACACGTTCCAAGTGCATGATGGGAAATCCATCCCTGTCTGCTCCCCCATCTTCTGAGGGTGCACGGGGGGTCTCTGAGGGGACAGGGGGATTCATTGAAAACTTCAAGGTACGTGTTGGGCTCAAGGTGCATAAGTACTGTGCCATACATGAGTACTATTTCCCCTCTAAATCTCCGTCATTAGAGAGCCATCAGAGTGCGGAGTCACTCTTTCGAGACTCTTGGGGTGACCAGAAAGACGAGTGGCAGTGCGTCACAGAAGCCGAAGGTAAAAAGTCACACTGAGAACAAAGTGTTTGCCTGAATAAATACTTATTAGAAGGTTTGAGCTAATGTTCCTCTTAACTTCCTTTACAGACAGATAAAGACGGAGAGGGGTAAGGCTTCAGAGGATTACATGCTTTGTAGGTTTTAAACTACACAGAATTATTGTTGGTTTTGTTTCTGTTTTTCAGTGACAAATCTCCAGGACATCTGTCTGCTGACAGTTTGGGGTCGGCTGAACTTAAGGATCAAGCAAGCCCTCAGGAAGAGACATAAGAGGAAATGTAGATATGAATGTTAAAATAAATATAGAGATTTCCAGGCATTTACTGCTGTATTATCAGCCGTGTGGCTTCAATGTAAATAGAATGTAAAAGTAAATAGTATTTATGTGAATATAATTATTTTACTGCATGTCATAGCATTACTATTTGACATTAAGGTTAAAATTGTATAACAGAGAAATGTTAAAGATACAAAACTACTTGAAAAAGTCAAATGTTTTGAGTTTGGACCTAACTGTTTTACTTCAAAAAATTCTGGAAGTAGAGACATGAAGTCAGGAAGAAACACAGTTTGGAAAAGCAGAAGAAATTAATTTAAGATTGGCAAATTTGACAGAAAATAAGGAATTATTTTGATGATGCTAACATAAAAAAAAAATATTGTTTAGAAATTATTATTATAAATACAGTAGATATTGGCAATAAGAAAAAATATGTTGAACCGAATGTAAAATAAAGCAAAAGAGAAGAGGAAGAATATACACCTAGTAATGCAAAAATAGATGTAAACCTGTATGAGTAAAAATACATTGAGACAAAACTCTGCATTCAAATGTTACATGAGTACAAGAAACAGTAGTACATAATGAGACTTATATTAAATATATTTATAAGATGTAAACATATATGTACCTAAATATTCTAAATATGTAGATAAATAATAATGAAAAAGGTAGCATAGACCTATAAAGTACCTATAAATTCTTATTTCTTTAGACGGCAAAAATGTTGACAGATATATACATTCTAACAAAGGAGGTCGTAATTTGAATATGGAAAACTACCTCAAAGATACACATTTATCATAGAAAATGTTTTCAATGCTCGTGAGTTGACTGACACTGTGTAAAACCTCCTCTAGTCCAGTGAGCGTCGCTAATGAGCCAACACGTGACCCTTCCAGTCGCTTTTAAATTCACAGAAGAAGAAACAGACCTGGTAGAAGAAGAAAACGAAGGTCAACGAACGCTGTGCGGTTGCGCCAGAGGAGGGCGGTAATGCGGTGGTTGGTTTGCTTTATCAGTCCACTGGCGGCCAGACCTGGTTACTAATTATATATCCCCGTTGTTGTTCTATCTCTAGCTAACTGTAGTTTATCTATAGCTAACGCTAATCCAACGGAACAAAGTAACGTTAACTACGCATCAAGCTAACTTTGCGCGGATTGGCCCGTGAAAGACAGCGGTGAGATAAGTAAAGTTAACACATCGCAGACTAGTTCGACGCACGCAGCGCTGCACCGACAGACGATTCGATAACTTCCAACTTCGAACAAAAGTAAGGACCGCAGAGCTGAAGATGGCATCCAAGAAAGTGGTCGAGGTGTTCTACGATGTGGTGTCTCCCTACTCCTGGCTTGGCTTCGAGGTGTGTTTTTTTTGGGTTGACAGCTTCAATAACAAAAGGGACACACACGTAGGAAAAAAAATACATACATAATAGATTAAGCTTTACGCGGATTGTTTGTGTTTGTAGATAATGTGCCGCTACAGAAACGTGTGGAACATTGAACTGAAACTGCGGCCCGCTTTTCTGGGTGGTGTCATGCAAGGGTCAGGTGAGTAATCAGGGGCGAAAGTGACAAAGAACAAATCAAACACAAATATAGTGATAATAGCAACATTTAGGCACAACGCATTAATGCACCAGTAATTATAATCCCATAAGCATGACCCCATAATGCATAATGAGCACTTCTTTGTGTACGTGTTGCAATGTTGTATTTCCACTTGATCAACATTTCACATACAGGACTTCTTCTCCCATCAGTGTTGATATTTCCTACAATGTGTATCCTTCATGACAGGAAACAAGCCCCCTGGTGTGATTCCGAACAAATTCCAGTACATGGGGAAGGATCTGGCCCGCTTGTCGGAGTATTTCGATGTTCCCCTGCAGACTCCAGCTGACCCCTTTGAGGTCATGTTCAACAAAGGTACCATGCAGGATCTGAAGGGACACGTGCCGTGATATTACTGACTAAACCAAGATCGTAGTGGTACTATTGCATCAAATCTAGTCATGCAGGGGAGGGGGGGTTCATGTTCTGTTTTTTTTTTTTCTTTCTCCTAGGCTCCTTGAACGCTATGCGATTTGTCACTGCAGTACAAGAGAGGGAGAAGCTTGGGGACAATCAAGTGGAGCGGGTGTCCCGGGAACTGTGGAGAAGGATCTGGAAGGAGGACAAAGATATCACAGAACCGTCATCATTGTCAGAGGTACCAGCGTACCCAACATGGCGGGGTTCAAGAAGATTAAGAAACGCGGTTTAGAGTTGCCACAGCGTTTTGTCACCTTTCTTTTTTCTTTTTCTTTTATGCAGGCAGCGATGAAAGCCGGATTGTCTGACGGCGAGATTAAAGAAGTGCTCGAGCTGTCCAGCTCAAAGGAGATCAAAGACAAGCTGAAAAGCGCAACAAAGAATGCTCTTGATCACGGGGTCCGTCGAGCTTCAGTTCTATTTCTAGGCAGGAGAGACGAGACCGCGCAATGCAATGATCTGTCCTATTGTGTCTTCCCAGGCGTTTGGCTTCCCGCTTCTGGTGTGCCACGTCAATGGAAAGCCAGAGGTGTTTTTTGGATCTGACAGATTTGAGCTCATGGCACACTGCATTGGTGAGAAAACTGTCCAGACCAACGTGTAGTTCAAACGTGACAGTAGAAAGATTCAAAGGAAAGTTTGCATAGCTGGCTCAGCTTTTATTCCCCTTTTTATTTCATTTTTTTTCTGTTGCAGGGGAGAAGTGGCTTGGACCTCAGCCTGACAAATCCGCTTCCAAGCTGTAAGATACTAAGCTTCTCACAGATTCTCATTCTAATAATGTCATCAAGTGCTTTTCTGATTCTCCAGATGTCATACATGCAATAGGCCTTAATAAAAAAAATGTAAATAATTTAATGCCATTGTACTGCTAAATATGTGCCTATTCTAAAGAACACAGCTTCCAATTGACACTTTTGTTTTAATTTGTAATGAAATGCAAAGGTGCATTTATGGAAATGATTTAAATTTGTACTCTACATGATGTAACACATAATTTAAGATTTTTATCGGCTACTGTCGAGGCGCTTTGAGTGGTGGGACAGTTGGTCCACCATTTTTTTGTCCAGCCTGAAATAACTCAAAAACTGAAGTTAAACCATCAGAATGAATCGTAAATAAAAGTTTGATTACAAAACTGTCTCTGGGTCAGTAGTTTCCTCCCAGCAAACAATTTTAAATCCATATATACTCCACCCTCTCCAAAATAAATGGGATGCTGTTATAGATGATGGTTTGTTGGATACACCATGGTTATGAAATGAATAAATTATTTCAAGACCTGGTAAAACAATTGATACACACACGTGTATCAATATTATATATATATTAGCCATTTTCTGAACGATGACTACTTTTACTTGTGAATTGGTAACTTAAATATGTTGTATTGGTACTTAAATAAACAATCTGAAAATTTCCGCCACTGCAACAAGGCATCGTCCCAATTGACAGTATACGCTTTAGGTTTTACACGGCAGGATTCATTATCCGCAATAAATGTCTGTTCGTGAAAGTAAAGCAACATGTCATTGTTGACTAAATACTCCAGAGCAGGCGAGGCTTGTCATACAAGTTCCAGTACTGCGGCGGACTAACACTCATAACAAAGGGCCTAAAAGAGCAGCAGGACCTGTTTCCCCAAACAAAGAGGAAAGGCAGAGCCAGAAGGAGCTGTTGATCTCGGCTAAACAGATTCTCACAGAATGTGGTTGCGCAAACTCTAAAGGAAAGGCAGGGTTAAGATTTTCCTAAACCTGAAACAGGGGCGATGCAACAGCCAGGTACAAAAAACGAGGAAGAAGGAGGAGGTAAATAGGTGAGAAAAGGGAGACGCTGTAGGTGAGGAGGGTGGAGTTAAGGAAACACACAAACACACACCCACACACACACAAGGCGGCACAAAGACAAACAGAGAGCGGCACATTGATCCCCTGAGTCGGACAAATCGCCTGAGAAAGACAACGCAATAAAGATCTGAACAGCACAGCTGAACCCGGATGACACGTCGTGCTGGGAGGATGTGCCAGAAGCGTCTGATTGTGTGAAGGAGGGAAACATGAACACGCATTAACAGGATTTATCGTTTCATTTTTTGGGAGATAAAACACAACTGAAGAAGCTGAGGTAAGCTATTTTACACAACACATGTCTTTTTCTGTCACATTGTTTTTTAAAGTTGATTTTATAAATTATAATTAGGAGGTAGAGGGAATTAATCTCATCGTATAGTATCAATCAAATAAAAGAAGATGTATGTCACTCTGGTAATATGAGACGTATTGTATTAGGGTTGATGAGCCAGAGGCTTCATTTACATTTGCCCTTTGGGTGTGTAGTAAAAAAATGCAGATCAACTGGTTTAGAACACGGAAATATTTGGTCTTCTGCTGAGCGGCCTCTGACACAGTTATGCTACATCTGAAGCTTCTGGTCTCAGTTACATGTTTGCTCAGACACCTCCCAATACTGGACACCAAGAATCGTGTTACTCTTCACAGATTCGGCCCCGGCGAATCAAGTTTAAAGTTTCAGGGCTACTAATGTCAGTTCATGTGTTGTGTCTGTCCATAGAAAACATCCAGATGCCCTTGGTTTGTGATGTTAAGCATCCCACTCAATAGAGTGTATAACTGTGGAAAATGAGGGGTAAAGAAAAGGGACTATTTCTCTTTTTAAAAAAAGCTAATCTTTTTTTTTTTTTTTTTTACATTTGACAGAATGTCTTCATCAGCAGAGCTACAGTGCCAGCAGGGAGATACGATCTGTGGTGAGTTTTCTATCAGCAGAGACAGAATTCGTTAGAGGCCTTGTCAAGAGAGGGATAAACGGATGATGATAAACCAGCACAGACTGAAAAAACACCTCATGCCGCCTTGAGGCCGCGGCGTCTGACTGATCCGTGTTTAACGTGGTGCGTCCTGTTTGCAGTAATCCGTGTGTACGAGCAGGAAGTGATCATCGTGCCCATATTTCTGCTGGCCAGCTTCCTGGTCACTCTGGTCTTTATTCTCCTGCTGCACTTTTGTCCGGAGAAAGTCGACCGCATCCGTCCGAAGGCCTCGAAGCTGGTGTCCAGGAGAGTTCTGCACGGCATCGATGGTGAGACGCGTGGAAAGTTTGTCAGTGTTGATTAAGCCTAACTAAATGAAATCACAGAGCACAATGTCACAAAAGTACATCCAATCTACACTCTCTGATAACAGCAGGCCGATTACATGTTCTATTTGTCCGTATTTTGTGTCCAGGTTAATTTTGCTCATTATTAGAAGATTCATTTTTGTCTCTTTCTCACGTTCATTGTATTGTTTTTCAGCACAAACTCAGTTGACTTGTCATTTATTTTGTCAATGTAACAAGAGTATAAAGCTGCAGGGCACCTGTAAAAGTATTGCTATAGGAAATAATTTAACCCAAAATACTGTTTAACAACCATTCAAACCAACCATTTTACTTTTTTCCTTGAACTTGATCAATGCCACAATTGTACTTTAGGTTGAAGCTCTGGAGTACAAAATGACCTCAATGGCATTGAAATATTCTTTTTTTTTTTTTACAATTTATCAACATTCATTGAATTAAGGTTTTCAAATACAGTTATGTGCCTTATTGTGCCTTTATCTTAAAACATGAAACTACACAGCAACATTCTTGGATTTTGTATAAAGCAAAGAGATGATGCAGCTCAATAGCTCTACTTCCACGTAAACCCTTGCAGTTACCTCTAATAATCCTTTCCCCTGTCTCCTTTTCTGTCCCTTCTTCACCCTCCATCCGCAGCTCCACCGGGTATCAATGTCATGGAGCATGAAAGCATCGCTCTGGACATGCCCAGTACCTACTCCACCTTTAACCCCCCAGACAACAAACCCCTCCACCACTCTGAAACCCTCTCCCGGTCCGTGGTCTCAGCCTCCCTCTCGCCCGTCCCCCCGCCGCAGCCCTTAATTCCCAGTTTCACTCCCATCTCCCAGCCCAGGGAGTTGCCCCGTCAGAGGCTGCCAGAGTCCTTCAAACTGGTCACCCCTCTGCCTGTGGCCTTCTCCCTGCGCTCCGACGCCTCCGTGTCCCTCTACAGGGCCCGAATGGAAAACAGGAACGTGGTGCTGCGGGTCCTCAAGGGTGAGACGTTTGCACGGTCTTTTAACGGCAGCTCCTAATCGTCTCCGTTCCCCTACGCCGTTTCTGCGAGTGTCCCTGTTTTACTCCCCCCTTTCTCCCGCTCGCCCTTCACAGACACGGCAGACGCCACAGAAAGACACAGCTTCCTGGGCTTTGCGTCCTTCCTGGCCCAGCTGGGGCCTCATCCCTTCCTGCCAGAGCTCCTTGGCGTGGTCTCGCTCCGAGCACCTCTGGTTACGGTCGTGGAGGAGCTGGAGAACAGAGACCTGCTGAGCTACCTGTGGAGGTGCAGAGAGGTATGGATTTATGCATCCTGCTGCCAGACTGTACACTGTATTAACAGACCCAAACATTTAATGTCTCTCTGTGACTTTTTCACTCCAGGAGAAAGTGGATCCTCCATGTGAGATTACGGAGAGACGGATATTTACCATGGCCAAACAGGTGGCATCAGCGCTGGTCAGTATGCCGACAAACACGTCTTCACTGACATACCAACCCCGGCCTGATCCACGTTGAGACATTTTACTCCTGGTGGCGCTCCACGCCCAGTTAGGAGATCACACGTCATTGACTCAATGAATCTATACAATGGCAATCGATTCAAATTTTAGATCTGGATCTCTGGACCTTGGTGGTTGAAAAACCCAACCGATAGAACAAGAGACCAAAAATGCAATCACTAGAATGTCTAAAGAAATAAGTCTCAATCGTTCTGTAAATTCAATTCTGTGAAATGAAACATACTTTAGAATATTAAAATACCTCGCCATGTATTTAAAGCACTGGTTTTTCCCCAGCAATAATAAGCGTCCTGTTTGAAGCCGTTTCTGAGGATTCAGGAAGACCTTTACATATTTACCTCGTGTCAACACTGATAACTGAAAATAAACGAGCTGCGCACTTGTTCAAACCCTGAGATTCCCCCGTGTCTTTGCTGCGCAAACAGGACTTCCTTCACAACAAAGACCTTCTCCACGGAAACATTCGCGCCCGCAGCGTGCTGGTCACCAAGGACTCAACTGCCAAGCTCTGGGGTCTGCATGGAGTCTACACGAGGAAGAACCAGGGAGCCACCCAGAAAGAAGACCCCAGTATGAAGAAATGGCAGGCGCCAGAGCTGCTGGTCAAGAGAGCTGCCAGCCAGAGCAGCGACATGTGAGATTTACAAAACAAGAATGTCTTTATACGATGGGGAGCGTAAAACCAAAAAACTATTACTGAATGAAAGATGGTAACCGTGTTCCTCGGTGTGTTCCTCTCTAGATGGTCATTTGGGCTCTTGCTGTATGAAATGGCAACAATGGGTGAGTTGGATTTGAACTCTTGGCAACATAAGTCATAAATACATTTTTTTAAAAGTCATACTTAGCGTTATTTCAGTTTCTTTGGTTTAAAGATTTTGCAAATCCATGAAGCGGACTAACTTATATAAACATTGCATTTTTATATGATTTTCTCATCAATTAGATGATAAAAAAGGGCCACTATTGATTTCCCCAAAATGTTACAACACAATGTACATAGATATGACAATATAAAAGTACATATAGCAAAAACATTTTCTCTTTTTACTCCAGGCGAAGTTCCGTTTGCAGAGATCTCAAGTAATGAGCTCCTGCAGTTCCATCAAAGAGGGAAAAGTCTGAAAAAACCGTCCAGCTGTTCCAACGCACTGTGAGTATGTAGCGGATGCTCTAAACCACAAAGTCAAACCTAAAGCGCTGCCGTTTCCCGCTTCAACAAGTGTGCCGTGAATCCCTCAGGTACGCCGTCATTAAGAGCTGCTGCCAGTGGAAAGATCAAGACCGACCCTCTCTGGCCGAGGTGAGCCGCAAGGTCCTCTCAGGAGAGAAAAACGCCTCGGACAAAGTCCTCAAGGCGTCCGAGCCGGTGAACATCGAGAAGTACCTGCAGGAAGCAGGATACGGGGATACCAACAGCTACACGGTTTTCTGATCGGTTGTCTTCAGCAGCAAAATGGAAATTGCCATGTTCTCCCCGGTGGTGAACCAAGGGTGCACCTCTACAAGTGCAACTGTGTGTCCCAAACTGTGTTTTGAGAGCTCGAAGCACTAAAAATGTTCTTTAATTATTCCTTATCTACGCTCCTACTTTGGGTTCTGAAAAAAAGAAGAAATGTATGTATAATATTTTAGCTTCTGGGAACTTTTTTCATTTAAGGAATACCTCATAACTGTGTAAACGACACACGGTTCAGTCAGGGAAATGCAACCAGTGATTCTGCAGTAGTACACTTCAAGAGACTGTAAACTTGAGCAACGCACAGTCGCTGCGGGGCGACCTTGTAGTCGATACTGTCAACCTATGACAGTTTAGGGATCTTGAAAAACGTACATTGACTGATGTTTAGTCTGGTTCTATAAATTAAAATATGTGGAAATGAAGGGCACATAAAAGCAGTTTATATTTTTACACTCACCGTTGTTTTTTTTATTGGCGTGGCTCATGTGGACATACGCGAGCAACAAAATGAGCTCAAACGGTTTACACTAATTTAAATGTGTATTAAAAATATGCAAAGTCAACAACAGTCCTTTTCCTCATCATTATGTTATTGAAAGCATACACGTGAGAGGTCCAGTAACAGGTATTGTTTATTGGTGGTACTGCATACATGTACACAGAGTACTTCCATTCAGCCCTTGAGAGAGCAAACCCACGAGGGCTACCGATTTTCAGGTAGTTAAGTTGATTAAAGCTACTAAAACTATGTCATATCCATGTAAAAATAATTTTGATTGTAGTATAAAATGGAAACGATACAAAACTAAACATTTGAAAACTGGTAAAACGAACTAATTTAAAATACAATAGCACTTTTAGTGTCCTTTGCTTATTGTGAACGGAGCCTAGATTCAACATCTATGGTAAATAAAAGTGAACTACTAAAAAGACTGAAATGTATAAATGAAGTGGACTGATGGGGACATTCCGCCATCTCACGTCCCACTAAAGTTAAAGCACCATTTGAAATACAGCGAGAAGGCAACGGTTCTTTGCTTTGTTTAACCCAGCAGGTGAAAGGCCGTAGTCTCCTACACGCAGCGGCAGAAAACAACAACCGACAAACACTTCTGACACGGATACCGACTCACCGCCTGTCGCCCCAAACGGAATACACGGAGCATATTGTTGTACATTCACTGTCCGGAAAGTAAACTGTTGGTCCTGGTGTTTCCACGGGACTGTAACATTTTGTTTTTTTGGAGAAAAGAACGTCCTCACTGTCCTCATAGAAGTCTTTTTAACATCTAACTAAATAAGGGGAGCAGGTCAACGTACTGATTCCTGGGGGGGGGGGCGTTGACTCTAACACCGAGTCACTCGCGCAGCGTGTTGATGGAGGCGCAGATCTTTAGAGCTGGACCCAGTTTGATATTCATCGTGGCGATGAGATGGTCCTCCCGCAGGAGCATCAGAGCCTGTCCGTCTATTTCCTGTGACAGAAAGTGGGCCGCCAACTCCTCACAGCCTGAACGCCACGCGGGCAGGAGGAGAGAATTAGTACCAAAATAGAGCAGGAGACTGTTGACCCATCATCTGAACACCAACCTTGAAGAGACGAGATAAACCGGCAAACTTCCTCCACACTCCACTGGGCGGGGGTCGCTGAGAGGAAGTTGCCCCCATCCAGAGGGAGGCTGCCGGGAGCTAAGCTGTCAGACGGAGGCGCGCCGAGCTCAGCTCGAGAGCAGGAGTGCGAGGAGCTCGGCGACAGGGAGGGAGAGTCGTCCTCTTCTTCCACGTCGCTGGACACGTCCTCCGAGCGGCTGGACTCGGAGTGACACTGAGTCCACAAGAGTGGGGATTTAAAAAAAATAAAAAAGCATAAGCCGGCTATTTTTTTTAATAAATACTTACTTCCGATCGAAAAATGAGAAGCCCAAAACCACCCAATGTTTTGATTTGATTCTCTCCTTTTTTAAATGACGTACATCTTTACAAAGACAGACCACAAGTAGAATGTTTTGATCTTAAACAAGGCTAAATTTGATGGCCTTACCTTGGCAGGTAGATGCCTGCCTGATAATTTATTAGATGCCATGTTGGAACTGCTCCTGCGAACCGGCCCTCTTCGCCTCGCAGCGCCGTCACTGGCTGGTGGAGGCGGTGGCGGCGGTCCGGCACCACTCCTCCCTCTGCTGGTCTTGAAGTGTTGGCTGCAGCTCACATTGTACCTGTGGACGCACAGAGAAAGGTAAAAACTCTCCTTACACAGTCGTTCGGCTGGTTCCTTATCGAGTCACAAACCTAAACCAGATGACCAGATTAGACGCTTGTGTAAATCGTACCTCTTTGCACACGTATTTGAACAGAACCTCTTTGATCCTCTGAACTGGCTGGCTGGGGCGAGGCTTCCACAATACTCGCACTTCAACACTGAAGTGAGAAAAAGAACAAATACAACTTGCTTACATAGGAAACACTAATGCACATACATGCATGGTATCATACTCAAACTTTAGGAGAAGAGCTATCCAACCACTTACATGGAGGTCCATTCTCTGAGCGGCCAACAAGGGCAAAGTCTCTGTCTTTGAGGAGTCCAGCAACCTGTCGCATCAAACACAAACCCAAACTGACTCACGCGGCAAAGTGCAAAGCCAGTGTATTTCAAATAAGTGATTGAATTATATCTTACGGGGAAAGGCTCGGCTCCCTCCTGGATGACAAAGCCCTCTATGAGGTGGGTGAGCACTTGAGGTTTGACCACGGCCTGCGGAACAGGCGCCCGGTCTTTGTCCCCATGCCCAACTCTCGACAAGGGCAGGGGCAACACGAGTGTGGGCGGAGACGAGAAGGCAGCTACAACAGGGGCAGCTAGTCAGGGTGGAAAGAAACGCATGAGGTTTCAACCTGATTTGTAGATGCATTTTTTTCAAAACTATTAATACTAATCTATAGTTCGTTCAAAGGAGAGGGGGGGGGTAATTGACATACCTGAGTTCTTGGTTGGGGCAGGAGATAAGGGAGGAGCAGAATCTTTCATGGGCGCACAGTCTGGAGAATCTGTGGCCGTCTCATTTGGAGCATCGCAGTCAGATTTTCTCTTCAGCGAACCAATGGCAGGCTTGATCTGATGCTGCATAGGGGGGCCGGGGGGGAATGAACCGTTACAATTCACGGTAGCTGTCCTCCCACCCCGCCCGAAAAGTGTCAGTGTCTCTAAGTGCGGCCTTTCATCAATCGATCTTACCGTGGCACCGTTGTTGGAGACGCCGTTAACATTCCCGCCAGCTGTACCTTCCTGTGCCATGCTGCCGCGTGCCTGAGCCAGAGCCACAGCATGGGCGTTTAACCCCTGCCTGGCGCCCACCAGCTGCACGGGGATGTGGGGACTGCTGTGCTGGCTGTTGCTTGGCGGCGCGGGTAGAATGTGAGGTGGGTGTCGAGGAGGCAGCTGCACAGGCAGGCGGTGTCCCTGAGCGGTCTTGGGCTGGATCGGCACGGGTCCCTTTTCTGCAGCGGTGCCGGCCTGTTGCAAGGGCTGCACCACCAGAGTCTGCGTGTTCACGTTGGCTTTTTGGGTCACCGCGCCGATGGAGTAGCCCTGGGTGGTGGTTGTAACATTTGAGGTGGGTACCAGGATCACTGGGGCAGACGAGGAGGACAGGAGCAGTTGGGACAAAGGGAGCGCTTGAGAGGAGGTGGAGGAAGGAGCTATTGAGGCAGCGGGCGTGCTAGTTTTTAATGTCATAGTGTTGGCCGAGGACTGCTGAGCAAAGGTGGGTTTGCCCATCTGTTGCTGTTGCTGTGGGAGTACTTGCTGCTGCTGAGCTGTCGAGGTGAAAGTCTGCTGCTGCTGCTGCTGACCGAGAGGAAAGCCGGCCACATCTTTCCTCTCTGCAATCTCAGACTTTACCGCAACCGCTCTGGGCGTGGAAGTGCAATGGAGGGCCAGATTCTGCACCTGTGGGACATAGAAAGGAGCAAGTTGTGGGAAACCAGGCGTGACTTTGCTTTGTGTACTTAATTTACTGACTGAAGATCAAACTTCATATTACAACGTCATGTTAATGGCACTCAAACCTGATCATTGTCAGACTGAACACCGGCAGTGGTAGGAGTGACTTCGTGCTGTTGTTGTTGTTGTTGTTGTTGTTGCTGCTGCTGCTGCTGCTGCTGCTGCTGCTGCTGCTGCTGGGGCTGCGTCTGGGCAACTGTTGCTACCGTCGCTGTACCACCGGGCATGAAAATGAGCTGAGGGGCAAGGGGAGCCCTAAGAGAGCGGTTGACCTATGTGAGGAGCGAGACGGATGGTCAGCTTACCCGGCGCATCTTACATCTTGCCGCTCCAAATGATTACAGTATTGCTGCGTCACTTGGATCTTGCGGCTATTCTGTTGATAGATTTTATTTTATGTATACTAATAGTAGCGGTTACTCCAAAGCCTAACAACAGAACAATACTTTTTGAACACACCCTAAGGTACATCTGTCCCTGTCCTGCAGAGTTTCCACCGAGCAGCACTGACTGGTTGAGAGCGTTTGTCGCTGCGGAGGAGGCCGGACCGTGGGGACGGGGATTGTTCAGGGCCCCTCCAGCAGATGTGGTGCTTAGGTTGACCTGTGAGGGGAAGAAAATGTACATTTTTATCAAACTTACCTTACAATAAAAAATAAAAAAACCAGCTGTGTAAATAATAATTTAAACAACTTACAACAAAACTTACAGTGGTGGTTGCCTGGGACGTGGTGCTACTCGGGGTATTGGACTGTCGACTGGCTGCAAGCGTAGCAGCCTGGTTCGAGGAGAGGGAAGAAATGGGATTTAACACTTCTGATTGTACTTTTTCAATTATCGTCATGTTAATTTGGCTTACCTGTTGCACGGCGGCCAGATTGTGGAGTTGGGCACTGTTGATCTGCTGGTGCAGCATCAGCTGTTGGAAGTACTGAGCTGCATGTGGCTGTCTTTGCAGTGCTTGTAGAGCCTGACAAACACACACACACACACACACACACACATATTGGATCATACAAGAGTCTTTGTTTATATATTTTAAAACCAACTCAAGAAAACGATCATCAGTCCTTTGTATCACACATATGCCGTAGTGTATGCACACCTGTACCGCCTGTCTCTCATACAGGGACATGTGGGCTATCTGGGGTGCGCGAGAGTTCCCACTCGTCTGAGGAGGGCCGTTGGTGGTTCCTGTGATTTGGTCTTCACCTGCATCCATGTTTCCTATAAAAAAAAAAGTGAAATAATCAATTAGCTTAGGTACAATACAACAACGCTCTGTTAGTTTCACACATCTAGCAAACACGTCTAGGAAGAGGAACGTGTCGAAAGCGCCGTGCTGGAGTACTGCCTCAGAAAGTGCTGCTCACATTTAGACAAAGGTAACTTAAATCACAGATCGCTACAACCACGCACTGTTTAGTACATCTACGTTTTCTCGTGAGCTGACCAGATGATACTGCAACACTACTAATCTGGGCAATCGTGGCCGTTTACCATTTACATCAGCAGACCCGTTGTCCAGACAATGGGTGAATGCGAGAAGAAGAACATGGAGGAAAGCTAAAAAAAAAAAAAAAAGAAACAAGCTAGCCTTCTGTGGCTAACGTTTAACTACAATGGTCTATGCCAAAGAGCTAATCCGTCTAACAACAACATTCTGACAAACAGTAACTAAAAGAACTATCAACGTTTCGAACAAAAAAAAAACAAACATGCCGAGTGGATAAGTATTGAAAGTAGGTGGACAAGGAGGCAGTTTTGTCATAACACCTAACTAGCGAATAAAAAAGATGCATCGTTAATTCAACTTAAGCTAGATATGCTAACTAGCAATGCTAGCCGCAGGCAGAGCGCTAGCAGCTACGTGGCTATCATCCTGACTTAAGTCAACTTTTGGTGTTTTTCGAGGTGCTTGTGTGTTTACCTCTCTTTGGTATTCTGTCCTTTTCACACTAAAATGCACTCGGGTTTAACGTTATACTGCGATCTGGGTTCAAGCTGCTATGAACGGTGGCCCCTCGCAGGGTGTTTGCCTCCAACGAAGCCCCGCCCCCTTTGGAGGCGCTTTTGTTTTCTTCTTCTTCTCCTCCCTCATCTTTGAGAAACGCTCCTTAAGAGAGAATATGACGCCGTCTAACTCTTCGGCGTGTGCTGACCACATAGATAGATGCACATGGTTTTATACGTTTTTATTACGTAACATTTTACATTCATCAAATCTCCAACGGTGAGTGCATCGGGTGTGTCATGTTGTATTTTTTAATGGAATCATGGTGGCTTGAAATCATCATTGAAACAAACAGGATATCACTTCATTTCTCTGACTACACAAAGAAATACCAACTTATTAAACACAAAAAGCAAAGCTGAAAACACACTGAAGATAATATAATAACTTGATTTGGAACTGATTTGTTTTTAAAAACATTTAGCAATCTTAAGTTTAAAAATCCTGCCGCAATCCTTAGTAATAACGTAAAATGTTAAAGATGTTAAAATAAAGTTTGTATCATTTGTATCCCTGGATCAGGCATGAAGTCGGTGCTTGCATCTGGTGTTTGGTTCTGTTTTACCATACAAGCACCCAGAGCACGATTCACTCACTAGATTTATTATAAAATGTATTTGTGGTGACGAAAAATGCATATATTTTTTCAAACAAAAGTGTGTGTATATTATTAGCGTTTAACTAATCTATGTATTATGCTATTTATAATTTTATATCAAAAAGTACAATATATAGTAAACAACTGAATAAATGAAATGATAAATAGCACAATACATAGATTATTAGTTATATGCTTAGTAAGTGCATTCATTTAACAGCATTATTGACCTTTCCGATAAATATGTAAGGACAGTTCGTAACTATAAAGATCAGATTTCACTCAGGAAGATATTAGGATTTATCCAGAAGCTTTTCCTCATGAAGCCTGAGAAAGGAAGATGCCCAGCAAGGCTGCAAGCAGTCACAGAAATTATAATTAAACTTTTACATCCCCATATGAATTATTTCACTTTGAATACACAAAAAACACAAACTAATTAAAGCCATATCACAAAAGCAAAAGCACTGGTGTTTTGTAACCGGCAACTGTCAGTGCACAACAAGAAAAAACAGCTTCCCCCAACAACTTCAAACACACATCAACCCTTAAGTTAAGCAGAAAAGAAAGATTAAATCAGGGAGAAATGCATCGTCTTAACGTCTTTAGTGCCAGATTTCCACGGTACAAAAAGTCACTCTTTGTGATCACTTTGTAATATTGGATAAATCATTAATTTGTTTGACGTCAAACAGCTGAATGAAATGAATGGGGTAGAAAGAGGAGACCGGTCAGTCAGCCCAATAAGTAACGTGACGTAAGTGAAGACCAGATCACACAGTCGTTGCTCTAGGCACAAGTCAGGAACACGCAAAGCATCGACAGGTCCTGGTCTAAAACCAGCACAGACAAAAACAAGACTTGTGCCTAACAGCAAACATCTGCTTGTGAAAGAGTGAACAGTGTCACACAGTGTACATTTCTGTCCCATTTCGGAGGTATTGAGGTCACATAGGTAGCAAGTGGTCATCTCTCTCCTCTGGCTCTTCTTCCAACGATTCTGTGGCCACTCCCCTGTAGGCCGGGGCGTCCTCCCGATTTCGGGAGCGACACACACAGTCACATCCATCCTGTGAAAGGGGGGTAAGTTTGTCATGAATCTCTTTACACACAGGCTTAATTTTTTAATAACATTATGCATCAAATGCAGTGGTCTTACCGCCATCATATTGCCAGCTTCCAACCAAAAAGCGTAATTTGGGAATTGCTCCATTCCTTTGGCTCCAACAATCAGTCGTTGGTAGAGGAAACCTCCGATGAGATAAGCGGCCAGAAGACAGAAACATCTGGAAGAAGAGAAGGTCCATAACCACTAATCAGCTACGTGCTCCAACGGTATGGCTTTTTTTTTGGTGTCATAACAGACTGTATTTACGCACATGATGAGTATTATGGAGCCAGCGCTGATGTGGGACTCAACAACTTCACACAAGGCACTGGAGTCGAGCTCAAACAGGTAAAAACAGTCCTGCGATTTCTGCCTTTCCTCCAGCACCACCTTCATCTCGCCCTGGGATGAGATGGTGAGAGACAAAATATAAAAGACAGGGCAACGCACACTGTGAAAAGGAGACGAATGGGCTAAATTCCACACAGGAAAAAACATAATGCCACGTTCAGACCTGCATCGCATGGTATAAAAAAAAGAAAATGTATTAACAATTTATTTGTTGCAGCGATGCAGAAGGCTCAGAAAAAAAAAAGTTGACCCTGATACTAATTCTAGACGACACATTCTGACGTCATGTAGCAGCTGCATTGCACATTCTTTTGTAGATTGTAAAATTAATGGAATATTTTAATGGCTTTTCCTTGTCCTCATCAAAATGAAGCTCCCCGCTATAATTTACAGAATTATAAAACTGTGGGTCACAGAATTACTCATCGTCGTGCAATGAGCATAGATATGTATCGTATGTCACCTGGTGCTTGAAGGAACCTGCCCCTAAAAAGCACAGTCCATTGCATTTTTTGTTTTTAAACACGTTGCAGTTTTTTTGATAGGAGCCTCCTGGGCCAACATTCCCCTAGCTTCCTTGATCAAAAAGGACTGAATTCTAAAAAGATCTTTGAAATTGAGAAGTAATTAAAAAAGTATCTTAGACACAAACAGTACTCTTGAGGTGAAAACCCTTGAAGGGGCGCGAGTTTCTTACGTGGAGGAGAAAATGGTGGCAAGACGAAGAGGAGACATAAGCCACATTACAGTGACTTAATTAAACACTACATACTGTATTCAAAGGACACCTTTTTAAAAGCATGCATCATACCGAACAATGAGGTACTTAACACCTCCTCATCCGGTTAAAGGTTTTGGTGCCTTCCTGCCTCAAGGTTTCCTACATCAATCACTTTTAGGCAAGGACAATACAATGGTAGTCTCAGGATATGTTTTAAAACTGGTAAATTAGCAATTATTTAAAAGAAATTGTGATCAAAAGACCAGCAATGCTTCCTTTACCACATCCACTTTCTTGTTGCAAGAGATCATGATCGTGGCTTTCCTCGGCTCTTTGGAACAGTGTCCATCGTATCTGTCGCCGTTGTTGTAGATCAACATCACCCAGTCACCTGCAAGTAAACCATAAAGTGTCAAAACGGACCGTGTAGTCACAACATAGATCCAAAGCACTTGTGGAAATGTTTAATCTCATGCTCAGATATAATTCAACACTAAGTCTTAACGCAGTTAACAATTCTGTAGCACTTTTCGGGTAATTATGCTCATAGTTTTTCTTAAAACACAATGCAATGCTTGAACCAAGATTTCAATTCACATATAGTTAACATTCAAACACAAAGTCAAGAGTAAATTGGGGAGCAAATCTGATTCTGCAGAGACTTACTTCCTCCAATGGCTTGCGTTGCATTATACATGCCAACCACAGTTGGTATACTCGGTGTTTTCTTGTTGTACTGAATAACCCCGGCTCCGGAAACACCCCCTGCATCTCCACACAGCTGGAACACATATGTGTAACTCTCACTTCCAATCGTGTACTCTGCTGTAAAGCTGCCAACATGAGAACAAATCCCAATAAACGATTAATAATATGCGAAACAGTGGCAAAGGCAAAAAAAAAAAACTTTGTTCATGGTTTATTTGCGAAATAATGTCTTATTGATGGCAGCAAATGCGCAGGTACACAGTCGAGACACTTCTTACTTCTTGTGGGCAAGTGTCTCCAGTCGATTGAGGACTTTGCGCTCCGATTCCGACTCGTCTCTCAGTTTACAGCTTTTGGTGCCGTCAGCAGCGTAGACCCCACTCCCACAGAGGACCAGCTGAACCACCAGGGTCCACAACAGGAAGGACCCTCCATCGGGAATGTCGATCATCTGGCACAGATGTTAGATTTAAACTTTTTATTTCCGTATGCCTGATGTGTCAAATGTCACAAAAGAAAATCATGTACGTAATTACAATGGAAATATTTCATTTCTAAATAATGTAATGGGTCAGGCTTCACGTGTTTAAAATGATGGGATGTAGGAGCATTCATTTTCGAGCAAAATACACGTTGATTTCTTATGTGTAGTTCAACAACAACATGTCATATCAATATATCAACAAGCATGTAATTCGGAAATGCATTGGTGACACCACACATTTTAAAGTGTGTACATGCTAAGTGTTGCATGAGGCAGTAACTTTTGGAGAGGAAACACTGACAGTAATGACCCCCCCCCCCACCCTCTGGAAAGCTTAACAGTTTACCTTCAGGCTGCATTGTGCACGTACCTTCATGACTTCTTCACATAAGTTGGCGATGTTCCTTCGTTAGGCACAGTTTAAAATGTGCTCAAACATGTAAGTTAGCACGTTGTGGAGTGAGCTTCGTCGCGCTAACGTCGCTTCCTGATTGATTTAATAAAGCGACTACGCTTCTATTTTGTTATTCAAATGAAATAAAGTAAAGATGAATGTAGTTTAGAGATTTAAACGAGTGTCTTTTTTTGGCGCACACTTTTCCGGTCCTGGATAAGAAAGACAATTTCCTCAAAATGTGCGAAGTTCCATCCAGATGGCTAACGGACTCCAGGCAGCAGCGTAGTGCGGAAGTGAAACCAAACACACACGCACACGTGACCATCCAGAGGAAGCTCGACCAATGAGCTGCAGCTGAATCCCCCGTCGCATCAGCTGACCGGAAGACGTACAGTTCAGGGTGGAAGAGGAACTTGCTAAGCATGGCATGTGGGAGGAAAACAGAAAATATGAATGGTTTTATACCATGTTATGGAGAAAGTTGGAGACTTGAGATGTGCAGTAAAGAGCAGGAGAGATGTGTGGGTTACAGAAATACTTACATTTAGATGCGTCGGGCTAAACACAATACAGCAGAATTAGATCACTTTGGCCAAAGGAATGCTTCACTGTCTGAAATATGAGGAAGAAAAAAAGGCAGTTTAGTGAAAATCTCCGCAAGGTGAAAATACATTCTAGGTGTAGCAGAACTCAGGATGTAAGTGTTCTCAAATGCTTTATCGGTATTACAGTAACTATATGGTAATATAATAATGGAATGAATATTATTGAGTGAGTAATTCAATATTTGTATTTTATTCTATTTATTTTGTATAAAATAACATCATAATATCCTGGTTAATCCCTAATGGTTGGCACTATAATCTTTTCTCAATAGTATTATGTAATGCAATTCACTAGCGCTGCAAACTGAGAATGAATGAGGTAATGTTTTATCGAAATTGAAGGTCGGCTTTCGATAAATCTGAACTCTTTGAGGACCATATTGCCTTTTGTGAATAATTGTGTAATCCTTGACTTTGTGCAGATGTGATTTTAAAAAACTACAGCCTCAGAAATGATTATAGATTGATTCAACAACTCTCTAAAACACGTCTTAACCAAAGCACAATTACATAATATTCACAACTAGGATTCATTGCAGATTTGTTTCATAAAAACTGCATTCATTTTATTTTTGTGGAACAAATTAACCAGCAAGGCGTGTTAATCAAATAGTAAAATAGTCAATAGCTTTGCTACAGTACAAAAACAGTGATATGTTCATTCTCCGAGGAAATGTCTATTGCTAAAATATCATTCTTATTAAACCCTTTAATCAACATATCCTTAACAGATAGTATATCTGTTGACTACAAGCTATTCCAGTTTAGTATTTCAATTTCAGCCGGAGCATATTATGACTCAAAGCTTGTTTTCAATACGTTTATCTGTGCCTCGTGCTTTCAAGTCATCACCATGAATTTGAATATAAGACATAGACTTTGACCTGTTAAGTGTCTGATCTGATTGATTTCCCTGAAACAATGCCCCATTCTTCTAATCATAACCTCTTTAAAAGAAGTATTTAAAATGATAAGATTAAAGATGATAAACATTCATCAGTACCCTGTGCTTATTGAATTTAAGACAACACTCTCAGAATACAAATAAAGACAACATAATGTTTGCAAGTCCCTTGTTTATACACGTAGACAAACTAGACAAACAAAATGTCTAAAATGTCAGATGTTGTGTCGAGCTCTAAATATCTAGGTCACTTCAACCCTCAATCAACATGGTAAAGCATTCATGGTTAAACAAATGATTCACCGATCGCGCTTCTAAAAGCCCCTCCCTTGGTTTCTGTCTTCTGTGATTGCTTCATCTTTTTTTTTTTTTACCACAATAAACAGTTTGTATATTTTCTTTCCCATCTCATGGGAATGTAGGGACGTTTTTATGGGTTTCCACCGAACCGTATGTGTGTGTGTGTGTGTGTGTGTGTGTGTGCTCTCAACTCTCTGTCTCCCCTCCCCCCAACTCTCTCTTCTTGTCTCACACCTTAACCTACCTGGCTGCCTCTGTGTACTGCGCAGACACACCCGGCCGCCACCATTTCAACCAATCACTGCTCCAACACACAGGCACCCAGGAGGTGTACTTCCTGTATTTTTTTTTACGAGAATGGAATGGGGCTTCAGGCAGAAGAGGGTTTAGCACTCTACTTTGCCATGGGGGGCCCACACAGGCAACCTCATGGGTCGGGGTAACCGGGACTAAAGTACTGGATAAGCTCGATTTACGACAGATCTGCCTATTCAGTAACGGCCTCAGCGAGGACAAGGCAGAGAGAAGGAGGAGGGGAAAGATAAGTGTCAATCTGTTGAAACTTGTTTGGGAATTTGAGAAAGGAGGGGAGGTGGGGCGAGCCTGAGAGCGAGGCAGCGAGAGGGAAAAACAAGGAGGGTTCAGGCGTAAACATTACGCTTCTCACAAGAGTCAAAGTATTGAGGGGAGAGGGAAGCTTTAATTGATTTAAAAATGGAGGACATTTGCTATGTCAGCGGGACAATGTGTAAACAGGGAACACATTTTTGTGTGTTGTGCAATCCCATGCTTTTGAGTTGAACTGGACCCGGGGGGGGGGCAACAGACCTTCTCAGCATACAACATTCAGGTGAGTTTCCTTCACTATTTATTCTCTTCTTCTTTTCTTCTAGACTTCTTCTGTAAATCGCTTGTAGTTTGAGCACAGTTGGATCGAGCTTGAGGATGGTTCACGTGTTACATGTCGTGCCTATGTGTCACCGGCCCACGTTTTCTGAGGAATTTCTTTTGCTGAAAGTCTGTGCTGGATTCTCAGAGAACTGCAAGAGGTTGTCACCTTTTCTCTGGCACACTCTTCTACTTTATTAAGTTATAATGCAACCAATGGCGTAGAATTTTATATACTATAATACTTTAAGCTCTCAAGTGTAAGGGCTGCACAGCATTGCTGCAACTATCAGGTCATAATTAAGTTAGAGACAGTTTTTAAGTATTCTGAACTGTGTGACATTAACTTAGTATGTAAAAGTGTGCGGACTCGTATTGCTAAATTTGATTTTGTCCCTAAAAATTGTTTGACTCTCTCGTCTTGATTTCTAATTCAATCACCTGTTTTCTTTTAGGCTCTCCAAATTATGCTACAATGGGTACCAAAAGGCTTAGCTGGAACCCCTTTGAGACTTTATCAAGCAAAGGCAAATCTGACTCCAAGCTCCAGCCAGGTGGAAAGATTTCCCGTGATCCAAGTCCCAGCCCAGCAATGACGGCCCAGTCGGAGCGAGAGAGAGACAGTAGGCGAGAGGAAGACCGGAGGAGCGAGAGAGAGACGTTAAAAATGAGGGACAAAGCCAGAAGCAAAGAAACGGACCCACGGGATAGGTACTATGGAAGGGATCGAGCTCCTGCACTCCGGCCCAGAGAGGGAGAAAGAGAGTGGAGGGAGAGAGAAAGGAGGCAAGGAGAAGACAGAAGCAGGAACGGCAGGCTGCTGTCGAATCTAGAGGATCCCACCTGGACAGGAAAGACAGGGATGCAGGAAGAAAGAGACCGATTGGCCAAGGCCAAACATGGGAGAGAGGGAGGCCTCGGTGCCTTCTCCTCACAATCCAAGACTCATCTACTCGGATAGGAACGACAGGGCAGTGACTCCAAGGGGAGAGGGAAGGAGGGACATCAGGAGCGAAGGTGACAGTGACGAAAGAGAGCGGAAGAGGGAGAGAGTGAAACACAAAGAGAGGCAGGAGTGGACATATCAACACAGCAGAAGTGAGGGGGACGATGCGGGAAGAATGCAGAGGGAGAGATATCAAGATAGGCAAGGACACTGGGAAGAGGACAGGCAGAGATATAGAGACGGGGACAGAGAAGCGGATCGATCCAGGAGGAACGGGGCCAAGAAAGATGAGGCGAGGTACAGAGAGGTCGATCGGCGAGTTGAAAGGGAGGGAGGCGGATTGAAGGAACGGGTGACAGATTTGAAATATGACAAGAGAGAGGGGGACAGTAACAGACAGCATGAGCAGAGGACAGGCAGGGAAGTAAAGGAGGGGGAGGGCGATCTAAGGAGGGACGATAAGAAAGAGCTCAGAAGCCGATCTGAGACTCATCCCAGGGGGCCGCCGCGAGTCCAGAGCAGCGGAGAGTGGAGCAGCGACGTGGACTGCGACGTGAGGTATAGAAGATACAGAGACGGTAATGAAGACAGGGAATCGGGGCGAGACCGCACTGCTGGGAACGACAGGGACGTAGAAAGACAGAGATATACAGCCGCAGAAAGAAGTCAAAGGGAGGAAAGAAGACATGAGCGGCAAGACAGAGTCAGGGGAGAGATGACGGCGCGGAGGAGGATGTGGTTGGAGCCACAGAGGGGCAAGAATAGTAAAGGGGAGTTTGTCGACACAGAAAGACACGCGATGAGGAAAGAGAGGAGGAGCAGCGAAGGAGAGAGGAGCAAGGAGTCAGGGGGTGAGTGGGAGCGAGAGGGGCGGCGAGTGAAAGAGGAACCAGATGAGAAGCACTTGGACAAAAGTCGTTACAGGGGAAGGCAGGAAGGGAGAAATGGGCAAAGGGGAGACGGAGAGAGGGAGGGACTGGGTGTGAGCGTAGACGGAGGAGAGGAGGTGCAGAGAGAAGTCGAAAAGGGAGGGATAGAACATCAGTCCGACGGGGACGGAGGGACAGAGCGAGGCTTGGAGAGGGAGACGGACCACACGGAGGGAAGCGACCGAGAGGAAGAGCGGGGAAGCCGCTCTGAGAACGAAGGAGGAGGAAGTGAGACAGGATGGAGTCATGGCAGAATGCCGTCAGCAGAGGACGGTTTTGTGACCGTTTCTAGCGGTGGAGACGAGGAGGACGCAAAAGAGGAGGAGGGGGAGTTCGAGGACTGTCCGGAATTCTGGGAAGGCGCACCCAATGGCCGCTCACCTGTTGCCGTGGAGGGGTGCGAGGGAGACACGGAGAGGGGAACGGGAAAGGAGGAGGCGGATGATGATGAAGAGGAGAAGGAGAAGCAGAAAAAGTACGTCTTCTGTGTGATTGGGAAAACGTCGCCCCGGTCAGAAGCCACCGAGACGTCACTGTCACAACCTGATCACACGGGAGGTGTTGAAAGAGGCAACCTAAACAAAGACATTCCTAATGATTGCGGCGAAGAGGCTGCACAGCGACCTCACCGTGACCTGAGTGGAAGTGATGACTGTCCGATTATCATCATCCAGGACACCGAGATTAACAGCGGGTTTGACCCCCCGGGGGAGGAGTGGCCACTGGCCACAGGAGAGACAACCCGAGAGGATGTCAGACACACAGTTGAGTTGAGGAACAAAGTCGAGCACCCAATCGCCATCAAAAGAGACTCGCGGACCGAAAAACTTCTCACTGATTGGAGAGAGAAAAATAGAGATGGGGTGGAAGAAGAGGAGGAGCAGACCACGCCAGACCTGAGTAACCCCTACGGGGATGTTTGTTCTCGGCTGGATATGAAACAAATTCAACCCATTTTGGAAGCGATCAACGCTGCCGCAATGAGTCCGGAGGAGGTGGAGGCTATTCGGATTCGAATGAGCGGGACGTGGAGCATGTCCGAGGAGCCCAAGCGGCATTCCCAAGCCCCTCACCTCAAATGGGCCAACAATGTAGTGCGGGAGATTTTGGGACCTTCAGAGCAAAATACCGTCGGTGAACCTCAGATCAAGAACGACAATGGACAACAGCAGGAGGCCGCAGAGCGCTGTCTCTAAAGTGGGAACGGGCGAACGGCACTCGGAGCACAGCTGGAGGAGAGAGCCGTTGGAGTTGGAGGGACTGAGAGGTATGGAGCAGAGTCAAACTGACATGCATGCTGACCAGTTGACGGCTATGCATGTCGATGACACACCCGCACACACTCATGCTGACACACCGCTAGACACAGGAGGGGAGGAGGATCAGAGTTTGGACGAAGCGGCCGGGCCGTCTGGTCACCTTCAGCTAGAGGACACAGTTGTAGAGGCGAACCATAGCGAAGAGGTGGGCCAGGAGGTGGAATTATCAGAAATGGAAAAAGAAGCAAGAAGGGAGAAGGAGATGTATTTGTCGGTGAGCAACACGCTCTACAAGCCTAACAGCTGCCCCATTCTGAATTATGAAACTGAGTCTGACCTCCTCGTTCCCTCCAGAGAGGGACAGGGTGGCCAGGAGCTGGAGGACAGAAGTGGTGAGAGCGAGGAGGAGAGACAGAGAGGGGAGCCCGAGGAGAGGAGCTCAGTAGGGGAGGTAGGAGAGAGAAACCAGGCAGAAAGCAGAGAGGGAGAAGTTGTTAGGGAAAAGAAAGGGGCGGGGGGCACTCTGACGAGCAGCTGCAGTTTCCGTGATTGGGGTCGGGAGGCTCGGATGCGCAGACGGGGTATCCGTAAAACCACTGAAAGAAGGAATGGAGTGAATTTAAAAGTGGAAGAAAAAGAAGACGATGATGCTGGAAGGGATCGCAGAACCAGAATATTCTCTACAACAGGTAAAAAGGAGATGATGAAGATGGGGGATGGAGACACTGTCAAGTTTGTCATCGATCAGCAATCTAAAAAAAAGATTTAACCTTATCCCGTTGTATTTCCGACTCAACAGCCTTTTACGTACAGCCAGATTTAATCGGGGGCAATCTTCTTCTCAGTTCCCGTTTTAACGTCTTGAAGTCAATATTATTTTTGTCAAGTGGATCACAAAACCCACATTGTAGTGGAAACATCAGCTAATAGACATTATCAGTCTGCTGACATCACATCGAACCGCGTCACAGTGTTGTGGTGCCACGGTGGTGGGCGGGATAAGTGGAGGTGGAGAAAGTGGCAAAGCTTAAAGACTCAAGCGGACTCTGCCTTGACACATAACAAGAGACGCACGTGTTTTGGAAACACATTAATCTTTACTCTAATGCTAACTACCAAATTAGCATAACATACTTTTCTATTATAACCTATTTATGTATTTATTTTATTTACTTATATTTTTACTTCCATTGTAGTTCACGGCCGGTTAATTAGGATACAGAGCGAGCATGCTGTTATACAGTGTTTCAACAAATGGATACTTTTTTATTCCAGATGATGATGAGGATGATAAAAGCAAAAGCTGGGGAGAAGTAGAGCTGAGGTGAGTGAAATATATCACACACACACACACAACGTGGAACAAGACATTAGTGGTGAAGACGTGAGACGGAAGGTTTTTCTCTCTCGGATTGTTTGCTCGTGTTTGGACTCACACAGTACCGTCATGTTTCTATATATTCAATACAAATGCTTCACCCTGGAGTATATTAGGCTGCTCTGTCTACCACTCTTTATAGTTCTGAATAAACTGTTGACCTGGTGACTCTTTCTTGGCATTACAGGAATGTTTTGGACACAATTGACAGACGGAAAAGGAATTCAAGGTTTTTCAGTGAGTACCCTTTTCCCCCTTTTCTTTATTTCTTTCTGTATTGAGTCATGCAGATGAAAAAGGTTGTATGCTCTTCTTGCACACATCAGACAGTATTAACTCCTGTTTTCAAAACTCTTATCTTATCACTACAATTTATGATCGCAGACATTTTCGTTTCATAAACGTCAAGATTGATTACTAGAAACGGTTGTGTATGCAAAGGTGACGTATCTTCTGATCAAATCTGCCCTAAATGTGGTCGGGAAAAGGATGACGCAGCTCGCGCATTTCCCTTCTGCGCGTGTGTTTCATTTCTGAGTGAATACATGCCGCATTACTGTTTGTTTCTCCCCCTGAGCAAGTTTCCTCTAGATTTAAATGAAACACACGTATGAAAAAGAAAGTCCAACGTTGGCTCACACCATTTTAAAATGATGGGTTAGAAGAGCTAAAATGGCAGCGGTTCCCCGTGGCCTCTGATTCATATGAATATTACGAGAAATGGGGCAGGAGTTTTTGTGCTACATGTGTGTCTGTGCACGCCGGAGACAGGTCTCTACACGTATTCATATCTCCCAACTCGGGAGAAAAACTGCCGCTCTGCATTTCGACAAGCACGTGCAAACGCAACGCCAACTGCAAACAACTCCGCTGGGCTAACGTTGCTCCTGTCTCTCTCTCCTTTTTTTCTTCTTTCGCTGCCTAAAATTGTTCAATTTTCCATCTCTGTTGCTCCCTCTCCTCTTCTGCTGCCCTTACTCGTCTCCTTTCCTCCCCTCCTCCCAGATACCGCCCAGCTCTACCAGCAGTACAGCGAGGCCGCCCAGAACATTGAGATCAAGCGGCAGGCTCGCTCCGACGTCGTCTCCGTGTACGGGGACAGCATCCCGTCCCCGTCTCCCTCACCCCCTCCCGCGTGCAGACCTCTTCCTCCCATCCCTCCCGTCCCGCACCCCCACTCCCTGCTCCAAGTGGGCCCCGTCACCAGTGTCAGAAACTTGCCTCTCCCCGAGCCCCCCAAGAGCGAAAGCAGGCCCCCGTCCCCGCGTCTGTCCATCTCTCTCTCTCAGTCGGCCACGCTGTGGCGGGAGCTGCCGGGGGTCCAGGACAGCACTGAGCTGGAGAAGCTCACAGACGACCAGAGGCGACTCCAGGAGGTAACGCGTTGTTTTACTGCACAGATGAACACGGTCACCGCTTGGTGGAATTTGTTTTTGTTCGGCTGGTATAAAGAATTGTTATTGATGTAGCAACGTGGTGCCAAAAAACCTGCGTATGTGATTTTCAATCGAATTAAGTTTGCATTTCTTTGGAAACGTGTTGTGCAACAGTCGCACCCCCAGAGAAATCCAGGAGACCGCTCCAGGCCAAAGCAATGTGCAGGAACTCGCTTTAACATCACTTTCACTTCCTGCTTCCATGGCAGATTGGCTTAGATTCCTAGATTACTTAAAAAATGTAGTCCAAGACATTGTTTCACTGCAGCAGCATTTGCAAATTTAACAGTGAAAAATATAAACGCATATTCTATATAGTGTAGTGTATCATTAAATCGTGTTTGATATGAAAAGCTACAGAGAAGCTGCTCATGTGAAATATTGCTCCAAAACATTCTGTTCATTTCTCCGCAGTAAATAAACATGACAAAGTGAATCTCCAAAACAACAAATATTTCTCTCCTACCCTGAAATACGATGCTAATCTGTTAACCTTAAACGATTCACTTCTTTGTGCTTTTTTTTCTTGACCGCTCGCATGATAATTGCCAAAATCTTCCTAACATAGTTTAACATCAGCAGCTTCTCTCCCCGTCATATCATTGCATGGTGGATTCTTTGAAATAAAACGACCCCTGGGAATCAGTCATTCCCAGTTGTTACCTCACACAGCAGACTAGATATCACGTGATAAATCCAGTCTTGCCACATCCTAGAAGATCCCTTCCATCGATTCACTTTTCTGCTGCCAGTAAGAGGGGATTGCGTAAGGTGTTTTCCTTGCCAACGTTAAAACTGACATGTCTTAGCTGTAAGCATTGTGAAATCTCAATTCATCACATCCCTGTCAAAATACGCCCACCGGAAAAAAAAAGTGTCATCAGTGCTTTTATGAGTACTAACTTACTGGCTGCTGTTTATAAATGACTCTGTGTTTTACTCCCCTCTCGTGTATTTTTCCATCTAGGTGAGATTTGAGGTTGTGACTTCAGAGGCCTCCTACTGTCGGAGTTTGGACATTGTTGTTGAACACTTTGTACAGAGCAAACCGCTCGGCGCGCTGCTGACTACTCAGGAGAGGAACTGGCTGTTTTCGCGGCTCGCTGATGTTCGCGCCATCAGCCACAGGTTAGAAACGCTACGCGTCCTCTACCCTCAAGTCCACATTTAGATGAAACATCTCGCTGTGCAGGTACAGTAACACAAATCTGTTGGAGAAATAACCGAGAAAAAAAAACACTTTTATTTTTGTTTCAGTTTTTTATCAAAGTTGGAGGAACGGGTGGAAACTGACATCATGCAGTTCACCGTGTGCGACATCATTGCTCGGCACTGTCAGCGCTTCAAAATGGTTTATGTTCCCTACCTCACCAACCAGTCCTACCAGGACGCCACCTACCAGAGACTCATGTAAGCCACCCAGTCAAGCCGTTCTGCTTTCGTCTGTATTCTTTTTCTCTTTTGGTCTGTATTCAATTTCTCTTTGTCATCCAGGAATGAGAATCCCGGGTTCAGGCGAAATGTGGAGCGATTAGAGAGGAGCCCTGTTTGTCAAAGGCTTCCTCTTCGTTCCTTCCTCGTGCTCCCCTTCCAGAGGATCACAAGAATTAAGCTGCTGGTCCAGGTGTGTGTTTGTCAGTGTGTGTGGGTGCGTAAGAGAATTTCTAAAACCCTTGATGGGTGACAACCATTTTTGTCTCACTTTAACACTTTGGCACACTGTTTCTGTCCAGAACATTGTAAAGAGAACAACACCTGGTACTGCAGCGGCGACTCAGGCAATCAAATCTTTGAAACTTCTAGAGAAGGTACAGTAACATCCTCTTTACACCTTACAGCAATGTTCCAGTTATGCCAGTTGTTTGACAATTAGGTATGAGGTATGTTGATGCTTTGGTGACTGTCTTCTCTTTTTGTTTAATTTATTTAGCTGATTCAACAGAGCAACGACAGCATCACTGAGATGAAAAGCATTGAGTCGCTGGTCTCCCTCAATGCAAAGGTGGACTTTGAAGGCAGGGTGAGTAACGGCTTTTAGGGACAAAGTCAAACGCATTCCATTGTCCTGATGTGGTCAATAATGGGACTGATATAAAGAAAACTGCAACTAAAACATAAAGATAACTGATGTTTTTCTTTTATTTGTGTTGAGGTTTATTTTTATAAAGATTTGCGTGATTAATTGCATTGGAAAAAGCATTTGACATTTGATGTAATATATCGGTGCTAAATCACTATACATCATTACATTCATATAGGTCTTTTTTCTTTCCAGCAGAAATTAGGAAAACTTTTTCCTTCTAGTGATATTTTTTAAATCTACAACAAAACAAGAAACCTGATGAAATGATCACAACTCAGGGGCCACTTAATGACTTTGACTCCACCACAACAACCATTGTTGAATGGCGTGAACTCAGTTGCCATGGAGATTGTTAAATTGCCCGCGATCTGTAGCCCTGTGATGACATGTCTTAATTTATAAATGACGAATACCGAACTGACCGCGAGACGTGGTCGAAAGTCCCCTGATTAGGAATCTAAGTTAAGATGACCTTTTTAAACTTGAACTTCCACTCAAAAATGATAATTTGCCTTTTTGTCCCTCTGTTCTCGGTGTGGTTGTGTGGTTGTCGTCGTAGACTCTGCCTCTGATCAGTCAATCTCGGAGGCTGGTGCGGGAAGGGCCGCTCACCGAACTAATGGATAACTGTCAAAAGGAGACGGAGAGGAGTGTTTATTTGCACCTGTTCAATGACTACTTGCTGCTTTCACTACTAAAAGAGTGAGTCAACAATAACATTTGAATAATCCCTGTTAGCTTCATCCTGATACCTCGTATACGCGCGCTTTTATCATCCCTGTAACCTTATCGCTGCCTTTCCTTCCGCCATCTCATTTCTCTTTTGTGCTTTGGCTGCTTCCAGAGGGGGAAGGTTTACCGTAATCGACCACTGTCCCGTATCAGACGTGCGTGCCGAGAACTTTGGCTTCAAACTTCACTCCCTTCAGAAGAACCTGTTCCGGCTGCACATGACGCACAGATCGCCGGTGCTGCGGACCGACACACAGTAAGAGGCCGAGGCCGCAGCACGGAACGGCTCCATGTCATTTGTCACGTCGGAAACTGGAAAGAATGTACTCTTTTTGCTTTCTTCAGGAGTGATAAGCTACGTTGGATGTCTGCTCTGTCGCGGAAAAATCCTGAAATCGATTTTTTGGGCGTAAAAGGTAAAGTATTTCGTTGGAAGTATTTCAAACTTCACTCATTCCTTAAATAACACTCAACGTGTAACTCTATTGTGAGTTGTTAATTCAGATTAGAAACAATAAAGGCTTAATTTCCAGTTGTCATTTTGGCCAAACGTTGGTTTGTCAAATGAAAGTTAACAAACTAAAGGCAAAGCATTATAGAAATAAAATAAATATAAAACTGCTAATCGGGAAACAAACTATATATAATGCTAATATTATAGAGTCTTTCTGACTTTTTTTCCATGATTGTGTGCTACGTGTTAAAGGTCGTGCACGCTCATGCAGATGTCTTTCATTACCGTGGCTGATTAGAACTTAAGTCAGACTGAAGGTGGTGCTGCTCTGCTTGGAATGAAGTGACTTCAATAAACTCAATCTATTCACTTTTTTGGAGGCTTGGGTTCACTATCTGAGCATTACATTAGTTTGCGTTATTCATAATTGATCTATTGGTTATAACTGTCGGTTTTACTTTTCTCTTTTGTCCAGATTTGCCACAGATGCAGTGTATCCGAGCTATTGTTTCACAGCAGCCTGACGAGCTGTCGTTGGAAAAAGCAGATATCATTCAAGTGCACCAACAAAGCAGTGACCGTAAGATCATCACATTACATTTTTAATAATTTCCTCGTGGAAATTGGGATTCACCTATTTTATATATAAAGCCTGGAATTATTATAGATAAGCACACATCTCATTTTTGTTGTGATTTTTTTTCTTTTGCTTTCCAGATTGGGTACAGGGGATCAGACTGTCGGATCGGCAACATGGATGGGTGCCCGAGTCACATTTGGAAACCATAATCAACCCAAAAGTCCGGCAACGCAACTTGGAGGACGCCCTCAAACTAACGACTGCCACGGCTGCTGTTTGACCGACTTAATAGAGGGGAGCGCTGGATGCAGCGTTAAGGATACGACACTGTTAACTGCTACAAACTGCTGGAAAATTTAGGACATTTTGGACATTTAGTGCCCCGAACAGGGCATTATGTTGATCACGATGGTGAGGTCAATGAGATGCTTAAGAATGGACCCCAACGTGACATTGGGTCTCACTTGGTTAAACAATACGTTGCTGTTTGAGAAATCCTGAACTGCTGAGGCCTCCCTGAAAGACATTAAGGACATTGGGATTATTTTAAGTGTTATCTGCAGTACTGTACAAATATTGTTTATGCTGTATTACATCAATGAACTGTTTTGTGAGAAAATGTTTTCAAAAGGGGAAATTCTTTGCTTGGAAAATGATTTTATTATCTGTGTATATTGAAGTGTCTGGTTCACGTCAATTGTACATTTTGGCCCTGCAGAGAAATTATGCAGATTGTAAAAGGTGATTCAAATTTGTATGTAGAATACATTTCAATGACTTGAGATTAGATTATAACACATTTTACATACATTTCATATTGAGAGGGAAGTTTATTGTCTCTACCATAGAAGCTGTTCTGGTCATTCATGAGCTAACTATGAGGTAATAAACATTACCCCAACAACGATGCGCGTACAAAGAGATCCTTCACTGGGAGGCGTGCGCGCGTGTGTGTGTGTGTGTGTGTGTGTACTGACGTTGATCTTTGAGAGCTGTTGACTGAAGAAAAGACGTGCAGATAACGCACGTAGCCCCGCTGAGGCGTGATCGTAGGCGTGACCCCAACGTCGCCCTAGCCGGGTTCTGGGACCCGCTATTGGTTATTTGTGCCATCATTCGGGGAAAAAAACGGGGAGACGCGCGAGAAGTTAAAAAGGACAGCCGTGACTCATCCTATGTGTTCACTGCGAACCGGTGTCTTTAAGAATGCTCCGCTGTGGACCCGCCTCTGCTTCCCTCTGAGTGGACATCCCGCTGTCAATCTACAGGCTAGTCGCTGATTGGTCACATATGTAGTGGGCGGGCCTTGCAGTGTTTGTTGTTTTCGTTGAGGGGAATATGACATCTGACTGTCGACATCTTTGAAATCGATCGTTTTCCCGATAGTTTTTACCCACTGCATAATTTTCTGAATCTTCGCGAGTCAAGGGACCGGTGCCGTCAACCTGGACTTGTCGTATTTTAAGGGGAAGTTTGTTGTCTCTTTAAAAAGGTATGAAACGTTAAACAGCGACGCCTTGTCGATCCTGCAGCTAGCTGCTACTGTTAGCATTTCCGTTCACAGCTAGAAACGTAAACAACGCGCTTCGGATACAGGACGCCCCCCCTAATCCTTTTACATGATATGGACCACGAGACGTTGACAGTAAATAAATCCCCTCAATTCCTGTTGTTAGTTTGGTCATTTTCTTTAAAATATTTATAAAACGCAACCGGTGAAAAGTGACGTGGCCTCACTTCACGATGGCCGAAACAAAGTGAACCATGAAACTTACGTTAGTGTCATCGAGACCGAAGCTATCTGTACAGTAAGAGGAGGAGGAGGAGCAGGAGGGTGTGAAGCTCTAGCCGTGTTCGAACATCACGCTGGAGTGTTTTCATCGTTCGCTTCACCCATCGAAGGGTTGTTCACTCCACCCGCGGCTCTCCAACCTCCCTGACGTGATTTATTATTGATTTGATAAGTCTAGTTATTCTGTTTACAAAGGCTCCTGTTGCTGGTTCATTGTACTAAATCACACATACTTAGTAAAAATCAAATTTAATTGATTTAATCATATGAGTGTTTTGTAGTAGTTGTCTAGTAGTCGGTGTCTTGTGCCATTGCTGTAAAGTTAAATGATATTGGAAATAAGATGCCCATCAAAACTTCTAATGATAGAAGGACTGTCTTCCAAGAACTGGTTTTGTTCTAGATTTATTGAATAGAAGTTTGACAATCAAGCAATTTTATCAGATCTTTGCAAAAAGCCCATCATTTCATGAATACCATAAAGCACAGGTGCACATATAATGATACTATATAGATCAGTTCATCAATTTGAATCAGGCAGTTGAATTAACAAAAAACAACTTATGATTAATCCATCTAAACATTATTTAAAAAGGGATGGCTACCTCGGTGAAGAAAATAATGGGAACCCTCTTACAGTGACCAATGTGTGTACCACCCGCACCTAATCTCTATAAGCAGATATCTGTGCGTCGTCGGCTCGTCACCCTTGACTCCATTCCCACATCTCCGTTAGCCAGTCGGACTGTAAACAATGACCGGTGCACGGAGGAGGAAGTCAGCCGCGGCAGATATCTGGAACCATATTTGCTGTTCGCCCCCAGAGGCTAAATCGTCGCCATAACGACGGCTTCTGAGTTTTAGCCATCCCTAATATGATCTCCATTTAGCACTTGTGACAGTGGTATACATCTTATCTTGCAATATAATATAACTGCTCTTATGGCAATCAATACCACTTCTTGACCAAGGAAAATTCAGCTGGTTCTCTTTCTCCTTTTTTGTTCTCGGTAAATACATCTTTTGTTCGGGTGAGTTAATGTCTTCTTGTGTTGTTTGTTTCCTTTGATTGTTTTCAGATGGGCAGTCAGTACCAGCGCTCCGTACCACTAGAGGTGAGGAGAGCAGAAGGAGAGAGAGTTCGGGCCAAGCATCCTGACAAGATACCGGTCAGTATGACATCTGGCTCATTTCTGATAACTGGTTACATTCCCTCTGATTGACCGTGAAGGAAAATTAGCTAGGAAGTTATGTATGGTAATGTAAAATTCACCAAGAACTTTTATTATAACCATGTTCTCCAAATTAAACTAAATATTGATTTGTATAATTTCAACTCTGATAGTAGTGTGAAATAATTTGCTATGGTTTAGATTCTGGCACATGAACACATTACTTTCTCCTGTTAGTGACAACTGAATTCTCTTGGGTCTTTTTGAACCAGATCATTGTGGAGAGGTCCACCAGGTCACGGGCTCCTGAACTGGACAAGAAGAAATACCTCGTGCCCGCAGACTTAACTGGTGAAACACATTGAAAAGCTTCTCACATCTGCCTGCCTCTTCTATTGCTCCGACCGAACCATTTTTAGAGCAGACATTTTGAGAGGTCACACCAGCAAAAGCATGGTTGTATTTAATGAATGTTGATAGTTGAACTGTGTGCGCCACTTCACTGTCGTTGTTCACTGTGACACTAAATGGAACTGGGGCATAATTAATGTTATTCATTCCACCTTATTTCCATTTCCAAATTGTTCTGCAATGTTGTCTTAAAAGTACAACCGTTTTGTTTTCTGTCTCGAGACTGACCAGTCACCTAGATGTTTCCTGCACTGGCTTGTTTACGTTCAGTTCATTGCAAAACGACCTTTGCTGACAATCTCACTCTCTCTCTCTTTCTTTCCTCCCTTCCTTATTTTCAGTGGGCCAGTTGTGCTTCCTGATCCGTCAGCGTGTGTCTCTGAGACCAGAGGAAGCGCTCTTCTTCTTTGTCAACAACTCCCTTCCCCCATCCAGTTCCCCTCTCTCAGCTGTTTACGAGGTAACTGAACCTGTCCAGACATACGTTACCTTGACAATCAACACTTGCATCTCCAGTAGAACATAGTTCGCTATTTGAGTGTAGCTACTCACGGCTGTGAAGCTTCTGGTTACACAAACATGCTTCATCGTTTCCCTCCCCACACCAAACGTGTTTCAGGCTGCACAGATCTGCTTAGACGGCATTTCTGCTTCACTTTTTTTTTTGAACATGGCGTCTATAGACTGCCAGTAACTCCATGCACATAAAAAATAAACAAAAAGTTACCGAAACCTTGACGTCAAACTTTTAGATATATATAGAATATTTAAAAACTCCAGAATAATCAAATGAAGCAGACAGATACAGTAAATGTACTGTATTTAAGAAGTAGAAACTGGTTTTGTTACCAATTTAGCTTTGTCGGTGTGGTTGGGTCAGTCGATAAGCACATTTTCACGTACATATAATGCTGAATAATGAATTTCTCCCTTGCTTTGTTGTGTTCCAGGAGCACCATGGGGAGGACCTGTTTCTCTACCTGACCTACAGTAATGAGAGTGTGTACGGTGCATGAGGGAGGAAAAAAAAAAGACTGGAGAGAGAATGAGAGGAGACAAAGTGGGGCCGTGAGGATTGAGAGTAAAGGCTGTTTGTAATGCATCACACCACTATTATTCTCTATATTAGCTTTGATAAGCAACTACAGTACGCGGTGGGAGAAAGGCTTTGCAGGGGGATCGCTAGCAGGGTTAACCTCTGTCAGTATTTTTGGATGAGCGTAAAGCATGAAAGTACACTTCAAGTTATGTTGATTGCTTATTCGGTAAAAGAAGAAAGAAAAATAAATAAGTTACCGACGTTATCTTGGGATCTCTCATTATCTTTCTCAGTCATCTGTATTTAATGGAAATAGGTTTTTTTTGTAAATTAATACCAAACCTTTGTGGGAAATAAAGATGAGAATGCAGAATATTTTGAATTGTTTGTTTTTGTGTCTCCATCCACTTCACTGACGGTTTAAATCTTGCCCTTTCCTAGTTCATGTTACACTTTTTAGAGTAGAGACATATTTTAGATCAAATTGACAATAATACTATACACAGTTTCAATGATCACGTGAAACTATGAATACACACAAACTCCTTCCTCCGGAGCCACTTTTGTACATAGGATGTGGTATTGGGGAAGCACAGAGGACAAATCTTCATGGGGAAGTGTTCTATCTTTATGGACTAGATGAGTCATACAGGCGCTTGAGGAGAATTTGTAGGTTTTACAAAAAATGTTCCCTCATTTCAGCTGTCTACGTGACAAAAGATTACATAATTGTCGGTTGACTGGCCGGGTCTAAAAGGTTTTCTCGGCAAATCGAAAGTTAGACAAACAGAAGAGAGGAGCCATGGAGATGCAGGAGATCGCCAAAGAGGTGGAACAAGGCGAAACAGATGAAGGAGCAAGTGAATCGATGGTGGAAGTCAGAACTGAAGGTTTGAAGTATTTTATTCATTACATTCGTATATATGTACATGTATACAGTGCCGTCAAAAAAGTATTTTCCCTCTTACTGGTTTCCCGTTTGGCAGTGTTCCTTTTATTAAGGAAAACAATACAACAAAACCTGGAAGAAGTGATTGATCAATCATTAATGATCTGTGATTAACCATATTTTTTTTGATTCAATTCTACTGGCCGAAAAAAGCAAATACTTTTTTACGGCACTGTATGTAGAACGGAAAGTCATAATTGAAACGTATGACAAAACATTTTTTAGGAAGAATATTTTGAATATGTTTAATTAAAAAGAACAACACTATATAAAACTTAAGACTTAATTTCAAATGGTTATTTCTGTTTAAATATGTATGTGACTGTTTTTGTCTCACATTAGAGAAAGCAGAAACAGACCTCTACTCTGAACTACAGAGTCCATCTGAGGACATATATTCGGAAGCTCTGCTTGTTGACCGTCTGGCTACAACAAGATCAGGTACACTTTTACAACAAAATATTTAAAAATAATATGTCACTTGATGTACAGCTGAAAGGAATGATAATGTAATTCACTCAAAAGAACAACATTTTGTATCAACTTCCCAACATTGCTTCAGGAAAGTGTCTTCATCATCCACGTTACTGTACTGTCTCAACTTCAGTTTATGATAATGATTATGACTGTTTTGTAGCACGCATATTTCTATAAAAAGGGGAAAGCAGAAACAGAGGTATGACACCAGTTTTAAACCACATCGTACTAAACTATAACCCACCCTAAACATTAAAGTGAGACAGTGATAGTTTGACTCTCAAGGCTTTTGATAATACCGGCAGTAAAAGACTTTCAGTTTATGACAGAAGAGAAATAATAACTTTTAAAAAACGGAACGCAATTTATTCATGGCCTTTCTTCTTAAAGATTACTTGAATGATAAATTGTTAAATTATTTTATCAATTTGGTTTGGAAATATATTTATTTATTTCAAGTACACTGTTAAAAATGCATTTTTCCCTTTTTTGTTTAAACTGATGTTTAACTTTATTTTGAATATTTTAATGTGGACAGGGTGAGAATAACGATATTGACATTTATACATAAACCGAAAATCATGAACTGAATGTGTTTAGCAACAACACACATGCTTTTCTGTTTTCAATGGTGCGCTAATCTAAGTTACTATACTGAGTTATTTGCAAAAGGTTTATTCTATAATTTCCAACTTGGTGTAAAGCAGATTCATGTACCTCGTCAACAGACACATAAGTTAATGTTTTCATTGTTTGTGTCATGTGTACCATATTTCCTTCCTTGACAAAGAAGACAAAAAGAGCGATGCAGTAAAAGTCTTGGGAATTGAGGGACAAGCTATGCTCTGTGCCCCATGAATAACTTAGGAATCAGTGAATGTCATGTTGCTATAGCAACGAGACAACGGCGCCGGGGGAGAGGGGTGTGTCTTAAAACTGCGGAAACAGACCGAGGAGGACACAGAAAACAAGCTGCGCCACAAAATACCGGGCCTCCTTTTTTTCATGTACATCAAATTTTGTCGCACTTATGGCGAGGAAAAGAAGGACGAAGGCAGGGAAAACGCGTCACCCGAATCCAAGTTATCAGTTGAACTTGAGAGGGGTAAAGGTAGGCCAGACCCTTAATGGTGGTTTGTGCATGTTCTCATTATTCAAACCGTCTCACATGATGTGTCCCTTCTCCCTCAGGCAAAAAGACTGTGACTAACACCCGTCTGTACCGGGCTGCGTGTTTGTTTCTCACCATAATCTGTCTGGTCCTGCTGCTGGTCGTGATTATCCTCAGTGTGAAACGTGAGTATCTGCAGCCTGCAGCATGTCTGCAGCCAAGCACATTATTAGCAGTCTGAAAGTCTCTCTGGCACTGCAGAAATACTTTTGTTATATCTTTGCTCACAACAGAGCGATTTGAGATTGACACACACAGGTGCAGCCTGTGGGCGTTCTCCCTTGTTTTTACCCACCCTGCTCTGCTTTCTAGTCCAAACCACAACAGGAGAAACTGCAGCAGTGGGCAGGCAGGGGGCTCCGCTTGCTCCAAGGTGCAGCCATGACGAGTGCCTGGATCTATTCCCCATCACCCAACACCAACGTGAGTGGGACGTCCTCGGCAGGAAACACGCTGCATAAGCCAAGGAAGCGTCCAAATCAAAAGAAAATCAAAGTATTCTCTCTCTATTGCCATGTTTCTGGTGACAGTTCTGCTTTCTCAGTTGACCAAATAGGATTTCAAAGCGACACAGGAAGTTTCTTCATCTGATCATTTTTAGAGAAATAAGAACAGTTTCATGTAAACAGCTGACTGATTGGCTTTATGGCTTCCTCTGAGAACAATAGTTTAATTTGATATTACACATAGAAAAGTATGGGCTACAGTAGCCCACAGTATGGGCTACTGTGCAATGTAGTCCACATTAACTAAGTCACTGCATTTAGCTTTCTGGAGGTTTTTCTGCACTGATCCCTCTCTCCTGCCAGGTTGTGCCTGTCAGCAGTGCGCTAAAGGGTGGCTGCCTTTTGGCCGGTCATGTTTTTTCCTGTCCACCTACCGGCTTAGCTGGGACGAGAGCCAAAGGAACTGCACCGCCAATGGAGGAGCTCTGGCTGTTGTTTCCAACCGGAGAGTTCAGGTGGATCTCATATTACTACCTTCTCTGACCGTGAAGATTAACTAAGCAGTTCATCAAAAATGGTGATCATTTTTTGGTGAATGTAAAAACTGTGCTCTTTCGTCTAGAATTTTCTGACTGAGAAAGGGAAAATGATGTACTGGATCGGGCTTAGGCAAAAAGGAGCCGAATGGACCTGGGTCGACAAAACTGTGCTGAGCCAGAGGTGATGAATTAATCAATCCACTAATTAACTCAGCTGTGACTGTCAAGTTCTGTCATGGATTAGTAAAAAAAAAAAGGGACACATTTCTTCGTAAAATGAGTCATTATGCATTTGGAGAATTTACTCTTGGGGGTTACTTATTTAGGCACACATGTATAACCCTATTGTTGGGCTCAGCCGTACCAGTGAGCAGAACATAAGAAAAACCTCTACTAGACCTTTACTAACTACGATCTCAGTCCTAAAATATACAATTTTAGTTCCACACTTCTGACAACATAACAAAACATTTTGTGCTTTATGAAGACAGATGTGATAGCAGAACTGTGGTTGCAGTTTTAAAGTTATAAAATGCTTAAAAATGCAACTTCACTAAAAACAAATGTGCACAGGATCCCAGGATTAAAACAGTGTAGTAGTCAATATCTTTTTCTTCTTTTGAAGTTACTGGAAGGAAGGTCCATCAGACGGGGATTGTGGGATCCTCAGCAATGACAAACCTGAGAAAAACTGGATCAAAGATTCCTGCGATTCCGTCAGCTACTTCATCTGTCAGCTGCAGCTCTGAGAGCATCTGTCTCCTCAACAAATCAATGAGCAGATTAATCCTCTGCCATCAATTCCTCCATAACATTTTAGATCATACATCTGTCTTTCCATTTTAATCATATGCAGCAGAGAAAGATAATGGAGCTTTTTAGATGATATATTATATTTAATGCTTGAAGAGTTGTTTTTCATATTATGTTATCTATATCTATAGACAATTTCCATAAATTAGGGCCAGTGCGTTTGATTTAACAATGTTTTATTCTCAAACTTTAATGCAGCTACACAATAAGTTCAATGTCTATGTTTCACTTTATTTTAGCTTAGAAAACATTACTGCTACTTGTGTTTTATATGGCTACAAAAATAACACACACTTTTTTTTAGCATAATACTGCAGGAATAATTGCACCGTTGAATACATACATCTGTTGAGTCTTCGTCTTGAGTTTTTTCATCATTAAATTACATTACATTACATGTCATTTAGCTGACGCTTTTATCCAAAGCAACCTTCCTAAACATATTTAATGCACTGGTCCTTCCCCAGCTCGAGCGGCTGCATCTCCAATCCTATGGCGCTGTCGCGAATCACCTGCCACCCTGCATGAGACCTCGTGCTGTTTTTACGTCTGAGCTTGGGGCTTTCTGAGCTGTACCCCTTTGTTGTGTCCGTCTTCTCCAATCCCTCCTTTTCCTCCTCTTTGGAGAAAGCCTTGACGTAGCGTCGCATCTTTTGCAACATTTGATCATTTCTGTCCTCAACCCTGAAAAGAGTGAAAAGGTTTATTTGGCTGCTTGAACCATCTTAGTGAATCTTCAAAGGGAGCTCTTTGATATTTTCTTTAGTCGTGATGAAGCAGATATGCTGATTTTTGATTGTTACGAACCTAATAAAAGGGTCACGCCTCCAAAAACTTTGGTAATAAACGTTTGCCATTAGGACATATTAATTCATTAGAAAAGATCAGCGGCTTTAAAGTGCACGTTGGTGTTGGTTTTACTGCAGTGCTGTCTGACCTGAGATACCAGCGCTCCATCAGGCCGTAGCTGAGCCCACACACCCCGAGCCGAGGCCACAGGCAGCGGGGCAGCCTCCTCTCCAGCATCAAAGTTGTGGCTACCACCTGTACGACGACACTGCAGCTTTTAACCGCAACGCACAAAATGCACGGTGGCATGTTCGCATGCATTTATGTTCGTGTCCTTAGATAAAAGTGCATATTTGTGCGTTACCTGAGTCCTCCAGAGCTCGTCTCTCTCCTGGGCCACCCTCCAGTGCGTGTCACTCATCATGGCTATCAGTAGGTTTAGCAGGAGGAGGTAGGAGACCAGAGAGAAGGTGCAGTGCAGCACGTAGACGATGGGAGGAGTAATGATGGTCTGGTCCACAGGCATATCTATGAGGCCCACGCTGAGCTGAAACAATGAGAAGAGCGCGATGGGAAAGGAGCGATATGCAGGAATGGAATCAACCTCCTGTGTCATGTACACCGTCCAGAGTGCTGAGAAGGAAGCAGAGAAGAAAAGTCAGCCTGTTTTCAAGAGCTACTCAAATCTTCTACTTTGTGTTTGTAGATGTCACCAACAAAAATATACTCACAGGTGGAAAAACCAATGAGTACAATGAAACTCAGCCACATAAACTTTGTCAGGTCTCCAAATATAACCTAAGGGGAAATGAGACACATGTTAGGTCAGTCTGCAAACACAAATAGGTGAACCTCAAGAACCAAAACAACAAGTGAATACATCTGCTTCAAAAACATGTTGGTATGTGTGCATGTATGTGTGTGTGTATAACAAACGGTTATTTAGCCATGACTCACACACACTTACGGCATGCAGCACTGTGTCCTACCTTCTGTATCATGATGACATAAGGGCCGAGCATTTCAAAACCTCGGGCGAAGAACATGACGTTGCACCAGCCGAGAAGCAAACAAACGGCCATCACCACAGTCTCCCCCTGCACCTCGCAGACTCTGAACACAAACAGCAGCACCACCAGGCAGGCGTAGCTGATACTGCTCAAAACAACAACAACAACAACAACAACAACAGACAGGTTAAAGGGTCTTTCAGCACAGTGCGCTTTATTGTACCGCTAAGACGTGTTTTCTACTCACAGGATAAAATGGAAGGGTCCCCCCAGTGCGGTTTGGCCAAAATAACGCTTTGCCCCGACTCGCAGTATGTCAGGGATCTGATGGAGAACAGAAGCAGTCAGCAGTGCAATATATACATGCTTATGCAGGGTGGGAAAAGGCGAAGCATGTTTCAGAAACTAACCTCCAGCAACAGGATGGCAAAAGCTCCCAGGATGCTGATGATTTCACCCACCAGCCGCAGGTTGTCCTCGTGTGTCACATAACTCTCCTAAGGGAACAAGCAAAGATGTGTTGGATATGTGTTTTTCGACACATACCGTTAATAGACAGAGTGTCACATGCAGGTGCACACTTTGACATTTACAGATGCACAGTACGAGCAAAAGAAATGCTATTCTTTTGTAGTTTTTTTAATTCTATAGGAACGACGCTGTAACTTATAGACCGTGGAGGTCATCCAGGGTCACGAGTGACTTTGTTGATGGTCAAAAACCTGCATGGTTGCGCGAGACGGAAGATATCCAGTGTTAAGCACTGCCCCTGGGGGGTCAGGAAGGACGAATTAAAAAGCCTCCTGGGGTCCATTGACGGGCAAAGAATTCAGATCTTTTACTTAAAGGTCAAGGGTTTGGTGATATCCAGGGGCGAGGTTGCAGATTTGCAACCAACTGAAACTTCTCTCAAGTGCCTGAAGGGAAACTTTGTGTTAACACAAAAAAGTTAACGGCTCTTTTTTTGAGCCAGTGTTTTGTTGCTTTGAGCAACTGTAACTCTTCATATGTAAGAAAAAAAACATCATTCTAAAGCAACACAAAACACACCGATTCTGGTTTTCAGAGGGTTGTATACTCACGAAAACAATTTAAATCATAATACCAAACAATAATCATTAAAATGGAGAAAAAAAAATTAAAATATATGTGTAAATATATTTGATACACATCATCAAATATCTTTGCTCAATTATAGTTCATTAGTCAGCATTAATATCATTAGTCAGCATTAATATACTTAGTCATACTTTCTTTATGGTCGTGTTTTGTTACCATAAATAAAATACGGTAGTTTTATAAAATCACACTTGAATGTCACATATATGGATCTACATACCTTGAGGGTTTTCTGGACGCGGATAGTTTTGTCAATGTCTGACTGCGTGTAGTTCTCTGGAGCGTCCTTCAGAGGGCGATATTGACAACACAGTGTGAAGGTCCCGATGTACAGCAGATACAGTAACAACAGCAGCCTGAAGCAACAATATGAGAGAAAAACAGCAAACTGTAAAACCAGACTGGTTGTGCGTACTGTTCAGATGTTTGATTTCAGATGTCAGACTGTACCTGAAGTAATGTTTCCCATACAGGTTCCACTTAAGACTAACCAGCTGCCTCACAGGGGTTAGTTCCAGTATCTTTCTCGCCTGGAGAACAAAAGTAATTGTTACTTCTTCACCTCACATCAACAACGTTATTTTTCACCGTCATACTTTGCATCTCGTATAATACCTCTTTCCGGTGGCCGCACACGATGAGCTCCAGCACGGACTGGTTGTCGGCCCAGGAATCGATCTCTGTCAGGTCGTACAGGTTAGAGGTCAGCGGGCCCAGACTCCACTGGACCACTCGCCTTTTATTAACCAGGTGCTGAAACGCCTGAGAAAGACACAGGGCGGCGCAGCAGTAAGGATACGGTCAGTGGAGTAATCGACTCCACCTTTCATGTTTTGGTTTTCGCCTAGCGAGCCTCAGGCTTCGTATCACTCACAACAACATTCCCCTCTTTGGCGGCCAGTTTGAAGGGTGTAAGGCCCCGGTAGTTGGGCACCATGTCCAGTGGCACTGACTGGTCCAGTTCTACGTCACGTGCCATAATCAGGTCAATGGCCTGGCAGGCAATCGTCTTGTTGGGCTGCAGGACCAAAATGTGAAGCACGGTGTTACCTATACGGAAAAAAAAAAGATGTGGGGAGGGTGTAGACGAGAGACAGGATGAGAAAACCGGAGGCTGTTAATAATCAAAATATCAGTTGTGTAATAATCCTGAACTCGAGCAGTACAGTATTTCATACCTCGGTAATCCTGCACCCTGGTGCTGGCCCCGGCGTCAATCACCATGGAGATAATGTCTTCGTTCCCGGCACATGCAGCAAAGGACAGGATGTGCTCACCTTTTGACCAAAGGCACGTTTTGAAAATGTCACAAAGCACATAACACATTTTGGGGAACCTCGTGGCTACTCGCACCCGTTTTACTGTAAACAAATTACCATAGTATACGAGCCCCCCTATCCTCTTCCTGAAGTAGAGGCCGGTGACTCGAGGTGTAGCCACGTCGCCCCCACGAGTGATCAGATGATGAACCAGATTGATGTTCTGATTGACAACAGCGATGTGGAGAGGAGTAACACCTGGGACAGAGTGGGGAGAACATTGTGCATCAGTCCGCTGTAAATTAGCAGTTCCCACAAAAAATGTGTGTCTTTCTCAGCTTCTTACAAGGGGAGAAAGAAGCATTCAATTAATTCAACTACACTACAGTAACTAAAGCTGCCAGATAAGCACAACAGATACAGTATTTTGTTTGGAAATGTAATGTGATAGAAGATTAGAGTAGCATGAAACAGCATTACAACAACAGTTCTACAGTATCCTTAACTTTAGTTATTTTCTATCACTCACTGTAACCCATCCTTGCATGTTTCTGTGGGGGTCCTAATAACATGCCTGCCTCAAATGTAGTTGTGTTGCACTCTCTTAAACGGATGCTTAGTTATTGGTTTGAAGCTTTTGGAGATAATTTACATTTTAAGGTATCCAAACTTTGACTCATATGAAGTAGGAAAGTGATTTGGCTGAACTAAAAACGGGCTGCTACGTGTGATCGGTTGTTTTAACATATTTATTTGTGGTGATGCTGTTACCCGCTGCTCAAAATACCTCACGACTTTAGCTGAAAAAATGTCCTGTAATTAGCTGAGCAGCCCGCTGTGTGTTTGTGCTCGTGTTTCTGTGTGAGTGTGTTGATGCGTTTGAACCTTGAAAGAGCTCTGAAGTCATGGGCTCGTTGATGAGTTCAGGAGCTCCGTCCATGAGAGCTACAGCGGCCTCCAGGTTATCAGTCATCACGGCGACATGGAGCGCCGTCTCCCCGAGAGCTCCTGTGGGACGGGATCACCGCTTGAGACGTTGCAACCGACTCAGAGCTGCTGTGAAATACAGTCACGGCTCAGCCTTACCTCTCTCGAAGATGTTAGTGGACGCACAGCTCAGCAGTTTCTTGATGCACCCAACACTGTTCTTTTTAGCCGCGTAGAAGAGAGGAATATCATTTATACTGGAAAAAGAAGAGAAACATGAACAGTGTTTAAACAACAACATTGATAGAGTCAAATGTATTGTTGGACACAGTGGAGAAGGGTTTTTTACTATTTTGTGTGTAGCAGAAACGTCTCATCCAACATCTGGTTCCATCCTTTCTTGTTTTGAAGGCGAAACCTCAGCTGGGTCCACCAATGGTTGAGCTCGCTGGGAGCGGATCTGGCCAGGGACGGAGACATCGACACCTGTCGTCTAGAGGAGACAAAAGTCGATGAAAAAGAGGGAAGCAGAGAATACAAACAGATAAATATGCAAGACAATAAAATAAAGAAGACAGCCATCATTTAGGACTCAAACATGGATTATTTCATTCATTGTACTGTTTTAAAAATAAAATAAAATAAAACGACAAAAAAAAGGAGAGAAGTGACTCAATCCCACCTTTAAACAATAAAAGTGCTGCTCCTCAGGTTCAGATGATCCTCAGTGTTAACACTCAAATTTAGAAGCACCTGTGGAATGGCCCATGAGGAGGACTGAAGTCCCACAGGCGTCACTGATATTTATGACCCCAGCCTTGAGGGAGGAGACATGTGGAAGTGCCAGAGAATGAATGGGTGGAGTGGAAGGATGAGTGATAAGCAGACAGGTGAGACAGAGAGAGTGATGCGGTTGTGAGCAGGTCGACTTTCACCGCAGGTCAGAAATCCCACAGGGAAAGTCGTGCTTTAGGATTCAACTCCTTCACCATGCTGATCAGACATTATTCGGCTGTAGTCTGTCACCTTTAAAAGTTAAGTGACAATGGTCCATTCTCTAATCACAGCATACATCTCTGTTACCACCAGGCTGGTCTACATTCCACCATCTACCACCAAAACCCGCATGACCACTATGAAAATCCTGCAACATCATTGTTTCTAGTGAGCCGTTAAAGCAAAACCTGTTTGGATTCTGCAAGCTTGTGTGCCTGAATGTGGCTTTGTAATTAAAACCTGATATTAAAGTGTGATTGTCCAACATGCATTCTTTGTGATGTTCCATTAGGGTCCAGAACTCTCTGGGTAAAACTGGAATTGTTTTGTGGAAAAGTTCTGTTTTCAAAAATCTAAGAAGGAACGCATGCACCAAACTAGTTTCATTCATAATGATTTAGCATGTTAGGTGCCATGATGGATGTGTCAACAGGAATTGTCTCTAACATGACAATTGCCACATTACAGAGACCATAATGATCATTTGGGGGGCTGGAAACATAATGCCAATTATCCTCTGAGGTTCTGAAAACAAAGCTCACAATACATTGAATGTTGTTTGGTAAGATTGTCATTCTTTATTCCAGTAAGAGTTGATTTGGCAAAAAAAAAGAAGAAAGAAAACAGATTTGATTTACCTGTGAATTATTTGTAAACTGCTTATTCAACTTTTTACAACACCTCTGGTCATCTGGGTCACATGTGTCGTAGGTGTTTTGCTGCACCATTTATAGGTGATGACCAGCAGGCCGGTCAGCCGCAGGTTAAACAGGGTTCAGGGAGACTCTAAAGGAGGCCCTGATAATGGTTCCCGACGTGGTCGTCATTTAGTATTGTGGAGATAATAGCTGTTTACCCGACAGAGAGCACCATCTTTGAGACGTGTCACAGAGACCTGTGGTTCCCAGTCTGTCAATGTCTTCACAAAGACACAATAACGCCATGAAAACATGATTTTGTGGTTTTGTGAGTCTCTTGTTTCTGGAGATACTTACCAGCATGTCTTTCACAACATTGTTAATATGAGTCGGGACACCACAGTAAACAATAATTACCGACATCTACCTTCATGACAGTTAACAGATGCTCCTATTCAGAGTGACTTAACACAATAGAGCTCAATACAAACTTTAACTAAACTTCTAAACCTTCACTACCCTCAATGTTTCTTAATTTCTCCCTTTGCACAATAATATTAGACTAAATGCCACATATCATATTCATTTTTCATATTCTCATATTATCTATAATACAGGAAGATATATTGTCAGCGGTATAATAAGTATTCAGAAAAAAGCATCTGGCAGAATAATGTGTGAGCGGTGTTGCTATCAGTACAGATCTGCTGTGATATCAGCAACAACGGGACATGTGGGAAACCAGCGTCTGTTCTTGGGTTACTGCGGATCCCAGCAGATCCCAAACTCAGATTTGACTCAAAGCTGCTGATCCGCGGAACCTGAAAGACGCAGAGTTCACTCTTTAACAAGGTGAAGGTGACATCGGTACATCAAGGTGAATACTGTATATCGCTACATATTGTGTCGTTGCACTAAAGCTAAAACTGGCATTTCAGTGAAGATATAGCTTATTTAGCAGCTTCTCATTAAAGACAGTAAGTAGGAATACGGTTGTCACTTGGCATCGCATAACTGTTTTAACCTTATGCACCTGTTCATTATAGCATGACGGTAAGTTCGAGAGTTATTGTCTGTTGAAAATGGCTCCAATTCTAAGATGTTAATGAAAGGTTGCGCAGGTCGCTCATATTTTCCCCTTTTAGTCTTTTTCATTATCTTGTTCAACAACCGTTGGATGGATTGATATTCACTGTTCCTGCTATGCTGCTACGAGGTTGTCACTTTTGGTTTTGACTGAAATATCTCAAGAACTTTTTGGATTGATTCACGTGAACATACAGGTTGACGTTCATGTACTTCAATGAGATTAATCCTATATTTGGGGATCACGCAGCTTTTCATTTTGCCCCCCTTCAGAATCACAATCAGAAGCCATTTATTGCCACGTATGTTACACATACAGGATTTTGTGTTGGTGATTGGTGGGAAATAAGAATAAAACACAATAAAATAACAGGCGTAGTCGGGGTGAGAAGGGTCTACAGTTCGGGGGGCTGCCCTTGGGATCCCCCAGTCAGAGCTGGTAGATGAGGTCTGGGGGGAAGGGAAAGGGAAGTTTGGGGTCACCTGCTGGAGCTGTTGCCCCCGCGTCCCGAATCTGGATGAGTGGTTGAAGATGGATGGATGGAAAATAACTATATAAAAATATACAATCAAAAATGAACAATACAAAACAGTTAATAGGAGTATGTTAAAACATGTCAAAATTGATATTTGTCAAACTTATGACTAAAGAAATCAGCAAATCAGCTGCAGCTATACTCAAAACATAAACATAAAATGTGAGCCTGCTAAACATGCTGAACGTTAGTGGCGTAGTATTGTGCGGATCATCTTATGGTTCTGTAGCAAAATAATCATAAGTCAGCGTGAGAGCTTTTACACCTTCTGACTAAATCACTTTAGCCACAGCATGAAGTTTACATGATTTTCTCTTCCCAAGTCACATTTCACACTGAATAGAATATCACTTGAGTAGCTGATGAAACATTAGGACACTGGAGTCGATAGCGTGCAAAAAGAAGAGGCAAATAGCAATACATTAAATAAAATCAGATTTATTTTACAAATTTGCACAATTTTCTGGAATAACGGTGAACACTCACACGAGTAAACATAGGTAATATTGTGTGTAGCCTGACACACTTCAACACACACACTCACTCACACGGCGTCATATAGACTATATAAGTGGTGCGCACATACACAGCCTCATTTACAGCACAGACACACAGGTGCGCACTCGCCTCCTTCCTTCAAGTGTAAATCAGATCCAAATTTGTCAGTCTTCCCCATCTCACACATTCACATCACTTCAATGACTTCAATGTCCTTAATCTAGCAAGCCAACAAAAAAGAGAAGAGGTGAAGTGTGAAATGTACACATAAAGGTGGGTGCTGTTTGGTTTCAGAGGAACGTTTATCTTTGCAGCTGAGGTGAAGTTGGTCGTATTACTGTACATGGACCTTTTAGTCTCCGAGAGACACAAAAGAGAGAGTGAGAATTGTACAAACTGGGCTGCTCTTAAACACTGGAGATCTTTTAAAGAGATAAAACATGGCCTTCAGCGTTTAAAAGCATTTTCGTTTTATACGTCTCTATTGCAGTGATTCATATCTAACTTCAGGGTTAGCCTCACTGATTTTAGAGTGAACAAACTGTACATTTTTCTTTTTTAGCTTTTTAGTGGAGAGGAAGTGATCTTTACAAAGAACCCCAAAATATTAGAAAAAGGCTTTGATTGTCGTCACGCAATTCTTTGAATGCTCACAAAAAAATGTTTTCACTCAACGAGGGCTGGGGAAATTGAAAAGGGGGGGAAGGTAGTGGAAGAGACGGTGAGAGGTAGGATTGCAGATGGGTGAGGAGTCTGGAAGGCCAACAACAAATAAAATCTAGTGGAAAACATGGAGGATTCTTTAAAGTCCTCCTTCTCCTCAGCACCTCGCTTTGACCTGGACTGCGGCTCCCACGGTGCATCGCTCCTTTTATTTGTGGTGAGTGACCGGCAGGAAGTCCGATCCTCTTTTTCACCCCATCTGGTCGTAGTGTCGGCTGTATAGAAGAATATACAGAGTGGCGCCTCGATGCTTCTCCTCGAATAAAAGCTGATTCTCGTTTTGTCTTTTGGCTTAAAATGTGCTCCATCGAAGAAGAAAAAAACAAGTGAGACCAGACACATCAAGCAGAAGTGTGAACACCACAGAAATCCGTGGGACGGGTTGGGCTGAAGGAGGATTTCACACCTCCACCTGCCCCTGCGTCAGAAAGGCTCTGAGCTGCTGGGCAGCACTGACGATCTTCCTCTGGTGTCCCAGCAGGTTCACCCCGAGGTTCTGGACATCTCTGAAACAGAGAGCAGACGGAAGCGCAGAGGCTGGATGAACACTGCAGCTTGTACTGTATATTCTAAAGGGCGCTGGTGGATTTGCATGTGTTTGTACATAAAAGCCTGCAGCGGCTGATTTGATCTAGCGCTTTGTATTGCTATTCAAATCAAATCCATTTTGCCTCGATTCAACGTTTAATTTTAAAACACACACAGTGAACAAAGATTGTTATTCATCATTACACAAGTGTGTCTCGGGCCGGTGAACTACAGACCAGGTGTAGCCATGCGAGCTCAGGACTTCCATCACTTACACTTCTTCACCTGCAGGATCGCGTGAGACCAACCAGCCAGACGGCTGATTGCTAAACGGTTGGTTTAGAAAACCAAATGAAGTAATTTATTTCAACTCATGAAAAATGGGAGCAAATGTATTGCATTTTTATTTTTGTTTACTGTAGTTTTTACAGCTCAGCTTCTCCTCAATTTGTCAAAGAACACTTGTTGAGTGTCACTTGTTTGAGCATGAAAGTTCCTTATTGACCTTGGAAACATTTCCAACAATAAATAAAAATACAGCCACCAGTCCTCTTCTCTAAGTGAACATCTGTGTAACACGCATCCGTACTTACTCCATGCTGAGCATGCTGACTCTGTCCAAAGTGTCGAGGTGTGCCTGATCAAACTCATCCTGATATCTCTCCATCCTCAAAGCCTTCAGCCAATCACCGACTGTTGCCACGGCCGTCAGGTCTGTGGGCGTGGGGCTGAGCAGTGGCTGAGAGCAGCTCCTGCCAAGAGGGGAAATGTCAATACAGAGGGAATAACAACCGGGATATATTGCCATGAAGCTCCCGTCTCACCGAGTTGGCTCCACCTTGAGGGAGGCGGGGTGCCTGATGAGCCGATCCAAGGAGGAGAGCAGCGAGTCGAAGCCCGGCCGTTCCCCGCGATCATTCTGCCAGCACTGGAGCATCAGAGAGTGGAGGGCAGAGGGGCAGTTGTGGGGGGCCGGGAGACGATATTGATCTGCAACTGCCTTCATCACCTGCAAAGAAAAGCGAGTGAGACACTGGACATAAGGAGGGCAGATGGTGTGAGGAGCCTTGTGTAATTGCCTTACATAAAAGGTCACAAACCACTGAGGGTTTTGTAAAGGGTGACTAAGAGAAAATTATGCAAATTCCAGCTGCTTGGCATTTAGACGCCACTCAAATTATTGTATTTAATCAAAACGGGGATGGTGGTAAGGCAAAAAGTGCTTTAAAAACACAGCTTTTATGCACTACTACTATTCATAAAATATGTTAAGCCAAAAAGCAGCATTAGTACATTTTTGTATGTTTTTTGTTTGTCACTTTGCTGATTGGCTTCTACAATTTTTCTCTAGTAAATTGTACAGCTACAAAGAAATATAATTTTAAAATAAAACCCCATAAATCTTAATTTTGTAGTTTAGTACTTCTTTAATTTTGAGTGGGAAATCTGGATCATGCATGAAAGCAAATAGTGGATGTTGCGGCTGATGTTTGGTGCCACCGTGGCTCCTCGTGACTTTTAATGTTATCACACTATGGCAGTTAAACTTGCACTTAAGCACACGATTTGAGTGCATTCCCATCATTAATTGATCAGGACATCCTCTGCTCAGGCAACATTCTCCTACACACTCACTTCTTGATTGCTCATGTCCCAGTATGGACGCTCTCCATAAGACATCACCTCCCACATGAGGATGCCAAAGCTCCAGGCGTCGCTGGCCGAGCTGAATTTGCGATGCTGAAAGGCTTCTGGTGCGGTCCACCTCACAGGAATCTTACTGCCCTGATGGAGGACAAAGGCACACGGGGGGGAAATATGTTAAAATCATGTTGCACTGGAAGCACAAATCAGAAGCATTAATACTCCCTCCTCCAGAACGTACCAACGAGGCGGTGTATGTCGGGATGTTGTGGTCCAGGCCCCTCATGAGTCGGGACAGGCCAAAGTCAGACACTTTACAGACCAGGTTGGAGTTGACCAGCACGTTCCTGGCCGCCAGGTCCCGGTGGACAAAGTTTCTCTCAGAGAGGTAACGCATCCCTGCACCGACTCCTCTGAGCATCCCGATGAGCTGGAGGACGCTGAACTGGCCCTCGTTCTCCTAGAAAACGGCAGAGGGGTTCGAGAGGCGTTTCAGGTTTTGCTGTGATCGAAACGCTGCAGTGACCAGCAACGGACGGCGTGTTGTTGTCTCACCCTGAGGAAGGCGTCCAGAGGCCCGTTCTCCATGAACTCAGTGATGATCCTCTCCGGGGAGGTGTGAGTGATCACGCCCTCCAGCTTCAGTACGTTGGGGTGGTCAAACTGTCCCATGACCCCTGCTTCACTGAGGAACAAGCCCCTCTCCCTGTCGGACGCCCCCCAGCGTATAGACTTCACGGCCACCAGCAGCTCCCTGCGACCCATCGGACGGTAGCGGCCCCGAGAAACCTCGCCAAACTGGGCTGGGGTGGAGGGAATGGGAGAGGGGTTGATCAAATTACAATGCGCTGATAATTATTGCACAGCTACGATACGGATTAAAAGTGAGAATCGTGCCGACCTGCACCGATCACCTCCTCGATCTTGAGATGAGTGGGATCTATTTCACGGGCAAACTCCTTGACGGCCTCACTGGGGTCATCATAAGTGGAGGGGTCCACGTAATATTTAACCGCACCTGGAATAAAAAGGGTTTTTATGAACAAAGTATTTTTTTTATCCCTTTATTTATTCACATGATACAAGGTTGGGACGATCTGTCCCTGCACAGCAGAGGGACCTGATTTTACACTATGAAGGACACAGACACAGTACGTTATTTCTAAGAATAAATTTGCATTATTTATTTCATTTTATGACACATGGAAAGAAAAGAAGATCAGAAAGTCTTTTCATTTGATCCTATATTTGTAAAAAGGGATGTCAAGCAAGTAATTGTAATGAGACAGATCAAATCAAACCTCCAAATCATATAAAATATTGTTCCAATAGGTGACATTTTGCACAAAGCAAACACCTCACTTATAATTAAATCAGGTTATTAAAAAATACTTTCAACTATAACTAGATTGTATTAAATCCAAGGTGGAAATGCTCACCTCGGTTACTGATGTACCTCTGGAGTCTGTCGCTGTAAGGACTCTCTCTCCTCTTTCTGCCATGTAAAAAACAAACAAAATGAATGAATGTGCATGAGATTAAAAAATAAATATGCCCATGGATACAAAATAATATGCCCATGGATATAAAATATGCCTGATCATGTGTCAATAACCTACCTGCGAAATACCACCACAACTACAATCGCCGCCACCACCAGCAGAAATGCTGCTCCGCCCATCACTGAGCCGACCAGCAGGGGAAGCCGGTTCTGGATCTGATGAGAATGTTCCTCTGTGGAACGGAGAGTGAGAAAAACCATCACGGGTTGATGTGTCATTGAGTCAGCCTTCACAATAATCCTTTCCACAGCTGGAAGTTCTGGAACTGTTGTGGCTGTGACTGATGTTATTTGTTATTAAGTTTGTAGAATGTAGCCATTTTATTTCCACTTACAGTGGAATCTGAATCGAATCTAAATCATGGACCATGGTTGTAATTGTAATTTTACTTTAAACTTTTTTCACTTATTTCAAGTTATCTCTGAGATCTTCTTGGAAAAAAATGTCTTTGTTTTCAGTTATATTTCCAGTAACTAGTCACGCTGTCCTTATATTGCATCTGACTTTAACACAATTCTTGTGTACAATATTGATCAATCCCAGCTGTTCACTTGTGTGTTAATTGCAGGATTGCTCCGTGACTGGAAAGTGTGCGTGTGGGACTTGTACCCAGAGGCAGCGTGGTGAAGTAGACGGTGCTGCTGTAGGGGCCGTAGCCGCGTTCATTGCGAGCTCTGATCTGGAAGGCGTAGATGGAGCCGGGGATCAGAGGGTTGATGGTCACCGTGTTGGTCTCACTGTACACACTCGCTGCGCTGTCCACGTCTGAACCCTGAGGGACAAAGAGGAAGGACGTTTTTCAGGGAACCCCTCGCTGTGAGTCAGTTCGGCCACTTGTGCGGCAAGTATATTTCAGGACTAAAGTACCTTGTCATAGTATCTAAGCTGGTACTCCAGGATGTCTCCGTTGGGCCTGTCCGGCTGAGGCCACGAGAGAGTGATGGAGTCTGGCGCTCGGCTCAGCTGGTGCATCATGGGAACTGTGCTGGGAACTGTAGGGGACGGAACAGATGACTGACGTTTGAGCAATTAAGTTTCCCCCGAGGGACGTGATGATTGATCATTCAACCTGTAACAGTCCCGTTGTGTTGAGATGGACCACAGGGGGGCGATGTTAAAGAACTGGATAATATGTAGTACAGCAAAAGAAGTGGAGCAGCATGCAGCATCTAGTTACAGGACCAGTTCAGTGAACTCTACGACAATCCTTCATTAAATCAATGCGATCTAATAGCAGACCTAAGACCTTTTTCATCTACGGTCATGAAGGCGTTTAATCTTTATTTGTGCATTTGGAAAATCACATAATAGTCTACTTTGTCTGCACAATGCCCCGCTCTACTCTCCTCCCCCCACTGGTACACTTTCATCCCTCTTTCTGTCTGTCTTTTTGTCTTCCCATCTCTCCTTTCTCCCTTTCTTCCTCCACAGTGACTATAATGGGATCTGACAGGATATTGTAACCTCGAGCAACCTCCTGTCCAGAGATCAGGAGGAGAAAAGATGGAGCGGACGGAGAGAAAAAGAGAGAGAGAGACACACACACACACACAGAATCACAGCACACACAAACATGATCATCAGAGCATCTCTTTTCTTTCATCTCTTGTTTTTTTTCATCCTCTCTGTCCAGCGCTCACCTGACTGGCTCGTTGTGAAATTGATGCTTGTGTATCGAGCTGGAAAAGGACTCAAAGCTGACACCTCATTCATGGCTTGCACCTGCCAGTGAGAAGAACACACCGACATGGCTTGAAAAGTCTCTTTGTTGTTATGACATGCTTGTTTGACAAACAAAGCCACACACGTGCAGCTGTGTCGGGCCAGGAAACCCCGGTAAATGGGAAATATCCGCCATTTATGAATAAGAAATAAGCTATGATTTCGTTGGGTTTGCACAATCTAAATAATAAATATTACTGTGCATTCGGAGCTTATGGCGTAATGTGGCTCAGAGGACTTTCCTCATCGTGGCTCTGGGAAATGTTCCAGCAAAAATTGAGTTGTCCAGTGGGGATTCCAAAAAGAAGATGGTATTTCCGTATTTCATTTCAATGAAAGGGTGTTAAGGAACCTCGAGCCATTCACAAAACGTTTCTCAAAAAAGCCTCTCAAGGGCCCATTTCAAAGGTTATTACTGTAAAACCGACTCAGAATACAAGGTGATGCACGGTTGACGGGTAGTACCTGTATGAGATATGTGACTCTGGTCAGCAGATTGTTGAGGGTGACCTTGGTTTGTTTCAGGTTTGTCTGGGCGGGGCTGAAGGTCACGCCCTCTCCGCACCAGGAGCACGCCGCCGGGTTTGAGAAGGTGGCCGAGGGGCAGATGCGACACACGACTCCGTACCACACTTCGCTGCGGCCTCCCATGTCCACTGGAGGACGCCATCTTAAGGACACCCCGCCGTCGGCGCTCTCATACTCCCAGGACAGAGAGGCCGGAGCAGATGGAGGAGCTGGACAGAGGACAGAGAGGAGGGGAGAAGTTCAACGTACGTAATGCAAGCTGCTTCCTGGCAAAGACAATCCAGTTACATGAAACAAAGTTTTCCCATGACACAATTTTGTGAGAAAATACTGCTGTATTCCATTATATTAGAGTAAAAATAATAACTCATCCGTTGCATTTCAATTCTCACAGTCTGAGTGGACGACAAAGGCAAAAGAGAGGCACTTGAACGCACCTCAGAGCGGCCAGCATCAACAAACAAACCAACAAAGCTCACTTGTGCAGTCAGAAGAGTTGGCGTCGTTGGCTGCTCGGTAAAACGCGCTGCGACATTCACACACACTCGACCCCTCTTGGCCGGTTCTGCTGTTGGACGGACACACCGAGCAGGGCGTGGAGCCCGCCTCGGACTTGAAGTAGCCCACCGGACAAGCTGCAGAGAGACACAACAGCGTTTGAGTATCATGTATCAGTACAGGTTTGATTGAAGGTTCCAGAATATGTAAAACATCTATTTTGACCTCACAAGGACCACATGAACCTTTCCAATCTCATGTACCACAAACTGTTTTTGAGTAAAGCATGAATTCCATCTTGGTTTGTTGTTCCCATTGAGACAAAAGTGCATCTAGAACAACATTGTTTGTTGTTGGTTTTGTATAACGCAGTCCTTTACAGAGGAAGTGGCTCGCGTTAGCTGGCAGCAGCAAAACCACCAGTCGACACGTTTGAATTCAATTTGACCACAAAGACAAAGAGTGTAGTTTTGCGAGTCGCTTTCTTGCATTGACTGACCTGAGAGGATTAATTTAAGTCTCGTGTTGTTACATACGGAAAACATCTATTCAAGCCACTGTGTGTCATTTTTCCACTGGAGATTCTCCGGGTTAAACAAATTGCAACCTGTTAATACGTTTTAGAGATTAGAGGTCCTACTAATAGGTTGATTTTTTATTACATTTTTATAGAGCCAGGCAAGCTTTTGCTGTTTCAAGACTTTCTGCTAAGCCACGCTGACCAGCTGCTGGCTTTAGCCTTACATTTAAAAAACGGATTTGAGAGCGGAATAAATCCTCTCAACTAACTCGCCAAAACTCCTAAAATGACAAACTCTTCCTGTGAGATGTGGCTGGATTTTCTCAATCTGTGAAGGAACATTTTAACAGACAATAGATTCTCTACAAAATCCCATAATAGTCACGGTTATACATGTGTATAATTACTCCCTGATAAAAAAGAAAATCTGTTATAAGGAATTGTATGACTATCTCAGAATAAAGTGATGTAATCCATTAAATCTATAGTGAGGTTCAAAGCATGCGTTTCTTTATCCCTCTCCATCTCTCACACACACACACACACACACACACACACACAGAAAATACCATCTCAACCTGCAGGCTGTTATCCTGAACTGATGTGTGTTTTACGGTGGAAAATCTGTGAAATGCGGCAGTTGTTAACGTCAAACGCGGGACAGCTGAGCGCCGAGGTCAAGATAACGCACACGGCAAGCTGCTGCATCCGCCGCAGCTGCGTGCGTGCTCGTCCTGAGCGGGATGATGAAAACACCAAGAGCCCGACGCCTCCGGGTCGGTCTGCTCCCATTTTCACAGTGTGAAACGCCCAAAAGCCGAGTCAACTACAGGTTGCTTCCTTTGTCTCCAGCAGTGTGTTAGTGTTCACAGACACTTGCTACCAGCTTTAAAGTAGGATCCTCTCATATGTTATTAAACAAAGGGATGGAAGAGAGAGCACGAGCATACGTGCTCGTGATGGTCAGCAGGAATGAACCCCTCACCTTGTTTACGTAACCTTGTCAGGAACATTGATTCCATTTGACGTACCGGTATGTGCGCGTGGATGCATGTGTGTATCCTGGCTGGTGTCTGGGAGAAGTGGATAAAATGGTAAGACGTGAAAGCTGGCAAAGAATAAACAGATAAAAGGCTTTCTGTGTTCTCACTTGTCTCAGAGAGCTGACTTTGCTTTCAAACAGGTGTGAAAAGGAGAAAAAAAAAAGGGAGATAGAGAGAAGATCGCAGAGGGAGAACGAACTGGAAAAGGGGAAGAAGGGAACATGGAGAAGGACGGGCCAAGATGGTCGTTGGACAAATAGTGGGATTACGTATATGAGCGCCTGATGACGGGTGAAGGAAAACGAGGAAACAGAAGGAAAGAGGAGAGCGAAACGTCCCACTTTTCCTCAATCTTTCATGTCCCGGCTGCACATTACCAGATGTGTCTGTTACGGCTCCTGACACGAGACACGACTCTGCTGCACAGCCTCCCATCGGCGCTACGAGCTCTGGCGACCACTTGACCCCCACCCTCCACCCCATCCTCCTCCATCCTCCCCCATCTCCATTCACCTGATTACAGCAGCCAATGAACGTGCAAGTCCTCTGCCCTCTTGTGCCTGATGTGCACCCCCCCCCCCCCCCCAACCCCCCACGACGGCTAAATCCATCCATCTCTCGGCCACGGCCACAATGGCAGACACACAGATGCCTTCGCGTCACACATCAGTACACTCTGGAAAGTAAGAAGTTGATAAATATCCACCAACAGACAGACAATAACGTGTAAGCAATTTTTTTTTAAGAGTTAACACATAAGAGCTGAACTGATTACTTCATCTTCAGAAAAATAACATTTACGCAAAATGAACATTTACATGACATTGAGTAATTGTTCCAGCCAAAAACTAGATAGCTCAAGCTTATTTTATGTGTGGTTTGTGTTTTATATCATCTTGAAAAACATATATTCGTGTTTTGGGGGAAAAGAAACCTTGAAGATGACATCCTTAGCTGTGAGAAATGTAGATGAGCAAATAATCGGAAATAAATCATAATTTGCTGCTCGTACTCACAAATTCTGACAGCTACTACTAGACTAAACAAAAGAGGCAAGGTGACAAAATCTAAGAATCAGAATAAAAAACAGCAGCAAAACAAAAAAAAAATGTAATTGATTACATGGCAATTAAAGGACAACAAAATGAGAAAAAAAAACAACAACAGGTAGAGCCACGAATGGATAGACATTTACACGAAAAAGGATTGTTTTAGCAAAGACTAAATGTAAAAGCAAATTGAATCCTAATAAGATGAAACTCAAACACAGTAGAAAGCTTTTCTGAGAAGAGGAACATGATTAGAATGAAGTGGGTAGTTTGATGTTAGTATAACACTTTGGTTTGTAGACCGCTGACCCAATTTCTCTTTTTCTCTTCCTCCCTCCCTGTTTCATGCGCTCATTCCCTCTTTTGGCTCCCAGCCCTCCCCCCCCCTCCCCCTCTCTCTCTCTCGGACACATAAACTCACATAAGCTCGGTCACAGATGCAACCACACAACAGGAGAGATGAGCACACAGGGTTCTAACAGTAAAGGTCTCATCCTATTCTATAATGCTTGATTTGATTTCCATATAATCTGCATATGTAAAAGAAAACAATGCTTTGATTTGATCATGTACAAACAAATCTTCACAGAATATGGACTGTAGTATGGCTGAAAACAGCGGGTGGGCTTTATTTAAAAATAGAAAAAAATCCCTGTCCTGCACAAATGAAAAAATAAAACAAATCCCATGATTTAGATAAATCATAACCCCTCCTCCCGTCCAAAAGAAAACATATGCAAAATGAGATTGTATTTCACATACTGGATTTTGCAAGTTCCCATAAGCAGCACGTCTCTTTGAGGCAAACATCCATTTGAAAGAAAAGTGAGATTTACGATTACACTAAAGAGATTACACGTCACAAATTATACTAATTATAAATGGACCTGTAATCGTCTATATTTCAGTGGATGGATATTTTTGTTTCTCTTTTGCATGCCGCTTTTGTCCTGCTGCGGGCCAACTCAGGTTGGATGAGCAGATTATTCACTTTATAAATTAAAAGCATCACTTATTCTCACGTCTAGCAGACTCTGCAAAGATACATTTGAAGTCAGATCCCCCAAATAATGTCTGTGGTGAAAACAAGCTTGAGAAATTGTAACATAATACCACAAATAGTAAATATCGCACTCATGAAGTTTGAAGCTTTTAAGTCTCTTAAAAAAGGCGGTTGCTAACAAATGGCCACATGAAACTACGTCCCTGCTGGAAAAGAGTCCACCTTGAGCTTAATGGCCGTGATGTGAGGTCAAGCGGCCGTGGTGAAGTTCTTTTTATAACCTCACATTATTTTTGTGCTTCTAGCTGTTTTATTTACCCACAAAAATCCTATGAGCGGTGTTCATTTGTGAGGATGATCTCGCTGAACAAAATGTGTGAGTATAAAAGATCATTAAAAGAGTATTTTCTACAATAATCCAAAATAAATAATAATAATATTCAAAGATCCAATTGTCTTTGTGTCGACAAAAATGGAGTGACGCTAACTTCTGGGTCGGACCACAATAATACGTAATAATACACAACAGCACTTAATAGAAAATAGAAAGAACATTTTTAAGATAACGTGAGTAGATGAAACTGAGTGTCACTTTTGTTTTTGTGCTCGTCGAGCCTCGAGCACCCTGGAGATTTGTGCTCATGACCTCAGCACTTCTGAAATCACTTTTAAAGCAATTCTGGCTGGAAAGAAAGTTTAATCTACTTGCTCTTATGATCCAACGAGCTCATAAATCACTGATCTTGTTGCACGTGATCAGGATCAATTGCCATCATTGCCCAGCTACTCTCCTATTGCGAGGTCCAGCCACCTGTCAATACTTGATCTCATTGATCGTTTCACCCGACTACGTTTTGCTCAAGGCTTGATCTTTACCGATCGACTGCAAAAGCTACTGTCGACATGTCAACATTGATCCACATTGATCCATCACTTGACATTTCACAGTAGGTGAAAATGATGCTGAAAATGGCATAATCTGAAAGGAGGAATGGAAAAAGTCTAATTTACTAGGTTCTTTGAGTAAGAAATCAATGCTGTTTGGAAAAAAGTTTCTTTTTTGAGGAGTCAGAGGAATCAGTCATCACAATAATATCACGCTCGCACTCTTACTTCATCCCTCCTCCCCTGGCCAAATGTTCCTGTTGTTCAACACAAACAAGCCACCGGATAGTTAGTGGATGTGTTTGTGCGTTCCGGGTGACAAATCTGGACAATCTGAGGTGTTGAATAATTCAGTCGAAAGCCACAGAAAATATCAACATGGGTCCAAATTAACTCAGAGCCCAATTGGGCATTCAGCACTAATCCTCGTCCCAAAACCCTCGACAGTAGCTGAATGTTTCAGAGGGAAGGAGCTCGCCTGAGGACGAAGTTCTACTTCAACTCGGGGAACCCGGAACTAAAAGACTGTTTCATGTTCGGCTGAACCGGTGTAATTGTGTCTCACGCTCAGTCGTGTTTCCGCTTGTTGCCTCTCTGCCTCTCCGTCTCCCTTGTGAGATTCAAATGTCACAGGATGAAATCATCGGACAGCTGCTGCTTGTCTTCTGCTTCTGTCTTTAGCATTTTTCAGGAGACTGAAGATGAGTTTTTATCCCAAAAAAAATAATTCTACATGTCTTTGACTGGATTCCAACCACTTGGATGGTTTAGGTGTCGTGTGTCTGCTGTTCATGGTGCGCGAGGTCCAACTAAATTAAAAACACAATGTAGGTTTTATTCCAACCGAATATGTTACAGTCATATAATCATGTTATATGATGACATGTTACATATCAAGAGGACAAATAGAAAAAAGGAAATAAGTTCAAAATGTAGGTACCGGTCAGTGTGATAAAAACTGTTTTAAACTAAATGCATTTGGTTTAAGATGCAAGATGTAAGTGGAAAGTGGTCAGTTTACTTCTTGATAAAATGTTTTATTTCCCCTCAAGTGTTCTAAGCGCCGGCAGTCCACTAAAAACAATGTCCATTTTTGTTTTTTAAATACAATCTGTTCTCAATTCGAGCTATTATTAAATGTCCTTGGTGCTTATTTCAAACGATAACAACATTTGAATAGTTAAGAACGTTTTTCCGCTCCACTTTGCGGTGAGAACAAGGATCGGCTACTGTTAATAATTCCTCCCGACTGGATTGCTAGTTAACCATCTGCCTCCTTTCCCAACATTCCCACGGACAACAATGCAATGATGCCAATCCACATCATTAGTCAAGTGAAGTGATCAACAAAACATAATCAAATCAGAGTTGGAACAAAAAGCCGGAGCAGCAGCTCGGGGGGGGGCGCGCGTTAGATCAGTCACAGACCGTCACCGGGGGCCGTGCTGAGGGGTTATTCCAAATATCATTCAAACGCCGGACAAATGCAAGTGGCGGTCCGAGTGCAGATGTAAGCATGAACACGTTTCACAGCTGACTTGGCTAAGATTGGAGGATTAATTGTGCCGGGGCCTAGCTCGACTTTTAAGGGGGCCTGTGTGCAAGGGAGCTTATCAATTATGGCCATTGAAATTCCTGGTGGGCTTTAGTTTTAATCCCAGACATATGTGGAAAGCAAATATCAGCAACGCAGCGATTTACACTCAAGCACTGCCGCTCGCTCGCACAAAGATACAATCATCCACTCTGCTGCCTCCGCAACCTCAAACATTTTTTCTTCTTCTTCTCAGTTCTTTAAGTCATTAACTTGCATCCTCCTATCTTTCACTCTCCCCCCGCCTCTCCCTGTTTTCCCTCCACTCCCCCGCTCTCCCCCTGCGGTTTCTGTCACTTGTTCACAGACGAGTGGCCTTTCCATCGCCATGACCTAAATGTGTCACATCCCTCTCACGGTGGTTCTCTTCCTCTCCTCCTGCTCTCTCCTTATATCTCTTCACCGTCCGTCTGGACAGCTCTCGCAGGATTTTGTCCTGCTTCTTTTTTTCCCCACTCATACACACTTTGAAAGTGAAAATATGTATTGACCACCTTTGCAATTGCTGGCCATTACCTCTACTATTCTACTATCCAGAAAGGTTTTGCTGAAAGTAAATTACCTATTTAACAGCTTTATATTTCTAGTTGTATTTCTGTCAAATGTTCTATATATTATAGAATATATGCAAACGTTACATCGCTAAAAACTCACTGCATGGATACAATATTGCCTCTGCTCGTCCCCTCGCTCCCCTCTGGTCTGCACATCAAACACAGTTGTGTATGAGAGAGACAGCAGCTCCTCTTGATATTGATCCAGACGCTTCGTATCTCAGCAAATGCCACAAAGAGAACTCACAGGAAGTCAAAAATCAATCAATCAATATTATATTTGAGCTTGAAAGAGATCAAACAGAGTAACTACTTTAGGCATTTACAGAGGAAATAATGTGATAACGATCAGATGATCCTTTATAAATTATCAGGAATCGATAAACATTTAATTAGTCCAAGTGTATTAGAACATTGGCAAAAAAGCTAATATTTCATCACGGCCAAATTTACCGTATATGTAAGCGATAAGCTAATGGTTGTAATTCACCGCGGGTCATAAATAAAACACCTTGTCTATCTGATCCACTGCATGTCATGCTGCCCCCCCCCCACTTAACTTAGCTACTCCTGTTATTTTGGATTCAACGCCCTTAAATGGAACAACTCAAAATAATTTTTGACAAATTACAAATGAAATACTTTTTCTAAGAATGTCCCTTAGAAAATGTCTGCGCTGTTGTATGACATCTTGTAAACCTTCAAGCTTTTTCAAGTCTCATAAAATAAATGGTACCATTTTGAAAACTACTAAACTAATAATGGAAAATGTGCATTAAAAACTGGAGAGTTAATCTTGTTGCATGAAAATGAAAATGACAACGTCACTCATAAGGAGGCCGTGATACTGCAGCTACTTCATATCAGGATGACATTCTTTGAACTTACCCAAGCAGGCGGATCCGTTGAGGTTCTGATCATGACCTTCATCACAGACGCACCCGCCGACGGGAACCATCCACTCCCCCTCAGTATTGCAGTGCATTCGAGGGGGCGTGCCCCCCTGTGCTTTACTGTGGGGGACACATGTCCCGCTCAGGGGCACCAAGGCGGTCGGCTCGGCCCCTGAAGGGGTCGCCGGGTAGGACGCCAAGTGCACGCTGGTGGCCGGACAGCGGCGATAGAAGATCGACACCCCCATTAGGGACACGCAGGCTCCGCTGTCAACGACGGCCAGCACGAATCTGAAACAAGGGTCACGTGTTGAAACGGGGCCCGTTTAGGGGGGGACAATGTTAGTAAAGCGTGAGCTGCGGAGCGCGGGGAGGATTACCCATTGCGTGTGAGTGGGCCAAAACTGCGTGTCTTGATGTTGATTCGGCTGTATCGGTTGGGTTGATACTGGTGAGGTGAACTGGGCTCCACCTTCGAGAAGCTCTTGTCAGCCGCGATGGTGTCGATCTTCACCCACCCCTCCCTGGTGTCCTTCTCGCCGTTGGACGGCTGAGGTGAGGAAAGGACAGAGCGGACAGCCGCCGGCAGAGGGAAAGATCATTCAGTGAAAACGAAATAGCACGGAGAGAACGTGTGGTTGACGGGGGCAACGAGGAACACTCAACCAAAAGCAAACGATGGACGTTAAAATGAGCCTGTTGATGCCTCAAGGGGACGAGTCTGCGTGTCTGTCTAATGGCCCTCCGTCCAATCGACGGCTCACTTGGCGGGTGTATAGCTGAGGATTCAAGGTCAAGTCAAGTGTCGAGCGAGCCTCTTTAAATCAATGGGACATGTTTGTTAGTAATACTTTACTTACACACACTGCGTCGTTTATTTAGTGCCTTTAGTGCTTATTATAGTCCAAGAACATATAGAAAGAGAGGCCGTACAGCTAAGGGCAGATATATCAGCAATTTTCTCATCCGATGGACTTCACACTTTGCAAATGTATTTGACTGAGGACCAAAAGAGGTGTTGAGTGCGAGCTCTTGAGATCTGCTGGACACATTTCTTAGCAGGCTGTTACAAAGTGCACCCTGTACTGCACATACTGATGGGACCACTGTTAAACGTTAAACACCACTAAAGCGCGTGCAGCCATGCAGCCCCTTTCCGACGGGCCCATTTTGAACGAGCACTGCACATGACAAGATGAAGAGAGTTTTTCCCAGAGTAAACATTGACTTGCATGTATGCAGGTCCCGGTGGGGGTTTGTGCTCAAGTCCCTGTGATGACGTTCAGCGCCGCAGTGCTTCCTGACTCCCGTCGGATTCCTCATCAAGCCCTGATTTACATTTTTAAAAAGCATCTCAGTTCCTTAAGGAGAAACGCTTCCATTCATCCTGCGACTGTGCATGTAGCTCAGGCCATTCAGACGAGTAGCTCAAAATGTCCCCGAAAAGAACACGACTAAATGCATAAATGAATAAAACATTTTTTGGTCAGTGTGAGTCACTTAAAGAAATGCCTCGTTGACGACACACGAGTTTTCGGGCAGCCGGCTGCAACGAATGTAAAACGGTCACATTTGTAAACTTTATGCCTCCGAGATGTAATTAGTGGGATTGAAGTGACATTTCTGGAGACCGCAGTGGCACATTTTAGCATTTTGTAAGCCGCAGTCTTCAACAAGTATGTGCTTCACACCGTGTTTCATTCTCAACAGCTTTTCTTGACGAGCGCGGCCATAATCAGGATGATTATACAATTACTCCTCGTCATGGAATGATTGGAGATTTTGCAGCTTTGGAGTCACATGAGCACAACACCAATAGAAATTGCATTTTACTTTATGATTCTTTCTAGTAAAGAAAATAGCTGGTGGAAACATGGTCTGTTGAACTGCAATAATACAGATTGAAACTGAGGCAAAAAAAGCTGTAAATGTCACGGGTGCGGGTGGGAGGCAGGACTCAAACGCAGACTTGTCGAAAACAAAAAGACTTTAATAGTCCAAAGGCCAAAAACACAGGATCCAGGGGAAAAACAGCAGGCGGGAAACTCCGCGACGAAAGACAAGGACATGCGTGGCTAAAGACAATGACGCGACAAGTGACACAAGAGACACACTCATTAAATACACAAGGGAGGTGCAGGTGATTGGACACAGGTGGAAACTATTAGACGATCACAGGGGATGACGGGACAAGGCAGGAAGTGAAGTTACCCGGGGACACGAGTGGCAGAAAACTACAAAATACAACAGGAAGTGAACCACACCGTGACAGTAAAGTAGCCACACGCACGTAAAGCCAACAGCAGCTTTGTGCACAATTCTTTCTTTTATGCCACACGTGCGTCACATAAATAATGTTACTAGTATAAACACGTAGAAGGATATTTCATGTTACGTGCTATGTGCATACACGAACATGCCGTACCTCAGCAGCCCAAGTCCTCTCCAGCTCCCTCTGGGAGTCGGCCTGTTTGTAGAAGAGCGTGAGCGTCTCTCGGCAGGTGGGGGACGGCGATCGAAGGCTGGCGCAGTCGCGCACCGAGAACCGCAGCGTGACGAACACCCGCGGAGCCGAGTGGCGGTACAGGAAGGGCGTAGCCAACCAGTTGTCTTGAAGACGGGGGTTTTGGTTGACGTTACAGACCTCGAAGGTTCGTATGAGCTTCCCCCGGTCGTCCAGGACGCTGACCTCATCCCACTGGGGGGAGACGGAAACAATATTGTGAGCTTGTAACTCTGCAAAAGAGAAACCTGATCTTTGGCAGGGAGCTTTAGAATGAGCCTGTGTAAACTCTGGAAACCCTGCTGTGTTCGAGCTCTGTCCACGGCTGAGAATCGCTCTTTCCTCTTCAAAGATACATCTAGTTTACATCTCACAAGGTCAATATTGAACATGTAACTGGTGCGTCCTGTCCTTTACTGAAATTTCACCCTGTTCTTTAACGTCCTTAGTGAGATAAGCCGCATAAAAAGGTGGAATATGCAAGTGAAAAACGGTTCTTTTACTGTCCCCCACAGTGTGTCCCAGACGTTGCCGTGTAACATGACAATCAATGATGATGAAACCAGTAGTTCATTTAATTACATGAGCTATTAATTTTTTTAACTGTTGCAGACAAAACTTAAATAATAAATGAAATAATTGTGAGACGATTTGGTTAGTTTCGGTGTCTACTGTTTGTCGTGCGAGAGGTCCACATCTTTGCGGCTTTGCTTTAGGTTTTACAAACTGGATTAGTTACAGTCGTATATTATAATGACAATAATTCAGTTTCATAATGTGACAGTTGGTTAGTTAACTCTCGCACTGGTTTTGGCATTTGGATGTGTATCACTGTTCACATGTGACAGGTGGCGGAAACTTGTGAGTCTTACTTGTGGCAGCTGTTGTGTCATAAAACGAGCAGATTTCGTCATATTTTGGGGAATTTGAAGACTTGAGGACATGAGTTTTGTAGCGTCACGGAGATAAAAACGAGCCGCGCTGAGATGCGGCTCTGACTGTGTAAGCTGAGTGAAAATGTAAATGTAGGCGATGGGTTTAGTTTCAGCAATTATACAGTACGGTTTCTCCGAGGATGAAAAGGCTCTGTGTCAAGCCTGTGTAGCCCCAAGTGACAAGCAGGGCCTTTTCGGTTGTAACACGGAGGAATTATGCATCAGGCCTCATCATCAGTATTCTCCATGCAACAAAGGCAGTGGACAAAAGGTCCCGACACCCTATCAGGGAGCATTTGGTGTGTGTGTTCCTGTGTTTCCGTGTGTTAGTGTATCTCTGCGTGCTCACGTCTCTCTTCCTCTGTGTGCTTCTGAAAGTCAGCATGAACACAAATATTTGTAGCATCCCACGTAGCGAGAGGGCATTCGTATCTGGTCCAATTGCAATAATGATAACATCTGTCTGAGGTGCTGTCAGTCTAATGGAGTGAAAGGACAGTTTTCTCTCTCCCGGGCCTCGACTCACTCCCTGTCAGCCACGGGGACGAGGGGAACCGGGAGGATGGGACAACTGGGAGCACATGGTGAGATGAAGGGATACAGATGGGGATCAGGGGGGTGGGGGGGGTGAGAAAAGTGCGTGAGCAGTAAACCGAGTGTACTTGTGCTGCAGCGACAGCCTGACCGTGTGGCAGAACGGGCCTTGACTCTCAGGTCGGGAGAGAGAGAGCAGCTGCTGGTATCCGAGCGGCATTGCGTGCAGTTTGCCTCTGTACCGTGGCGAAAAAAAAAAACACGGCTTTCATTTGTTTTCTGACCCCAATGCCCCCCCACCACCCCCTCCTTTCCTTCCCCTTTTTCTCACCGGCTCTATTTCTCCCTCCCTTATGAAGAAAAAGAGAAAAAAAAACAGGGCAGATCAGGGAGGAGGGGGGTGGCGGAAGGCCTCCAAAGGACAAAAAAATATAGGGGGGATTCATCTAGGGATTTTTAATGGAAGCGAAGTGACAAGAGAGCCACCGCAAATCTCTGCAGTGACACAGAGCACTGGGAGGGGCAAGGCCTCGGACACACATCACACACACACACACACACACACACACACATAGAAGCAGAGGAGGGCACACATATACACCCAAAGACGTATGCACGTGCACACACACATAGCAGACACACAACGGGGGCATAGTGTGTGAAACGTGGGGAGGGCGAGAAGACTATAGTAAGAAGTCGAGAGTGTTTGTTTGACACTGAGGGGAAATAAGCGGGAGAGCGGATTTCGCGTGGGGGGGGGGGGGGGGGATGAAAGGAAGAAGATGAAGAAGAGACTCGGTGCTCTGGGACTGTGAAGGGCAACGGGAAGAAAGATTAAAAGAGGGAGAGAGAGGCAGAGACAAGAAGTACAGAGGCTGCCTGACGGTACCTCGAAAAAAATGGAAAGACGGCAAAAAGAAGAAGAAGGAGTAGAGAGAACAGAAAAAAGAAATGCAGAGAGCCTCAAGCAAGAGAAAAGATGAGATGGGAAAAGAAAAGTGAGGAAAGGGTTAAAGAAAGAACACACACACACACACACACACACACACACACACATACACATACATACACCACCTCCCCTCTTCTCCCCCCTCCCCCTCTCTTTGGGTCTGTCTTTCCACTTCTCTCAGCTTGATGCCCCAGGTCAAATAACCATATCTCCATCTCAGAACCACTTCTCATCCAGGGAACACAGAAAAAGGACTCATGCAAATGCTTGTCTTGCTCATGCTCACACACACACACACACACACACACACACACACACTAACCCCCTCCCGCCCCACCCCCACCGTCCCACACACGCACACGGATGGTCTCCTATTAGCAGCTGCCATCATGGTTCACAAATTCCAAACACACACAGGGCCGTAATAAATCAAACATCATGTACAATTATGGAGGCCAGACTGGCTTGATAATGACAGCGCGTACAGTTAAACTTTAGTGCGAGTGAGATAAAAGGCTCCATGGGAGCGTGTGTGCTCGCCAGATGTTGCTTTGAGACTACTGTTATTTTATTACAGGACCGTTTTTAGCCGCCGACACTTGTTTGCCTAAACTAGCGCGCATAAATGTAGCGTTGACAGTTACGACTTGTTTTTGTTTCATGAACTGTATGACACTCTAAATGTATATATCAGTTATTGACCGTGAATGGACCGAGGTCGAGAATAATATATGGCAAAGGAATTTCCTCAACAGAAACCAGTAAAGGTTCAGTGCTCCAGTTTCTCACATCCAGTTTGACTGATAATCTCAAAGACGATGACGTTGAAGAGGATGTGTGTGAGAGTAATTATGAGCCATATTAGAACTGAGCCACAATCACTCACGGATGAATGGATTTAACTGACCCGGGAGCTGACCCTGGAACAGTCACGCAAGCAGACACACACACACACACACACACATATTTACACAGCTCAAGGCGAGGCGACAACCTTAAATGAAAAGCAGCTCAAGAATTGTCGATCTATGGTTCAACCAATGCATGAAAACACGCCGGCCGACTATTAGAAAAAAAGCATTTCATCCCTCAAGGATTTCTCGAAGGCAAAGTGAGACCTCGCTCATTCTCAGGCTGTGTGCCGAAACACTCCACCGATCAATGTCAGATGCCAGACATCCTGCACAATAATAACCCTGGCCTTAACCCACAGATAAACAGTTGAACCAATCTGAGATCTAAAACTTGCAAACTGTAGCAAAACTTGTTTGTTTGGTTTGTCGCATTCAATGCAGCCTTGACAAATATTCCATCCAACAAAACGTATCGACCATAATCATGGTTCATGTGTCTCCATCTTAAACTTAAATGTATAAACTAAATCAGCATATGTGCACAGCAGAGCATAAAGATCCCGGCACTGTGAATGTTATATTTGAAAAAATACAGACACAGTTATAATAACATACAGCACCATGACCTACCTAATTAGTGAGGCTGTCCTTAGGAGAAATATTTATTTTGTAGAATCGCTAAGACTGATTAGTTGAATAATCACCTCGGAAACTTCACCAGCATCATTTAAATGCAACCTCAATGTAATAAGTCATTATTTTCAACATTGATTATTCAAGTCTAACAATGGTGGTTCGAGCAGCTCAAATGTGACACTTTGCAGCTTTCTTTTTTCCTAAATTATCTTAAACTCACCAAATGCACAAAAACACATAAAAATGACAATGTGAGTGCATTGGGCTCCAGCAATTGGTCATTTGAATCTCTATTTCTGACACCAATAATTGAATAATCAAGAAAATGATCATCAGACAATGTTAGCATCTGTTACCGACGGTTACCAACAGTTTTTGTAAAAGGACTTGAAATGCATTCTTGTGGTTAATCCCAACATATAAATGTAATTATGCACTTAAAACGTAACCATGTGTGACATGTGCGCGACACATTGGGCCCCCAACGTGACTGCTTTATTGCCCCAACAGCTGGAGAGCACCGGCACTGTCTCGGCTTACCCCCGTGTCCGGATAGGTGGTCCAGCCCAGCTCTGAGGTCGACTCTGTTGTGTCCAGCAGCATCACTGGCGGGTGAGGAAGCAGAGACAAGGACAGAGTGTGAGAAAAAGAGACACACGACGAGTGCAGCTTTCGATTAAAGGCTTGTGATTGCTTCTGATTTAGACGGAGTGAGCACGTTGAATCAGGAGATGTTCTCCCCAGGCCTCGATCACGGACTGCGGTGTTGTGTGACGCCATCGAGGGCTAAAACTTGGAGCTGCTCCAGTGACGCTGAAGTTGAGCCAAACTCTGTGAGGCCTTGCTTTTAAGGTTAACAGTCTCTTAACCTTTTACCGGCACCGGGTTCATTTTTTCCCCCCGTGCAATAAATCCAGGGAGTGCTCCAGCTGTGTGCATCTGTCAGACCTAATAACGGAATCTGAGTGACGATGCAGTTTGGCATGTTCTGGTGTTTAAAAAATCTATGATTGACCTGATGGGGCACCGAGATTAAAGGTCACATTTTTCAAACTTTAAAAGGCCACAACACTTGCTGTCACCTTTGGTTGAAACGAGCCAGCAGATGCTCCTCATGGCTCGACCCAAAGGGACCCCGGGGGCGACGCTGCAGCAGCGTCGCTTTCCCCTTTGTTTCGGGTTTTAACAGACATTTGCTCATTTCCAGTGATTTTGAGCTGAAGCACGAGAGAATAGACGTTCATATTTTCCCATCATTTGCTTTTAGGTTTAAGTGCTTTAAAAAGCAACCTGGCGAGAAGATCACACACACACACACACACACCGGGTGACTTTAACGCTGAGTGCTGCATGCTGACACATGGCAGCTTCCCACACAAAAACAAAGCCCTCGAATTTTCTATTAATATTCTAGAAACGTGGTGGCTGCTGTTCCTTCAGTCTGGCAAAGTGTGCGATCGGTTCCTCTGGTGAGGAGCCGCCGACTGAACGCAGGCCAAAGTTTTTTTTTGCACACAGGCGTGGAAAAAAAACATCCGACTTCAGGTCTGGATGCTCGCACGGATGCAGCTAATGGGGAAAAGTATGCACGGACCACGCAAAGAGCTGTTGACGCTCGCGCATGGAGATCTGAGGGAGGCAGCTGCCACCCGCCTCTGTTTACAAATACATATTCCTTCTTATGTTGCCGTATCGTTTTCATGCTATTGTTTCCATTCAACAGAGAAGAAGGATGCTTCATCTCTCTCGGTGCGAAGCAGACGAAGAGCGGGAGAAAAGCATTCTCTACGTGATCATCACACGCAAAGGAAAAGGCAGCCTGTCTCGCCACAGCACCAGTGATTCACTGAGACGGATCTGTTCTGTATTTCTCAGCTGAGACACTGTATCCCTCCGTCTTCTTGATAAATCAAACGAAAAAAACAGGTACCTGATATCGTTTGTGGCTTACGACATGAATTTCCCCCCACTTCTCTATCCTCTAACTGTGCTGCAAACAGATTTGTTTTAAAGGATTATACTCGCAGATGGAGACCTTGCAAATCTGTGTTCAAATCCTCCATTTCTCTCTCTTTCCTTTTTTTCCATTTTACAACCCCCCCCCACGTTCGTCTATCGGTTTTCACCCACCAGCTTGTCCTGATGTCAATCTTTACTAAATTCACACATTTATCCAGGGAGGATCCTTCCAGGATTTTTGGATGTTGTTATAAATTGTGCAAAGAAAAGTGCACAAATGGGCCGGGTCAGGTCAGGATGCTGCCACACGCATCGGTATGAGTAGTTTTTATTATTAGTGTCCTTAGAGTGGATCAGGTAAAGGGTGCTCTAATGGTTCAAGAAGAATGGTGATAATCATTCATGTTATTGGATATTTCCGTTACCAGTTTGTGAGATACACCTAAACTAATACAACATTCCCAATGAGAGGGTTGATGATTCGACTTCATATTGGAGAATGTAGTTTGTGGTGTGTTGCATGGCTTTGTACAAGGGGGCCATTCTAATCCTCATTGATGATCAACCATCAGTTGTGCGTGATGACGCGGAAATGGCTTCTTGCTTTCCAAGCTCTCGGTCTCTTGACATTAATGATCTTTCATTTTTACAAATAGTACATTATTTTTATTTCTACAAACACATTATGCACAGCGCACACTCATATATCATGCATTCTGACCTCATTAAGCTCAATCCTATTTATATCACATACCCACACACACAAAAATGCTGCAAACGTGTCATTCCAAATTCAATTAACCCTGAGCTTTGGGGCAGAGTCATGCATAAATAAACACACGGCAAACTATGTTAAATTAATATTTATGCCTCCACTGTTTAGCTTCTTGTCGAGGGGCCCTGGGGAGCCCCGGGTGCTCACGTCGTCCCGATTTTTTCTGCGACAAGTCTGACCTGCACGTAAGGATTTACACGGAGCAATGTTCAAAAAGCGTCATGCGTGTCTCATTGCGTGGCATTAGTATGTTGAATAATTCACCTCTACATCCTAAGATAAGCGCTGAGTGCTGTGTTACGCACACCTTTTCAAGGATTAGCTCCAGCTGAGGCACCGCGAGTTTGTGTGTGTGCTCGAGACAAAGTTGGACAAAAGAGTGGGACATTTGCTAGCAGGTCCACTCGGCAGTAAAAGCCCCTTTATTTAACTCTCAGAGAACTGCGCGACAGCACCTCGGCCATTGGTCCGTCTGAGGGGGCCGAGACACTCAAAGTTTGTCACTGACAGTTTGCAGAAGTGCTGAGTCCGCAATCCGGACCTGAGTGCTGCGTTAATGCACGCTGTCTCTCACGTCTTCCTGCTCCACTCTGGTCTTTTATTCACTCCACCGTACCTTTTGGCCTTTCTCTACCTCCATCTTGTCCCTTGTCCCTTTCGCCCCCCCCCCTCTCCATGTGTGTATTATTCATCTAAAAAGTGACAGTACGGCAGGCATCTCTGTACGTAATAAGGAGATACGCCATGCTCCATTATTGATGCCGGCTGCTGTTGTGTTTCAGAACGCTGTGATACCTCCTCAGAGAGAGCAAAAGAGGAGACAAAAGAATGAAAAGGGCAGGATTATGAGACAGGACTGAGAGGAGGATGAGGAGAGGATTGCGGTTATGAATTTCAATGTGCTTTTTTTCCATGCTTTGCCCCTCTCTATCTCTCTCTCTCTCCATGTGCGGCGTGGGTGTAAATGCTTTTTTCTATTATGCAGAGGTGTCCTGCATCGGTCCCTCCTGCCGCTGGAGTGTTCACTTCAGCTAAGTGACCCTCTCGCCATCCATCTCTCTTCTGCCCAACACTTTGCCTCCCTGTGTGGTCATGCGTGCACCGACACTCTCCAGCGCCCAGTGTAGTGCTGTTGTTCATGTCACGCCTCTCCGGCGTGGGGATGTATGCTACATTACCGCACACTTTTTCGAGGCAATGGAACACCCCAGAAAATCGGTGAAAAAGAGTTTCAGTGTAAATATTAACACAGGTTTGAGGGGTGTGAGCGTGTGAAATACCTTAACACCAAAGTGAATGTACCATGCAAAGTGTGCCGGACCCACAGGCAACAGCAAGCTGCAGGAACACACGCGTTTCCATCGGAAACTCCCACAATGACTGCGAGCGTTCTAGGCGGCGGTCAGATTGCGTTTTTGTCTTTTGTCCACTCATCCACCCATCTCCGCCCATGCTTTGTACGCTCCAGATGCTCCCACCCACAGACAGCCAGTGAAGGGCAAGGCCTACACCGAACCATCATTACGAACAACCACAAGGAGAGAGTGATACGCCAAGACAGAGAGCGAGCAGGAGGGTGGATTGGGGGGGGGAGAGGGGGATTAACGTAATTCCAGAAATAAGCATGCACACGTCAAAGGGAGTTAACAAAACTTCTCTGCCATTGCTGAATGGACGTGCAGATCTGAGAAACAATAGTTAAGCCAGGTTGGACGACGGAACGACGTCTGCAAGGAGCCGCTGAACAGGCAGCAACAGGCACGGGGCGGGAGGAGGTTGAACCACAACGGACCCTCGTGCTCGGCCACGAGGTGTTTGCAGAAATAAGACTGTCAGGGTCAACATCTGGTGGAACTACTTCTTAAAGCGACAGTTTGACAGAGGAATTTCATTTTAAAAGAGTTTTGACAAACACCGTGGAAAGATCCGCCTTAATGGTGTTACATCAGAGAGGTTTGGCCCTTCCCCTGTCGACTGGTTTGCTGTGAGACTTTCTCCTTAGCAGAAAGTATGAAGATCTTAATTATCAGAAACAGAACATACAATATTTTCATCACTCCTTCCCCCTCAACGATAACTATGGAGGAGAAGGAATGTAAATGCAGTGAACTGTCATCCCATTGTGTCGTTTCTGAACGGTAAAGCCTTCATCAATCAAACTTTGCTCTCATGCTGTTCAGTCGAAAAGCCAACACGCAAACTGCCGAGAGCAGCTGTAATACGACATTCAAAAAGCCACATTCTTCCTTCACCGCGGCCCACACCGCACATTCATCTTGTAATTCGTCGGCCGTCCACACAGGCATATTATCTACGGCACTCTCTGCCTGAACAGCGGCTGACTCAAAGCAAACAGTGCTGGCTGACAGCGTCAACCTCTCATTGCTCAAATGGCAGATATGTGATTCATTTGAGGAGCTACAGAGCTCTACAGCAGCCACGGAAAATGATGCTTCTTTTACGAATACAAATGCAAAGACAGAGCTAAAAATAAAGCCCGTTCGCGGTGTCAATGATGGGGATGCTGCTTCCTCCACTTAACGGTACACATGCGGGCAAAAAAAAAGCTTTTTTGGACTGTTGGTGCCATTAGTCCTGCTGCGGTCCCACTGTGACACGGATGCCGTTAATTCTCTTATTATCAATTCATCAGGTCCCAGGAAAAATGCCTTACAACACCCAGGATAGAGGACGGTAATCCGCTTAATTGATATCCAGCTAAAGGCAAAGAAAGTGACGGCAGGAAAGATGGCCCACTTGACCTTAAAGTGAGAACATCAACGTAGCAGGCTGCTCTCAATTAGCCTGGAGCTTTATTCAACCCTTATTGACAGCCAGAAAGGTTTGTCTGACTAGTTTCAGCTTTTTGCATTTTTATCATTGAGTGTTCCTAGTTTTACACAAACTAAAACACATTTGTATACAAATTGTATAAATACAAAGTTGTTGATAAGGGTGAGGGACTTTTTTTGATGTTGAGTAACAACACTTTATTTAGTAAAGTAATTTAATGAGTAGGCTAATGGTAGGCTCATGTATTATGCCTCAACACTGAGAGCACCTGGTTTGTATAAATTGTTAAATTTGGGGGACAATGTCCCCACTTGACCTGAAATGCAGAGGACCAATGTTACAAGTGGAAACACTCAAACTTGTATACGATTGCAAAAATATTGACTTACTTTCCAGCACTGCAGATAACACCTGAGCTTTTTCTTTCACCTGATTTTCATTTGCATCTTATTTATTTTTTTTACTGGGAAACACTTACTCCACAGTCTGTGCAGCCTCTTGGCAAGAATCAGATTAAATACCCTTTCAGTGTATGACATGAGTTCCATTAATGATAGAAGGTTAATTTGATGATATGCACAGCTCGGTGAGCATCACCTCTCATCCATGACGAGAAGAGCTTGAGGGGCATCAGGTGTGCATCCTGCACAGTCCCTCCACCCCCCCCCTCCTTTTCAGTGCGGTGTGTTAACCCGATGTGAACGACACAGATCGGAAAATTTAGAGGCCAGCCATGTGGCTCCTCATCAGTCCCTCACATCAACAATGCACGTGGGCGAACGTGTCGACGCTTCTGCCAGTGAGAGTGATAAATCAACCAGCCTGTCACTCATTCTGCAGTTCGTCTGCATGCAAAGAGGCAGAAAACTAGCACTTCATACTCTTCACGGCAATAACTGGAGGATTAAAGGGACATTTCCTCATGGATTTGAGGTGTGAAAGCAGACAATGAAGAGAGTTGTTTATGGTGGGTACACATATACGCTTCAAAAGCGTATGTGACTATAAACAATAAAGTCAGACAGTGTCGCGGTCAAAGCGCCAAATCTTCCCTTTGCGACATAACTTGATGGTTCAGTTCATATGGACTTATATGGACGCTATTGGGTTAATACTGTATTACGTAGAGCCCTATTTCAAATACACAAACAGTCAGTAGGCCAGTAAGGCCGTGCAGCCTCTCTCCCTCTCTATCCTTCTGCCTCATCTTAGTCCAGGCCATCTGTTACAAACAAAGCTCAAATCTGTGGCATGAGGCTGACCTATAAGTTACCTCCGCTAAGGACCACTACTGACACACACCTCGCAGTACACCGATGCCAACAGGGGAGTCACACGTAGAACAGGTGCGGCTCTTTCCAACAGGCGGTCGGATCCGCTGAGAAGTCATTTGTTTGCAGGCCACTGATCCCAAAGAGCCGACGTCATGTGTAGGAAGCACCTAGAATAATACACACGCGCACACATGCAAGGATGCACACGCGCGTACAGTTTGAGTCATCACATTAACTGGCCACTTTTAGTCAACCGTCTCCTAGTCTCTCTCTTGATTACTGACTGACTCACTCCCTTTTGTACGTTTTAAGATCTCCGAGCCAAAGTGCGTTGTGAGTTGAGAGCAGAGCCGATGCGATTCGGAGAGACGGGAGACGAGGGACACACTGATATTAGTTCGTCTGAAGGGGGTCGGGATCCCTTGCAGTCGCATCCGCGAGAACATGAGCGACACAGCAGGGTTGATATGTGAAAGAGAAATGGTTTATGCAACTTATTATGCATTGGTCTCCCGTCTTATTTCCATATTCTTTTGTTGCAGGAGCCCCAGCACCCACCTGGCACATCCAGGCCAACAACGTACTTTCTGATTTGCTGCCAGTGGCACTTCACAAGCATCTGCATGCACATGCAAAAACGCACAGATAAAACTACACACAACATTGAAAGCACACAGGACTGTGAGCAGCGGGGAAATGTGGTAATTGTTCAGGAGGGGGCAAGGGCAAGCCGGAAGTGAGGCCCCAAAAATTGAGGATTAATCACACTTTCTTTTGTTTTTGCGGGCCTTACCTTTACTTGCCACGGTTTCCCACATGTGTGGCCGCAATTCCCACAGAGGCACATTCTTTGAGAGCTATTACAGACACGCATACCAAGTCTCCATCCTTCACGTGTGGGCTCATTAAGAGCACATGATGGAAGCGCTGTGCAAACTCTCCATCCCGCCACGCTCGCCCCAAACGCTCGCCATGCAACCAAGAATCTAAAACCAGGTGAAAGTTTAGTTCTTACCTTCCTCTGCTGAATTGGGCTGAAAAAATAGACAGAGAGAAAAAAAGACACTCCACATCTCCACTACAGAATGACACTGATAGAGAGAGAGAGGGAACATGAAAGAGGATAGAGTGAGTGTGTGAGTAGGGAGAGAGAGAGAGAGGGAGAGGGAGGGAGAGGGAGAGGGGGTGAGAGAGGAGGTGGAGTCTGTTTGCTCCCTTTATATGTGAGAGAAAGAGAGAGAGGAGAGAAAGGGGGTGGATGGGTGAGGGCAGGATAAAAATATTTACAGAGCAGCACATACAATAAGTACACTGCCAATAGAGGAAGTAAACAAAACACTGTTGTCAGAGAGACGGACGGGGGAGGGAAAGTGGGAGAGAGTCCTTTTCCTTTTTGTTGAGGGAAACAAAGACAGAGAGGGAAAGCAAGAGAGTGACAGAGGGAAAAGAAGGTGGACAAATAACAAACAAGTTTGTCTGGTCCGTGAAACACTTGTCTATACACGTCTAACGGCGCCACTTCCAGCTCTCCTCAAAACGCACTGATTTCAGCATCTGAGCCTCAGACTGTGGCATCCCGCACACGCCTGGACGCTGTGCTAACTTGCATTTTTTTGTTTTCGAGATGTGGCACGGGAAACTACTCAACTTCTTTTCCCCTTTTCCTTTTTTTCTTTTTTGTTCTTGATCTCTCTCACTTCCACCTTTTGATGGAAAATGAATATAACTAGAAAAAGCATTTCCTGCTGAAAATGCGTTGGAATGCAAAAAGCTGAAAGCTGCACTGAATATTTGAAAATAGCTGAAAATACAGAAAGTTGAAGGGAATTTGAATACATTTGCTGAATATTTAAAAATAGCTGAAAATACAGAAAGTTGAAGGGAATTTGAGTACATTTGCTGAATATTTGAAAATAGCTGAAAATACAGAAAGTTGAAGGGAATTTGAATACATTTGCTGAAATAAAAGATATTAGAAAAGCTGAAATTAATTTGAAATAGCTGAAAATACAGAAATGGGAGAAGCTGAAAGGAATTTCAATAGATTTGCTGAAAAAGCAGAAATGAAAACAGCTGAAATAAATGTGAAATATTGCAAAACAGAAGTTGCAGGAGCTTAAATGAATTTTAAAAAGGACAGAAATAACAAAAGCTGAGATGAATAAAAATAGGTTTAAAATTGTTTGTAGTAATATTAGTTGTAATTTGGGTATTAGTACTAGCAGTAGAAGTCGGTTTAGTATCAATAGCAGTAGAAACAGCTGGAATACTGATACTATTATCCATAGTAGTATTTTTAATAACATTAGTAGTAGTTGTATTAATAGCAGTAGAAATACTAGTAGTATGGTAGTAGAAGTATCAGTTGTAGTTCTACTAGAAGTACTAGTAATATTCGTAGTGGTTATAGTAGTATTTGAAAGAGCAATGCGTATTTCAACGAAACCGCTTCATGGTTAAGGTACAGATAATCATTGAAGCTTTTAGTTTGTAATGATGGAATTGGGTGAGGGGGGGTTGGGAGACAGAATGTTTGTTATTCAAACTAAGAAGTTTTTAATTAATAGGCCTCATCACAAACATTACAGTAAAAATTCCCTCCATGGGGCTTTTATTTTGAAACTATTCACTTAGATGGGGTGGGGGGGTGTAGATAGAGGGAGGGAGGGTGAGAGGGTGAGGAAGGGAGGGGTGGTGAGGAAGAGATAGAGGGAGAGAGAGAGGAGGAGAAATAGACAGACACATCAACTGACTGAGTGATTAACAGTGAGCAGAGGTCAGGGTGGAGGGGGGAGGGGGGGCGAGTGTCTTTATCATATTGGTCTGTTGACAGAAAGCATAGCTGCGTCATGTGACTCCACTAATCAGGTCACAAGGAGCAGCTGTGAGCCACAGACAGATCCTGCAGCGTGTGAGTGCTCGTAACCACGACAACGCCGCACCTGTGCGGCTGCAAAAGGGGAGACATGGGAGCTAGTTACACAGAATCCACACCTCAAACAAATGGGAACCAGCGCAAAACTATAACAGCTATCTAAAAAATACGGCGTTTGTATGAGACCCAAGACTCTACCGAACGCGTGGATGTGCTTTTTATGTCTGTCCGGTAATAAATACGGCTCCTATGGCCGTTTACAAAACGTGTACCTTGTGGATTTTTGTGAGAAATATGTCGGCAGATTTGTATTGGAGCCTATGGGGCTTTTGGCAGAGGTTGTGTCACTCAAACACTCCTTGCGCCAAAACTAAAAAACTCTGGGATTCCATGAACACATTAATCCAATCAGCACAACCATACCCTCATTAATCTGAAGAAATGAAGCCTCTAGAGTGTATACTTTGGCTGCAAGGACAGAAGTTCCATACTTTTTAAACCAGATTTCTGCGATGCCCCACACTCTAGCCTGCGAGGCCCCGCCTCTAGCAGACGCAATACACACTCATGTAAAAGTCAGAAACGGAGCGAAAAACTAGTGAAACTTAATCAGTGATTATGAAAAAAGTACAATAGATATCAAGAAGCAGTTTTTTTCATAAAATAGTTGAGACTTGTGTGAACATTTGAGAGTTGAAATGGTGTCTGTAGCTGAAAGATTTGCAAAGCTGAAAAATCTGAAAGTTGAAGAAGTTTAGGAGGATTTGAAAGCAAACTCCATTTGAAAACCATGTTAAAATATTAATGATTATTGATTTATATAAATTCAAGCATAAGAGGTAGAAAGCTGAAAAGTCATAGCCCTCAAGCCAGAAAGGAGCTGAACATTTTAATATTTGAAGGATTTTAATAGCTGAAAATGTGAAGGAGTTGAAAGGGGGCGCGGAAGAAATAGAATAATAAGTCGGAAATAAAGATTCGAAGAACAATACTTGGAATGCATCTCAATGCATTCCAACAATAAAGATTCGAAGAACAATACTTGGAATGCATTTCAATGCATTCCAACAATAATAATAACTAGAAAAGGCATTTCCTGCTGAAAATGCGTTGGAATGCAAAAAGCTGAAAGCTGCACTGAATATTTAAAAATAGCTGAAAATACAGAAAGTTGAAGGGAATTTGAATACATTTGCTGAATATTTAAAAATAGCTGAAAATACAGAAAGTTGAAGGGAATTTGAATACATTTGCTGAAATAAAAGATATTAGAAAAGCTGAAATTAATTTGAAATAGTTGAAAATACAGAAATGGGAGAAGCTGAAAGGAATTTCAATAGATTTGCTGAAAAAGCAGAAATGAAAACAGCTGAAATAAATGTGAAATATTGCAAAACAGAAGTTGCAGGAGCTTAAATGAATTTTAAAAAGTACAGAAATAACAAAAGCTGAGATGAATAAAAAGAGGTTTAAAATTGTTTGTAGTAATGTTAGTTGTAATTTGGGTATCAGTACTAGCAGTAGAAGTCGGTTTAGTATCAATAGCAGTAGAAACAGCTGGAATACTGATACTATTAGCCATAGTAGTATTTTTAATAACATTAGTAGTAGTTGTATTAATAGCAGTAGAAATACTAGTAGTATGGTAGTAGAAGTATCAGTTGTAGTTCTACTAGAAGTACTAGTAATATTCGTAGTGGTTATAGTAGTATTTGAAAGAGCAATGCGTATTTCAACGAAACCGCTTCATGGTTAAGGTACAGATAATCATTGAGGCTTTTAGTTTGTAATGATGGAATTGGGTGAGGGGGGGTTGGGAGACAGAATGTTTGTTATTCAAACTAAGAAGTTTTTAATTAATAG